TTGGAATCCTGCGGGGTGCAGGAGTCGTGGATGCACACTGCTGATGAGTCCCATACTAAGATGAAATGGTCGTCCTGTTCTTCCAGGTTTCAAGTGGTGATATAAAATTGATCGACCCATGATTTCAACGAAACCCAATGATCTTCATAACCCTATAATGACAATTTTAATAATTGCTAGCTAAGTTGCTCTCTAGTGACTATTTAAATGAGGAAGTTCTCAGAGTTCTAGTGAGAAAGCGTGATCAGTGGAGTTTAACCCTGTTGAGTGTGTAGGCAGTGACTACCGAAGACAAATGAGTGAGTTTGCGCATAATCCTTAGATTGATCAAAGTTAAACATAAACACCGTTGGATGGCAGCCGGCTCAGTGGTCCAGAGGTTAGCAGTTCGGGCTGGAGGCCGAAGGTCTTGGGTTCGAATCTTGCGAGTAGTTGCAGAAGTCATGAATGCGCACTGCTGATTAGTCCCATTCCAATACGAAACGACCATCTAGTTCTTGTAGGTTTCTAATAATGGTCAAACAATGATTCATTCTTGGTCTCTATGACAAAGATAAACACTCATCTGTAATTATCTCAAAACAGTTAACAGTGTCTCTTCCTACAAGTGACGTCTGACATGTCGAAACTGTGACAACAACTCATCAGATTATGTGAACCAATGACTTCTTTCTTAGTGTTTTAAATATACAAAATCCCTAGATCAATCAGAGTTAGACATTAACACCGTTGGATGCCGGCCGGCCCAGTGGTCCGATGGTTAGGCATTCGCCTACAATACCAATGGCCGCGGGTTCGAATCCTGCGAGGAGAAGGAGTCGTGAATGCGCTCTGCTGATGAGTCCCATATCAGGACGAAACGGCCGTCCAGTGCTTCTAGGTTTCTAATGGTGGTCTAACAATGATTGATTGATGATTTTAAATGTGTAAAATAAAACACAAACCTCCAAAACTCTGCCCGAAAATATCGTAACAGTGCCTATTCTCACTATGATCATTGACGTATGGCACAGTGTTCAGGAGAAGTTCGGAACATAAGTAAACATGAATTTCAGTGCTGAAGACTCTAGATCCCCAGCATCCACTTGCAAAAGGCCTTAATTTTGAATGTTTCGTGTTTTCGTGTTGCCCAGTTGACCTTGAGATTACATTTCCTACCAGGAGAATCCTTGACTGTCATTGGTTGATTTGTCATTTTAGCACGCTACTTTTGTGGCTCTCCCAAGGGGTGTGGTGGTGTTTCGTTCTCCGACCTGAAGCTTTCATTCTTCTTCTGCTGAACAACATCATCAGCACAAACTTCAGATGGACATGAAGTATTCGAATTTCTCCACGTTTGACCTGTAGTTTGTTCTATCGACCACGATCTTGATTGGTTACTGTTGACTTTAGACCTGTCGTTGTTAGCACCTTTGTTTTGATTGTTTCCCCCCTGTTGATCGGTTTCTTGATCCTATGTTTGTCTATGATTTTTCTGATTGGTTGATAAATTGGGTCAGTTTCGATGTTGTTGTTGATTGCTGATTGACCTGAGTGTGTCAAGCTTCTAAAAATTATCTCTCCCAATGACATTTCTATTTTGTATAAACAAGCTCGATTGGTGTGCTTGTCAACAACATATTTTCTCAGTGCTTGTAGTAGACTACACTTTCTACGCCTTATCAAGAAGACTTCTTGATACAATTAGCCGGTCCGGGGACAGTCGAATCAGAATAGCCTATCGCATCGCTGCATCAGTTATCTTCGCTCTCGTTTACCGAGTAAGATGAACTCGTAATAGCATTCAAGCATATCAACTGATGAGCATATCACTTAACTAGTGAAAAAGACTCAAAACTAGTTTGTCTGATAAATGTGCCTTCTCAGTCATATTATGTAACAAAAATTTACTACTTTGCTTTAGATAAGATCTCGTTATGGCATGAGGCTTGATTGGTGCGCAATTTTTTACACATTGATCAATGTTCAATAAACTTTGATGATGTAATAATATCAACAAAAAATTTATGACGTAGTAATCAATAACTGTTTTTTTTCCGGATTAATGAAGACTTTATTGATTTGATGTATTTATTGACAATCTTAAAAATTTTTTATTTTGTATTTCGCCGAATAGTCATCAGATTTTGTTAGGAAAAGAAACAGTTAATTTTTGTCATAATCAGTGATTGTATATAATTATTTTCATTATGAAGTTCTGGAGATGGTAGATCAATAGATGAAGTGGTGAAACTTCATCAATTGAGGTGGTAGGGACATGTGTTACGTGTGGCTAACCACTGACTGCCTCGACGAGCTATGTTTTGTAGTGTAGGAGTAGGTTGGAAGAAAGCTAGGGGCGGTCAGACCAAAACATGGCAGAAATCCATGAAGTCACTGACAAATGGACTGAGTCATGTTGGTAGATGTAGACTACCTGGTTAGGGTCCGCGAGATGATAATAATCGATGGTTAGAGACCTTGAATGACATGGCTCAAAATCGTTCGCAATGGCGCCAGTGCATTTATTCTTTGTGTTCTCTCAAATCCCAATCTTTTGGATTCTTCAACAACTCTAGTCTTGACTTTCTAAACGTTTCTCACTGAATTATACTTCTTGAATAATATCTTCTAATCCTAACTTCTTAGATTACTTCTAATACCTTTACTACCTCTTCTACTATTAAATTTGAATTGACAATTATATCTCTGTGCTGATGTGGTATGGTGACATGAACTGATGTACTTACGTACGAAGTTCTACGTTGCATCTGACTGACTGACTGACTCTGGAGATTGTTGTTTATTACAGAAATTTGGCGAAAAGCAGCAGGAGTTGTGGATGCGCATGGCCACTTACTGGCTGTTTTTCAATGCTTTACAGGTTTTTTCTTAACAGCGGTGTCTAACAGTTATCGATCGATTCATGGTTTCAATTCTTTTCAGTTTGAGTTATGGAGATTAGTGTTTTTACACATTTGAAATTACCAATCAATCATTGTTAGGCACCACCATTAGAAACCTGGAAGCACCGAAAGACGGCTGTTTCGTCCTGGTATGGGACTCATCAGTGGCAGTGTGCATCCACGACTCGTGCATCTTGCAGGATTCGCACGCGAGACCTTCGGTATTGTGCGCAAACGCCTAAACTCTGGACAACCGGGCCGGCTGAAATCCGACGGTGTTAATGTCTAACTTTGATTGATCTAGGGATTTCGCGCGACCTCACCCCACATGTCTTTGGTAGTTACTGCCTACACCTCACAAAGCTGGTGGTCACTAGTGCACACATTTTACGATATTTTTTTAATTAGAGTTATGGAGAGTAGTGGTTTTTTTTGTACACATTTGAAATGATCAATCAGTTTCAGTTATGGTAAAATTAATCAATAGTTATTGATTGTTTAAATTTGGCTTTGAATGAGTAGATTAATGTTTACTGTACTGAACTTTCAATTAGTAATAAAACCGATTTAAACGCCATTTTTATTTATTTGAGCTCTGAAAGTTCGGTAATATCATAGGTAATCTTCTAAACGGCATTTAGTTGAGTAAATGAACCAGCGTTTTGTTCATATGAGGAATATTTTATTCGTTATATACTACACGGAGAGATATGAATTCTCAGTCATTTGCAACATAGAACTTCGTACATAAGTACATAAGTTCATGTTGCCATACCACATCAGCACAGAGACGCAAATGTCAAATCAAATCTCATAGTGATAAAGATAGTAGAGGTATTATTGGTAATGAAGAAGACTAGGCTTTGAAGATATTATTAAAGAAGTATAATTCAGTGAGATAAGGTTAGAAAGACAAAGGTAGAAGTGCTGACGAATCCAGAAGATTAGGATTAGAGAGAGCTCAAAGAATGGATGCACTTGCGCCATTGCAAACGATTTTGAGCCATGTCGTTCAGGGTCTCTAACCACTGGTGACTTTCGTCTCGCGGATCCCAACCAGATAGTCTACATCTACCAACATGACTCAGTCCATTTGTCAGTGACTTCATGGATTTCTGCCATGTTTTGGTCTGACCGCCCCTAGCACTCTTCCAACCTACTCCTACACCACAAAACATAGCTCGTCGAGGCAGTCGGTGGTTCTAGTTAGTTGGAAATTCAAATCTTCAAAATTGAATACCGTTCAGAGTTATATTGTTAAAATATTGAAATATTACTTAATGTCAACTTTTAAAAACTTTTCAATACCCCAGCGAACATCTCAATACCCCATTAAGTAGAGGTAGAAGTGTTGACAAGACGTAGAAAGGGTATCAGGTCAACATGCGCACACAAATCGAGTTTCTGTATACATCATACAAACGTCCTTAGGAGAACCACAAAAATAGAGTACTAAAGTAACACATCAACTAACAACAGTTAAGAATTTTCCGAGTGGGCTATGTAATCGCTAGGTCAACTGATCAGCCCGTACTCGAAAACATAAAATTCAAAATTAGGACCTTTATCAAGTGAGTTCTGGGGATCTAACGTCCACAATAGCGTTCTTACGCAAGACTGAAGGTCATGCGAATAGCAGGAGTTGTGGATGCACACTGCTGATGAACGAAACAGCCGTCCAGTGTTCACAGGTTTCTAATGGTTATCTAACAATGATTCATTCATGATTCCAAAGTACGTATACGTGTTCGACTATACATGAAATACCTATATGTACTTTTCAAAAGTCCTAAGCTCTAATGAAACTTGTGCACAGTATCCACTAGCTTTGATAAGTTTCTTCAGTTGACGTTAAACGAACAAATTGATTTATCGACAAGCTTTGTAAATCTCTCTAAGATTACAACATGAAAAAAGCACTTCCACTGACAAGTCTCGAGAGTAAGACGAAGTGCAAGTCCTTGATTCTACTCCTAACTACTAATTACTGAATATACTACAATGTCTTTGAAAAAAAAACTGAAAAGAATCTTATTACATAATCAACTTAGAAAACTTTTTCTTGCGTAAATCGATAATTATTGATTGACTGATTGATTTTCCGCTTCCATTTAGCATCCATACCACAACACACGTGAGCAACCTCCTCAACTCAGGATCAATACCATCAAACAACAAGTTCAATGTACAATACCGGACAACTGATCCAAATTTAGCAACAGAATGGAAACCGCTACAATATGATCAAGTTCCTGGTGTTTATAGCGCATTCCCTGATACACAACGACCACCACGTTTAGGCGATTGTGTTGGTAAACTGACAGAAACCTCAAAAACTAATTGTACACCAAATACTGAACTAATTCATCAAGATACATCTGTACCAGTAACTACAACATCACATTTTAGTGTAAGCTTTGAAAGTCCACTAGAAACTTGTCCATTAGGAACACGACTTAGTCCGGTTGGTAGTAGTTGTTGGTCATCATCGGAACAACATATCTCACCAGACTTGACATCACTTATGAGTAGTAGTACTAATTCTGTATCAGCTGGTATCTCATTAAGTTCAGGTCGTCAACATGCTCTAAGATCATTATTACACAGGCAACCATCAGCTGGAACGGGATGTTCCGGTGGGACATTATCCACAGAGGCAGGACAATTACAATCAACTACACATTCTGTACGTTCTGCTCCACTATGTGCTGCTACTGCTACTACTAATAGTACTACTAGTCAATTGACTAAATCAAAATGGAATAAACAGTTGGGAATGAATAAGAGTACAAATTTACAGTATTTTGTGCAACCACCAGCACCAGCACCACCACCCCCACCCGTACCTCCGTCATTAGTAATCAGTGATCCAGAAGAAGAGATGCATGATAAACGTTTACAATTGTAAGTTAATTTTAATTTAGGATATTTTAAAGTTTTATGCTAACACTCTATTTGTTTGCTGTCGTATTATGTGTTGGACAATGTTTATGAACTAACTGCTAATTGGCTACTGGACTGCAGTCACCAAAGCCTACTCTCTTTTGATGTCTGCTTCTGAATCCCTAGATCAGCGTGTTCTTTGGTCTTCCTCTTTGTTTTTTTCTTATTGTCTTGAGGATTTCAAGTTGAGGCTTGTTTTGTGATGCGCAGTGTTGGGGATGTTAGATCCCCAAAATTCACTTGATAATGCCTTATTTTGGTTTTCACGTTTGCCAGCATGGGCTGATCAGTTGACCTTGAGATTTCAATTCCCACCAGGAAAACCCATGGCTGTGATTGGCTGCTGTGTGTTCTAGTGTGCTATTTTTTAACTGTCTCAAGGACGTTCCTATGTTGTATAAATAAACGAGAGTTGTATGCTTGATTGTACTGTGATTGCTGGGTGTTTGTAGAATATACTTTCTACGCTTACAAAGCCTTTTTGCTTCAACCTCGGATTCAACGTAGCCTACCTGGACGCTGGTTTATTGTCTCGTTCGCGTTTATCGACTAAGGTAAACTCGTAATAGCCTCAAGCATACTAAGTGACCAACTTATCACGCAGTTTGATGATTTCTACAGTATATTTCTTATCTGTCTACCTCTTTAGCTGGAATCTGGTTTGTTCTCGCCTAAAGTAGTGTGTTACTGATAATGTCTAGCCAACGTAGACAACTGTTAATAAATACTTGTATCTTCTGAATGATGGATTTCGTTGTTCTACAAGTTTCAAGTTCGTACACTAGAAGTATGTGTTGGCGTTTGTTCTGAGAATTTTCGAAGTGTAGATATTCTAACCTGGCTTTATTAATTCTTGACTTCACACCTGCATTAGATACCTTCTGTTTGTCAATGATGCTGACGAGGTATCTGAAAGTTTCCATATCTTCTCGATCTGCTTCACCGAATTGTGATTCGGATAGTGCTCTCTGTGTTGCGTCAAACAATCTCACTTCTTTCTTTGTGTACTGCTCTAGAAACTGTTATTACACTGTCCGTCTTCCTTCGCACTTGTGGTTGTACTCGGGATAGTAGATTACACGTGCTCTAGCTGTCAGTCAGTCAGTCAGACAGATGCAACGTAGAACTTCGTACGTAAGTACATCAGTTCATGTCACCATACCACATCAGCACAGAGATTTAATTCTCAGTTCGAATCCAATAGTAGAAGAGGTAGTAAAGGTATTAGAAGTAATCGAAGAGGTTAGGATTAGAAGATATTATTCAAGAAGTATGATTCAGTGAGAAAAGTTTAGAAAGTCAAAACTAGAGTTTTTGAAGAAACCAGAAGATTAGGATTTGAGAGAACACAGAGAATAAATGCACCGGCGCCATTGCGAACGATTTTGAGCCATGTCATTCAGAGTCTCTAACCATTGATTATTATCATCTCGCGGTCCCCAACCAGGTAGTCGACAACTACCGACATGGCTAAGTCCACTCGTCAATGACTTCATGGATTTCTGCCACGTTTTGGTTTGGCCACCCCTAACTTTCTTCCAACCTATTCCTACACTACACTAGCTGTGCTTCCCCTGAAATATGGAACTTCTCAAAATCCAGTCAACCACCAGAAAATAGAGAAAGAACCAGAGTAAGAAGACTTGTCTGACGCCGGTCTTTACTTGGGCTACATCTCCGAGCTGCCGTCCATACATGACTTTGCGGTATGGTTCGTCATATGAATTACGTTTACCAATAACTATATTCTCAAGCACTCGATAGTGTCCAAGATGATCCCGTAATGCTCTCCTGCTAACTCTATGGATACTCTTTCGTCGTTAAGGGAGTTGATGTGAAGTTATAAGTTCCATTCAATGGACTGTTTCATGTTAATTCCTAGTGTCGCAATCTCGTTGGTTCATGATTTATCTTTAGACAATCCAGCCTGCTGATCTGGAAGTTGAGCGTCTGGTAAATCATTGATTCACTTCACCGCCACTCTTTTAAAGACTTTTCTTGACACTAACAGTAGTGTGATACTTCGGTAGTCCTCACATTTACTAAGATCTTTATTTGGTATCGGTACTTGTTATTTCTTGCAAATCTTGTTGAAGAGGGCATGAAGCATATACTCCTGTCTTCAGTGCTTTAACTTGCATACGATTTCTGATCTTATAGGTTTATCACTATTCATTTGTCTGATGACTAGGCTGATTCTTTCGATCTTTGATGCGGTAATACTTACAGACAAGTTTATAGGTGCTGCTTCGAATGTCAGGTGGTTTTAGTGAGGTCAGTTTATTTTAGAGTTCTTTGAAGTCGTCTATTGACCTTTCCAACTGTTCTTGGAAGCAATAAGTGACTATATCTTTACCATAGCGAAAGATTCTGAGTCGTAATATTTAAAGTCTTTAAACATTGGTTACAATGAACGTTCGGATCCTAACCTGAAAGTTTTAACTGATCACTCCATGAACTAATGTCACGTTTTGATATGACCTCTTCTAGTTTTCTTCTTACCAACTCCTACACCAGAAAATAAATTCAGAATTGACTAAATCAGTCATTAGATGGTATTCAATGTTGAATAAATTTCATTTCTCAATGTTGAATGAAGTAAATCTTTCAAAATACTTATTTGACCTATTGAATTAGGTTCCTTCGTATGGCTTCGAGTTAATCAGTTTTGAAAAAATGCATAGATTATGCAAACAATATTTATAAAGGACGAGTCTACGGCATGTTACGCCTGCACGTAAACACGTCAATTTGATATACTTGAACTATTACGAGTTTACACCTTAGTCGGAAAACGAGAGCGAAGATCGAGGATCCTGCGACACAACATGCTATTCAAATCCGAATATCCCAACCCCCATATTTAGTAAAAATAAGGAGACTTGATATGAAGTGAAACTTGTATTCTACAAGCATCCAGAAAGTACGAGGTCTGAATCCAGAAGAGAACCAGGATCCCGGACTATGGATCCAGGACCGAGTCCTGGTCCTGGTCGTGGTCATAAAGTGTTACAGATAATGCGTATTTATACATTTTGGTCGAATGGGAAACAGCATCGAATTCTGTGGCATTGACAGTTAAGACGATCAATATGAAGTAAGATTTGGAGTGTCATTGACAGTCCGGATGACCAATAAGAGACAACATTGAAGTATTTGACTTTGACAGTTAAAACGACCATAATTTTGACCAACAGAAATCGACCAATAATTCTCTTAGGATATTGGATGAATATCCTAACAGGCATAGCAGTTTGCTGTGTTCTACTATACGGCTGTGAAACATGACCAGTAAGAGCGAAGGATATTCCTAGGCTATTAGTAATCGATAATAGGTGTCTTCGGAGCATTGCCTGTGTATCCTGATACCGTTCAGTAACCAATGCTGTTTTTAGGAAATAGGTAACAGATAAGGATGGCAAATCAATTGATGAAGTTGTAAATCTTCCGTTGAGGTAGTTAAGACATGTGTTAAGAATGCCTAACAGCCGACTGCCTCAACGAACAATGTTGTCTTATGTAAGAGCAGGCTGGAAGGAAGCTAGAGGCGGCCAAACCAAAACATGGCACAAATCTTTGAAATTACTGACAACTGAACTGAGCCATGTTGGTAGATGTAGATTACCTGGTTAGGGTCCACGAGACAATAGTAACCGATGATTAGAGATTTTGAATGACGAGGCTTAAAATCATTTGCAAGTCAGTCAGTCAGATGCAACGTAGAACTTTGTACATAAGTACATCAGTTCATGTTGCCATACCACATCAGCACAGAGAAGTAATCGTCAATTCAAATCCAATAGTAGAAGAGGTAGTAAGGGAATTAGAAATAACAATGCAAGCATGTTCGGGTTGCGATTTTCCCCCTCGAAATGCAAAATGTTGCTAAAATCATTTGCAATGGCCTAGGTGTATCCATTCTTCGTATTCTCTCAAATCCCAATCTTCTGAATTCCTCTTTTGAAATTTATTCCACCAGGATATACTTCTCGAATCTTCTCTTCTCCCCCATTGATATTACTGCTAATACTTCTACTACCTTTACTACTCCCAGGTTTGAATTGACAATTCTATCTCTGTGTATGCTAATACAGTATGGCAACGTGAATTGACGTGTATACGTACGTACAAAGTTCTACGTTGTAGCTGATTGACTAGCTGACTGACTGAACAATCTTCATCAATAAAGCAACTAATATATCGACTTCAAATCATCAAACTCAATTTACCCGAAATTTTCATTATCCTTAATTCCTTACCTGATATTCGGCAAATAAACTTTTCCACAGTGTAACAAAGTTAATAACGATGCTGAATCAACTTTCAAGTTGAATTTGACTTTTTCTTTGTCTTTGTGAAGAAAAAGCAAGCACCAGTAACAACAACACTAGTCAGACTTAGATTCAACATTCGAATAGTTTGAACAAAAAAAAATAGCCGAAACGCCTTTAACATTAGCAGGAAAGAACAGAGAGAATAAACATGTGTACAGAATAATTCATGTTGTGTGTGTGATTTTCATGTCCTACGCACAAATAATAAAATAAACAGAATCTTAATTAATAATAATAATAGTAATCATACACCATAGAATGGCAGAGAAAGAAGTAAATTGTACAATATTTTTTTTTTGGTTTTCGAAATTGTAACATTTGTAAAAAAAACACTGTAACCGCCCAAATCTCAACTAACTCGTTTAAACAATGAATTGGTCTAATTCTGTTTGTGGCTTATCTTCTCTTCTACTCATTGTTTCGTTCTCGATTTGAACAAAAACCTTCATGTTTATTTATATTCCCGTTTCTATTATTTTTTTCTCCCTCTGTCTTGTAACATAATTTAGTTGGTGTGTTTCAATTTCTTCGTCTGATATTTCATATTCTTTCTATTTACACGATATGTTTATGCTTTTTTTGTCTTATGAAATGAATTGTTACATTGTTTCGGCGTATGATTTAGTTGGACAATGTTAGATGGTAGATAAATCAGAGAACTGCATCATACATCTAACATAGTTAAGCTCCACTGGTCATGGTTTTCTTACTAGAATCTAGCGAATGTTATCAGCCGACGCGTTACAAAATTTTCTTGTACGTTTATCGAACAACACTAAATGAGTTGTTACTGGAGCAAAAGTGCCCAGCGGAAATCCTGATAGGAAGAAGATGGAAAACGATCCACAGCCTGATGCATCCGACTAATGCATCAACATCAGTAGAGACAATGCTGCAAAGGCAATCCACGTACAAAGTGGGGTGTTCTGTGTTTGCCCTTGACTATAGAACGAACCATGGTCCTTAGGCAGAAGCGCGAGTGGTCAGAAGAGTTGGTCCGGTTATGTACGAAATAAATGTGGGAGGTGATAAATGGTCACGTCATCGGAATCAGATACACAAACGACTAGCCCATGATCGTCCATCAACAAGAGAAAATCATCCCCTTGACATCCTGCTTGATACCTTCAACCTACCGGCAGCCCCCCTCCACGAGAAGAAATTCAGCAACAAGCTTTTCTCCGTTCCAGAAGGTATCCTCACGGACAGCGGCGAACAACAGTCAAGATGCAAGTCGACGAAAGGAGTGCACGCTGTTAAATAACGGGAAGAGTGTTGAGCGCGTTAGATCCCCAGAACTCACTTGATAAATGTCTCAATTTCGGATTTTATTCATGGGCTGATTAGTCAACCTTGAGATCACATTTCCCATCAGAAAAAGCCTTGGCTGTGATTGGTTACTGCGTTATTTTAGTGTACTATCTTTGTGACTCTCTCAAGGACGTTTCTGTGATGTATTAATAAACGCAATTTGTGTGCTTGAGATCAATGCGTATTTGCTGGGTGTTTGTAGAAAACACTTTGTACGCTATATCAAGACTTTTTCATGAGTTCCTTTGGGTCAATGGATCAGAGTAGCCTACCCGGATGCTGGTTCATTGTCTCGTTCTCGTTTATCAACTAAGGTAAACTCGCAATAGTTTCAAGCCTATCAAGTCACTTGTGAGCTAGGTTCGTAGATGTGCACTGTTGATGAGTTCCATACTACGATAAAACGGCAGACCAGTTCCTTTAGGTTTCTAATGCTGACCAAACATTGATCAGTTCACGATTTCAATAAAACTGAACAATCTCTACAACCGTATAAAATGAAAATTTTTCAACTTGAACATTTGTCCGTCAGAGTTATGGAGATTATTGTCTTTATATATACATTGAAATCTTGAATCAATCATCGTTAATCCATCATTGTTGTGGCGTTTGATTTTGGTAGGTAAATCAGAGAAATTTGTTTAGTTCAATCATCATGATGCATGTGAATGTGTCGACAAATTCAAATTTTTAAATCAAAACCATTTTCTTCTATTTGAACGCTTAGATAACCTATAGGAATGATGTTTGGGAAAAAAATCCTTGAAATGTGATTGGATGATTTAACTAGGTCATGTTCATGGTATTGGAGATTGACTAGGACGGTTATTACGCAGCATTGAATAAAAATAACAATTTATGACTAGGTATATGAAATATAAAATAGAATCTTTAGATCATTTAATAAGGGCGAAATGACTTTTATTCAGATGAGAAGTACCTAGACGAATATTAAACAATCCTTTCTGGTTCTCAACGCATTGCTGCTACACGATATTAATCAATGTGGAAAATGATTCTTTCAGTTAGAGTTATGGAGATTAGTGTTTTTACACATTAAAATTAATCAGTCAATCATTGTTAGACACCACCATCTTGGAGCACTGGATGGCTGTTTCCTCTTGGCATGGGACTCATCAGGCGTTCGCATGCAAGACCGAAGGTCCTGTTAGTAGCAGGCGTCATGGATGTGCATTGCCACTGATGAGTAGTCTTATATCAGGACAAAACGGCCTTCTTCCAATGCTTCCAGGTTTCTAATAGTGATGTTTAACAATGACTGTTTTAATTGAATTACTCACTATAAATAATTCTCAAGATGAACGTATCATTCACTCGCATCTTGTTATGGCCATAATTACGACGAATGAGTTTTTGCAATTGTTAAAATGAATGTGAATAGAGTGCTGATCAATCGATAAAATGCAGAGTTATATGATATAACCGAATGATTACTGTTCATGAGACTGGATTATATAAACAAAGTGAAGACTACTTATTAGAATAGAATAAATTTATCATTTATTGTATTATTCACGTTTAACTGAAACGACAAAGATACGAATAAATCTCATTAGAAGTCGGTTGGACTATAAACGATTACTTATTTATGCCTGTTACCCCCAATGAAGCATAGGTTGCTGACTAGTGTTCTCCAACCTACTGTGTCCTGGGCTTCCATTTCCAGTTCTTTCCAGTTTTTGTTCATTCTTCTCATGTCTTTCTCTATTTCTAGGAGTAATGTGTTTCTTGGCCTTCGTCTTTTCATTTGACCTTGAGGGTTCCCAGTAAGGGCTTGCCTTGTGATGCATTTGGGTGCTTTCCTCAGTGTTTGTCCTATCCACCAACTCCAGCGCTTCTTCCTGATTTCCTCCTCCATTTATTTTTACGGGTCAATGAAGTGTCAATAAGTTTACTTACTAGTGACTAGTTGCATGAGAAAATTCTCGGAGTTCTAGTGAGAAAACATGACCAGTGGAGTTCAACTCTGTCTTATGTTGGCAGTAACTACCAAAGACAATAGATGAAGTTGCGCAAAACTCTTAGATTGATCAAAATCAGACAAAATACCGTTCAATGTCTGCTTAGTGGTCTGGAGGTTCTGAGTTCATTCACGGGGCCGAAAATTCTTGTTTCGAATCCCACGAGTGGCAGCAGTCTCTGATGCCCACTCCTGATGAGTTCCATTCCAGGATGAAACGGCCATCCAGTGCTTGCAAGTTTATAATGGTGGTGTCCAACAATGATTGATTCATGATTTTAATATGTAAAAATGGTCTTTAAATGATAAATATGACTTGGATGAAACAGATCAGCATTTATCTGTTCAGTAACAAATCTCTCAGCTAGATGAAATAACAATTCTTGACCTATTGATGTCCACGTGATAATCTTGCTAAGGGTTTCCCTTCCAGTATTGTTTCATACTTCTTGCGCTTCATACATTCAAAGCTTTCTCTCTGGATTCATGAGCATTTGGATAACTTCTACTTATTAGCTAGTGATTTGTAAACATTATTTTATCACAATGATCTGGTGCAATACAGTTCGGAAGTGGAATGTTGAGTGCAACTGACTGTTTACTATATATCTATATATACATTCATAGCTAATTATGTTCTGCTTTGTAACTTAAATTTCAGTTACCAGTTACCCAAAAAAAGGCCTAGGACAGAGTAGGTTGGCGGATACAGGTCGGCGGCCTCTGCCCCATTAGGGGTAATAGGTGTACGTAAGTAATTAAGTAAGTAGATAAGTAAGTAAGTAAGTAAGGGAGTTGGTAAAGTAAGTAGGTAAGTAGGTAAGTGAGTAAGTAAGTAAGTAAGTAAGTATGTAAGTGAGTTGGTAAAGTAAGTAGGTAAGTAGGTAAGTGAGTAAGTAAGTGCATAAGTGCATAAGTTAGTAAGTAAGTAAGTAGGGAACTAAGTAAGTACCAAATCTTTTCACGCACACACGCACACAAACCAAATACTTCATCTATCCATTGAAAATGTTTTTGGTATTTTTTTGTTACCTATTGAAGGTATGTTCTAACTATTCGATGTATCGCTTATCCACTGCTGACTGCTAATACAACCGGTCAAAATAGACGATATCTACGAGTTACAAAAGATTATTTAAATATTTTGAAAGAACGCTTTCAGGTAGGTGATTTATATATATATATATATAAACAATCTTATAATGTTTTGTCTGTGTTAAGAATCTGGTCGAAGTAGAAAGTCCACAAGTATATGCACCCTTTCCAACAAATTCCAATCATATATTATTAAGCTGGACAGAGTTTATCATTTAGATTTATTCAGTAAACTATTCTTGTTCATGTTGGGGACGTTAGATCCCCAGAACTCAATTTGATAAAGATACTCATTTCGGATTTTGAATGTTTCAGCGCATGGACTGATCAGTTGACCTTGAGATTATATTTCCCACCCGGAAAATCCTTGAATGTCATTGGTTGATGTAGTGTTTTATTAGGCTATTTTTGTGGCTCTCTCTCTCGTATTACTGGGTGATTGTTTCGTCCCGTTTACCGACTAAGGTGAACTCGTAACAGCATTCAAGCATATCAGATGACGAGCTTATCAGTTGATGTTATCGTGTTTGTTAGTCTTGTTATGGAGCTATCCACGATGCTCGCTCGCTCGCTAGCTGAAATTGAGCCCAAGATCTTTTTCTTCACACGTGAAAGCCTAATGGGAAGCCGTAACCAGTGAAGTTCAACCGTGTCTGGTACGAGGTAGTTATCCACCAAAGACAAACAGTGAGGTAGCGCATTACTATTGTTGGAAATATGTTCTCTATTGATAGCTGGTTTAAATGCAGATCTTTCGCTCTAGTTATAAACGATAACATTATCACTGTTAGAAACCTAGAATTACTGGACGGCCATCTCGTCCTCCTTGTATGGGACTTATCGTCGCCGTGCATCCATGACTCCTGCTACTCGCGGGATTCGAACCCCGGACCTTTGATACTGCGCATGAACGCCTTATTTCTAGACCACTGAGTTTGCGTCCGACGGTGTAAATCTCTAGCTTTGACCAATCTAAGGATTTTGCAAAACTCCACTTGTTGTTTTCTGTAGTAATTGACTACATTCGACAGGAATGAAATCCACTGGTCACAGTCCGACCCCACAAGCGGGCATCTTGGATGTGTATTGCTGAAGACTCCAATGGCAGGACGAAACGGCCTTCCAGTGCTTCCAGGTATCTAATAGTGGTCTAACAATGACTGATCCGTGATTTCAATATGAAACGAAGCCTAGGTTTTCACTATCAATGAAATATCTATCACTAACAATTTACTGCTTGAAAAAACAAAATTCCCATGTGAAACATATCTTACAACTGAGATTAACAATGTAACGTCCCAGTAATAAGTTGTTAACACAGTCAAACTTTGTAATCTGTTTCAGTTTATAATAATATTTTATTTTAAAAAATAGTCTGGAAGGCGGATTAAGTTGGAAAAAATATATCAGGAAGAAATGAATGTCTGCTCTGATGATTTCGAAGTGTGTTATTTGCATTAAGTTTGATAAATGCAATGTTACACTGATGAATTTCAATCTTAGCAAGTTCCTTTACTCTAGCGAATACAATAGTAACTATCAAAACAGATTGATCGTTGAAACAATCAGTCAGTTAGTCAGTAAGTTAACAACAACATAAAACTTCGCACGTACGTACATCCGTGTTCAAGTTGCCATGCCACACTAGCACACAGAGATGCGATTGTCAATTCAAGTCACATAGTAGTAGAGGTAGTAGAAGTGTTAGCAGTAATCCGAGAGATTAGGGTTCAAAGATATTATTCAAGAAGTAGAATCTAGTGAAATAAACCTACAAAGAAAAAGATGGTGATGAGGAATTCAGGTTAGAATTTCGGAGAACACAAAGAGTGGATGCACACGCGTTATTACAAACGGTTTTGAACCATGTCATTCACGATGTCTAACCGTCGATAACTATCAGCTCGCGGATCCCAACCAGGTATTCGACACGTACCAACATGACTCAGTCCAGTGGTCAGTGACCTCATGGATTTGTGCTATGTTTTGGTTTGGCCACTACTAGCTTTCTTCCAGCCTACTCCTACACCTGAAAAAATCGCTCGTCGAGGCAGTTGGTGGCTGGGCATTCGTAACACATGTCCCAACCACTTCAACTGATGAAGTTTCACCACTTCATCTATTGGTTCGCCACCCTTACCTAGTACCATTTTCCTAACAATAACACTGCTTGCTCGATGGTCCCATGATACACGACCAATGCTCCGGAGACACCTATGATCGAAAACCAGCAACCTACGAATATCTTCTTCTCTGAATGACCATATTTAGCATTCGTAAGGTAGCACGGAACGAACTGTTGCGCAGTACACTTGTCTTTTGATTAGCGAACGGATAAGTGACGCAGGTTGGCAAAAGCCAGTCAAGCGTTCTATATCCGAGCTGGGACTTCGTCAGTCGCCAGGCCATCAGCGCTGATTGGACCCTCCAGATAAGTGAAACGGTCAACTCACAGAACTGCTTCACTCCCTATCACTAGGTCAAACGCCTGAATTTATGTGCATGAATTTCTATTTACCATTAGTGTATTATTTCTCACGTGTATAAATTCAAAATGGACAAATCGTGTAAGTCAACTGTTCAATGTTTCAACTAGTTTAAAAATGCATTTATTATTCTTTTCTTTCTTTTTCTTCAAGTTATATTTACGCGGTGACTTGGCAATTAGTAGTGATGAAGCATTTCATACTGCTGTCAATGAATTCTATGAATCTGTTCTTAATAGTGATCGTCTTTTAAATATGGTTAAATCAGGTAGTTGTTCAATGTATGATATTCGTGAAATTTTCATTGGAAACATTGAAAAACAAGTAAGTTAATTTAGAGAAGAGAAAAACAAATAAAATTGACTTATTTTACATGATTAGCTTTTGTGTGGTTTATACTACTTACAATGGGGCTTATAAGTAGTATGAAGTAGATTTGCAATAGAGTATTGCCCAAAAAGTTACGGATGAAGCTCCGAATATTGTATACGGATGCATGACAAGGTCAGGATTTTTTGAGGAATAAAAGACAGCTAAGAGTGAGCTTGTTTTGTAAATGGATGATAGATGATTGAGCTGACTATGACTATTGGGCCACTAAAAGCCAGTGTTCAGAGTTTTTCTTGACAAAGCTTTTGAACTGATAGTCGTCTGTCAGTACAGGTGTATTGATACTACTCGCAAGATGGCCTGTAAGTAGTATGCAGTAGGGTGTCGTTTAAAAGTTACTGCTGAAATAAAAGAGTTTTGGAATAGGCTGTATAGAGCGATTAGAGTGTTTTGAAGACTAGAAGACAGCTGATAATCCACTTGTTTTGCAAATGGTAGCTTGAATATAAAGCTATCGATGTTTAAGTATGTGTGTGTGATGTTGAATTTAGCACAATGAAACTTTAGGACTCCTTACAAAAACACCTTCATAGTTTACAGTGTATTATCGTTTTAAAAGCGCGAACGCCTAACCTCTGTAGCACTGTTCCGGTACTTAACTGTGTTAATGTCCAACTGTTAGGATATTCATCCAATATCCTAAGAGAATTATTGGTCAAATCCTATTGGTCGATTTCTATTGGTCAAAATTATTGTCGTTTTAACTTTCAAAGTCAAATACTTCAAAGTTTTCTCTTATTGGTTGTCTTTACTATCAATGTGACTTCAAATGTTGCTTCCTATTAGTCGTCTTAACTATCAATGTCACATACTTCGATGCTGTTTCCTATTCGACCAAAATGTATAAATACGCATTATCTGTAATATTTTATGACCAAGACCAGGACCAGAGCTCGGTCCCGGATCCCTAGTCCGTGATCCTGTTTCTCTTCTGGATTCGGACCTCGTACTTTCTGGGTGCTTGTAGAATACAAGTTCTACTTCATATCAAGTCTTCTTATTTGTACTCATTATGAGGGGAGGCTGGGATAATTGGATTTGAGTAGTATGTCGTGTTCACCGGATCCTCGATCCTCGCTCTCGCGTTTCCGACTAAGGTGTAAAGTCGTAATAGTTCAAAGTATATCAAGTTGACGTGTTTACGTGCAGGCGTAACACTAACTCCGACCGATCTAGGGATTATCCATGACCTCAGCCATTTGTCTTCAGTAGTTACTGTCTGATCACGTCAGTTGAAGCAACAATGTCACTGTTTGATTGTTGATTTCTTTATTCTTTGTCTGACCAGTTTCAACATGTTCAACCAGTGGAAGGTTTATCTAAAGAAAGTGTATTCAGTTCATGGAAAATTAAATTTGATCAAATATGTCGTGGTGGTGAAGGACCATGCCAGGAAGCAATGAAATTATCTGTACCACAACCTGAACCGATCGCATTATCCAATGAACAATTATATGATTTATTAATGCGTATTTTATCGATTGAAAAATATGAACATCAAATATTATATAATGCATGTCAAGTTAGTTGAATTGATAAACTATTAATATATATTATATTTTATAGTATGTTTGTTTGAGTCATATGCTCATGCAGTTATTGTTATCAGTTTACCTAAATGTCAGCCATGGACACTTACCTACTTACCTACATACTTACTTACTTACTTATGCACTTACTTACTAACTTACTTACTTACTTACTTACCTACTTACTTACTTTACTTACCTACTTACTTTACCAACTTACTTACTTACTTACTTACTTACTTACTCACTTACCTACTTACTTACTTACTTACTTACTTACTTACTTACTTACTTACTTACTTACTTACTTACTTACTTACTTAATTAATTAATTAATTACTTACTTAATTACTTACTTACTTAATTAATTAATTACTTACTTAGCTTTGGTTGTCAGAAGGGCTATCGGACTGGTGACTTACGAAGAAACTAAAAAGGCTTTCATCACGAGACATTATAACTCTTCTAGATCAAGACTTTCCAAATGCCACCAGGGCAGAACTTTAAATAGTTTAGGCTATGTTTTCTGGTCATGCTTTTCGTTAGCAGGTTGATCGACAACCTCGTGTCTAACCCTCCTCCTTTATCTGAATTCGGGGCCGTCAGTGACCCTATAATATCTCCCGGAGGAGTAAAGTAGTTTCCGTATAAACATTTTCAAAGCTACTTTATTCATCGTAATTTAACGACATCTACGATCAAAAAAGTCTCCTAGTTGACATTAAATTGTCCAATGGATGCAGATTCGTCACAACCGAAAACAAAGGTTTGATCTTTTTCTTCAGTTCAAAATAAATTTTCCATCTTTGCATTGTATCCAGTTATATATATATATATATATGAATGGTTAAAGGTCAGCAAATCACATCATTCTCTAAAACATATAGAGACAATTTTTTTCATTTACTTTCTACTTTATGGTAACTGTGAAACGGTTCACTTAATTAGACAATTTTCTTATTCTAAGCTGATATTGTAAACCTATGTGTTGGGGACGTTTAGATCTCCAGAACTCACTTGATAAAAGTCCTAATTTTGGATTTTATGTGTTTTTTCGCATGGGCTGATCACAATTAACCTTGAGATTACATTACCCACTCGGAAAATCCTTGATTGTTATTGCTTGATGTATTATTTTAGTACGCTGTTTTTGTGACTCTCCCAAGGACGTTTCTATCATGTATAAATAAACTCGATTTGTGTACTTAAAAACCTCGATTTCCTGGTTGCTTGTAGAATACACTTTCTACTCTATATCATGACTTCTTCTGCGACTAAGTGGGGCCTTGAGACGCTCGGATTAGAGTAGTCTATCGTGTCACTGGATCATTTGTCTTCACTCTCGTCTACCGACTGAGGTGAACTCGTAATAGTTTCATGTATAACACTGTGAAAACTTACAACTTAGGGTTGTGAATCGATCATTGTAAGACCAACACATAACAAAAACCTAAAAATATTGGACGGCTGTTTCTTTCAAGTACTGACGCTCTCATCAGCATTCAGGCATTCAAATAACCCGCCACTCACTCATTTATCAGTTCAATCAAAATGCAACAATCTTCACTATTGAATTCTTTCTGAGTTTTTTTTAATTTGTCCTACTTAAAATTTATTTATAGCTTGATAATATTGATGAACAATCGTCTCAAATTAAAAGAGAATTATCTGAACGTCTAGTACAAATTGATAAAATGTATAAAGTAAGTAAGTAAGTATGTTAAATGTGTGTTATTATTGTAGTAATTGAATCAATAAATCATCAATCCTACATTTTACACATTATTTGAAATCATCAATCGATCAATGTTAGACCACCATTAGAAACCTGGAAGCACTGAAAGACGGCCGTTTCGTCCTAGTATGGGACTCATCAGCAGTGCGCATCTACGACTCCTGCACCCCGCAGGATTCGAACCCAGGACTTTCGGTATTGTGCGCGAACGCCCTAACCGTTAGACCACTGAGCCGGTATCTAACGGGTGTAGGCAGTGTCTACCGAAGACTGTGTATAAGGTTGCGCAACTCCGTGAATTTGATCAAGTTAGACATTAACGCCGTTAGATACCGGCTCAGCGGTCTAACGGTTAAGGCGTTCGCGCACAATACCGAGAGTCATGGGTTCGAATCCTGCGGGTTGCAGGAGTCGTGGATACGCACTGCAGAGGAGTCCCATACCAGAACGAAACGGCCGCCCAGTGCTTCCAGGTTTCTAATAGTGGTCTAACATTGGTCGGTTCATGGTTTCAAAAAAAATGTGTAGCTTATCAATCTTCACAATCCCGTAATGCAAAATAGTACGTATCGCAATATAATTAGAAATCAACTTATGTTTGTACCGACAAAGTCACTGATGTATGACGTAAACGAAGCTAAAGAGGCCGTCCACTCTGTCCTATGTAGTGTTTTTCACAGTCTGAACAACTAAGTCACCGATTCGAAACACAGTGTAAACCTACTTCTATCTGCAGCGATACAGGATAGTTAAGTATCACTTGGTTTACACACACACTTCAAGGTGTAACATCGATTTTATTTCCAATATTAAAATATCTAACAAATTTTTTGACTTACTCGACCATATCAAACCATGGTAAGTTGGCATAAACTATGAAAACGTTCTGTAGCTATAGCTCAAGATCCTTAGATTGATCAAAGTTAGAGATCAACACCGTTGGATGCCGGTCTAATGGTCCAGAGGTGAAGTGCGTTGGCGTGCAAGACCGACTATCCGGGGTTCAAATCCTGCTAGTGTTAGGAGTCGTAGATGCGCACTGCTGATGAGTTCCATACGAGGATGAAATGGCCGTCTTTCAGTGCTTCCAGGTTCCTAATGGTATGGTCTAACGTTTATCGATTCATGATTTCAAAAATTAACTCAACCATCTACTCAGCACCATAATATAAATTGCTTGGCTGACTAGTGACTAGCTCCGAGAAGTCGTGACAAGTGGAGTTCAGCCCTGTTCGGGTGTGAAGCAGTCCTCACCGAACACAGCGAGTGAGGCTGCGCAAGACCGTAAAATTGATCGGAGTTAGACATCAACACTATTAGATACCGGCTCAATGGTAATCAAATAATTCAATGAATCAGATCATCGTATGAGTTGGGTGACAAACGTCGGGGCAATACTACAGAAGAGATTACTTGGCATCAGTAATAATATGAAAAATATCAACTTTATTTAGATATGAATTAATTACATAGAATCCGTCAGCATCAAAACCTATTTTCAAATTACTTGATAAAAACTAATCCAACACTGTCGATTATACAATTGTATTCTGGAAAAGAAACAATTTCTAGAAACTGATAAGTATCTACCCTGGCTGAGCTTTCTCAGACGTCCTATGTCACAAAACAGTCAGAAGACTCAATCGACTACCCTTTAAAGTGTACACCTTGTTATATAACATCCGTCTACTGATCGTGTCAAGCATCCAGATACAACACTTGGGGCTTCATCTGTAACCTCAGGGCTACACTATGTAGTGTTTCTATTGCATACTACTTATAAGTAGTACATACACATCAGTAGTATGATGAAACCAAACTTTGCAGAGTCGTCGATGGGCACTGCTGAGGAGTCCCATACCAGGACGAAACGGCCTTCCAGTGCTTCCAGGTTTCTAATGGTAGTATAACATTGATCGATTCATGGTTTCAAAAAAACATTGAGCGTATATCAAACTTGGATCATATTTTTTTTTAAAATACAATCTTTCTTCAAGGAACGTTCATTTCCTAAAATGGTACATAAAGAAATGGAAATGCAGTATATTGAAGAAGAAAAACTCCGTATCAATGGATTAATGCGACGTTTGGATTCAATACCAGCGCTTAAAATCCATTCGACCAACGTCTACACAGATCATAGACGTTTAAGAAAATATCCAATGAAAACTATCCTATCTAGTTGGCATACTGGTGAAACGAGTCGAACTAAACGATCTATTCATGATACTGGTTCAATTACGGATCTTTGGTCGAGAAAGTTAGAATTCAACAACTCATCTAGATCATCATTATCATTGACGGATGATTTACAATCAGTTAGTGAATTGATACAACCATCTTCGATGTTTTTAACGCATGAAATTTCACGAGAAGCTATGCAAGTTTGTTCAACAATTGAAGTAAGAGCAATGTAGTATAAATTTTATTTAATCTGTTGTTTTATGAACTAAATGATATTACTTAAATCATGAATCAATGACTGTCAGAACAGCATTAGAAACCTGGAAGTATTAAAGGGCTATTTCACCCCGCTATGGGACACAACAGCAGTAATAGTGGGTGGGATAACGCAAAATCCTTAGATTAAACAGAGTTAGACATTAACACTGTTGGAAGCCAATTGGCTCAGTGGTACAGAGGTTAGGCATTCGCGTACAACACCGAATGTCCTGGGTTCAAGTCCTATGGCTAGTAGGAGTCGTGAATGTGCACTAATTATGAGTTTTGATGTGCTTGAACTATTACGAGTTCACCTTAGTCGGTACACAAGAATGAAGGCAAATGATCCAGTGATACCATAGGCTACTCTTATCCTAGCGTCCAAAGGCCACACTAAGTAGAAGAAGAAGCCTTGATGTGGCATAGAAAGTATATTCTACAAGCATCCAGAAAATATGAGGTTTCGTACATAAGAAAAAGAAGAAGTATCTTAAAACTTTACAGACAATCCATATTTATGCAGTTAGGTCGATTGTATATACTAACCAATAAGAAAGAACATTCAAAGTATGTGAACTTGATAGTTCGGACGACCTTGAATACTGACCAACAGAATTGGACCCATAGAATAATAATCTCTTTGGGTTGTTTGATGAATATCCTAGCAAATGATAAAACGCCCTTGATGAGAGCCACAACATAGCCTGCTAAAATAATCCATCAACTAATGACAGTCAAGGATTTCCCGAGTGGAAAATGTAAGCTGAAGGTCAACCAACCATCTTTGGCGCAAAAACATAAAACTTCATATTTGAGAAATGAATGCAAATTAGGACATTTCCCAAGTGAGTTCTTGGGAGCTAACATCCCAACACATGGGTATGTGCGTGTGCTTTTATGGTTACGGTGTAGTAGTTCGCACCGTCCTACTATATGGCTGTGAAACATGGCCAGTTAGAGTAGAGAATATTCCTAAGTTACTGGTTTTCAATCATAGATGTCTCCAAAGCATTGCTCGATTATCGTGGGACGGCCGAGTAAGTAATGCATTTGTTAGCAAATGGGTACTAGGTAAGTATGGCAGATCAATAGATGAAGTGATGGAACTTCATCGGTTGAGGTAGTTGTGATATCTGTTACATATGCCTAACCACCGACTGCCTCGTCGAGCTATATTTTGCGATATAGGAATAGCTTCGACGAAAGCTAGGCTCGGTCAAACCAAAATAGGTCACAAATCCATAAAGTCACTTGACAAGTCGATTGAACCATGCTGATAAATGCAAACTACCTGGTTACGGTCCTCGAGATGATAATAATCGATGGTTAGCGACCTTGAATAACATGGCGCAAACCCGTTTGCAGTGGCGCAGGTGCATTTACTCTATGTGTTCTACGAAATTCTAACCTGAATTCCTCATCATCCCTATCTTTCTATTTCTAAATTTACCTCACTGAATTTTACTTCTTGAACAATATCTTAGAACCCTAACCTCCTCAATTACCAGTAATACCTCAACTATCTCTACTACTATGGAATTTAAATTGACAATTATATCTCTATGTTATTGTGGTATGGCAACGTGGACTGATGTACTTATGTTCGAAGTTCTACGTTGTTGCTGACTGACTGACTGATCACATGCATATATACACTTGTCAAGGCATTTTATATGAAAAATTATAAAAGGTCAATTAAATAAAATTTCAAATAGACATAAAATGATAATTGTAAATGAAGGAGAGAGAAAATTAACTTAATGTAGAAAGAATAAGAAAGGATAGGAAAATGTCAAATTACCCTCAGGCCATAAAATGGCTTAAAGATTACTAGGGTAAATTACCAGGCTGTAACAAATTGTTTCTGTACACACAAGAGACGTTTTAATTTACGAATAACCAAGGCTTCCATAAATCTCAAAATTTGTCTTTCAACATTTCTATGCAATGTTTTTAAAAGCTGTCTTGATGTCAATCTTACTCCCTGTCTCAATTATATGTTTCGCAATCGATGAACATAGTTATTGTTACGCTCGTCACTTGGTACGCTTGAAGCTATTACGAGTTCACCTTAGTCGATAAACGACAACGAGACAATTACCAGCGTCCAGATAGGCTACCTTGAATCCCAAGCTCTAAGCAGAAGTCTTGGTAAGGGTAGAAAGTATATTCTACAACACCCAGCAATCAAAATACAATCAAGCACACAAACCGCATTTATTTATACACCATAGAAACGTCCTTGTGAGAGTCACAAAAATAGCACACTAACATACACAGCAACTAATCACAGTCAAGGATTTTCCTGGGGTGGGAAATGAAATCTCAAGGTGAACTGATCAGCCCATGAATAAAATCCAAAATTAAGACATTTATCAAGCGAGTTCTGGGAATCTAACATCCCCAACAGTTATCTGTTTCCCACGTTTATCGGCTCATCTGAAGTTAATGGATTTTGAAGCCACTTAGGAACATGTGTCCATAAGCATTGATTGCAAAGTCCGATTACTCCATAAAAACATGTAAATTGATATATGCACTGGGCTGTGATGTAATCATTCGAGCAATGTTTAGGCCTATGTGGAATCATATTAGCGTGAGAAAAAATATTTCTTGATCTGTTTGACGTAAGTCTAGATTCGATCAATCGGATGTGTATATTGAACAGCCTATAATTTAACTATTAAAAATTAAGTCCGTTAGTTTTGCATCTGCAACTCATAGTCATCATCAACTAATCGATGAATATTTTAGATTTTATTATAAGCTACTGAATATAAATTAAGTAGATAAAAGCTTTTAAAAACAATTTTAATCATCAGACAATGTTAGCACTTGTTAATGTTATCTCAACCAATAGAATGATTTTAAAATATTTCATTTTTCGAATTCTTTCTATTCCAAATTTTGTAGATACTAATTCATCAAGTTAGAAATATTCAAAGTTTACCACGTTCAAAGAAAATTTATTGTTCTATTGAATTGGATGATACACCAGATCGAAAGAGAACTGAATCAGTTGAAGTAAATAAACCTGTGTAAGTAATAATGAGTATTCTATTTTTTTGTGGAAGAAAAACATATGGAGGTTAGTTACGCCTGCAATTAAGCTCGTCATTTTGATATGTTTGAACTATTATGAGTTCACCTAGTCGGGAAACGAGAGCGAGGATTGAGGATCCGGCGACACGACATATTACTCAAATCCGATTATCCCAACCCCCTTATTGAGTACAAATAAGAAGACTTGATATGATGTATAACCCGTATTCTACAAGCATCCAGAAAGTACGAGGTCCGAATCCAGAAGAGAATCAGGATCACGGACTAGGGATCCGGGACCGGGTCCTGATCGTGGTCATAAAACGTTACAGGTAATGCGTATTTATACATTTTGGTCGAATAGGAAACAGCATCGAATTCTGTGATATTGATAGTTAAGATGACCAATAGGAAGTAATATTTGAAGTGACATTGACATTCCGGATGACCAATAAGAGACAACATTGAAGTATTTGACTTTGACAGTTAAAACGACCATAATTTTGACCAATAGAAATCGACCAATGGGGTTTGACCAATAATTCTCTTAGGATATTGGATGAATATCCTAACAATTGTGTTCCATTTATGTTTGATTATTGTACTGTTAAGTATTTGAGAAGTTAAATCAATCTTAACGTCTCTAGAACGTGAATATGATCTCTAGAAGACTAGATAAATAGTTATTATTCATTCGTTTGTAGATGTTCAAGTCGAAAGACTATGAACATGTCTATGATCAAGTTGAATTCGGGTCCCATCCTTTATCCATAATTTTTTATCAGAAAGAAGATGGGATTGACCAGATGAAGTAAGTGTCTTTGCTGACGATTTCGTGGTATTGAAAGAATTCAGAAACGTGCAAGCAAGATGGCGACCGGAAGTTAGAGGAACGCGTAACCGTAGTGTAATGTTAATATGTATAGTAAAAAGTAGAAAGTTCGTTGAGTAAAACAAAAGTAGGAATCAACAAAAGTTTTCGGCAAAAAGTTAACCGGTACAATTGGTTACTGTTATGCTCGTCATTAGGTATGCTTAAAACTATTACTGGTTCACCTTAATGAATGTACGAGAACGAAACAATGAACCAGCGTCCAGGTAGGCTACTCTGATCTGACGTCCCAAAGGTACTAACGAGAAGTCTTGATATAGCGTAGAAAGTGTATTCCATAAACACCCAGCCAAGCACACAAATCGCGTTTATTTATACACCATGGAGGTGTCGTTGGGAGAGTCACAAAAATAGCACACTAAAATAACACAGTAGCCAATGACAGCTAAGGCTCCTCTTGGTGGGAAATGTGATCTCAAGGTCAGCTGATCAGCCCATGAAGAAAATCCAAAATTAAGACATTTATCAAGCGAATTCTGGGGATCTAACATCCCCAGCAGTTATAATGAATGTTGCTATCTTTAACCAATCGCCTTTTTCTTCGTAATAGAGAAATCACTACACGTTAAAAACTAATAACAAACGATCATGAGAATAAATGATCAAGGTATTTTTTTTAAAAAAAAAGCGCGAAATTCAATGACCCATTCTAAGTTTGATAGTTTAAAGATTCAGTTATACGCTATGGATTAATGGGACAGTAAACTAGGGACCTGGTATCATAAGCTCATACAGATGTTCGGCAACTGTATGAAATGATATTATATTGAGCTGTGATTGTTCCCAAGCCGTTTTTACTGTCAGACTACTTACTTCATTAAACGTCGTGATATAGAGTTTAGGAGGCTGTAAGCGTTTTTTGGAAGAGATACTTCAATCGATAATAATTTAATACGCGAAAATTTTATTCAGCTACAAGTTTGAATCATTTTGGAATTGTTGGGGACGTTAGATCCTCAGAACTCACTTGATAAAGGTCTTAATTTTGGATATTATTCATGGGTTGATCAGTTGACCTTGAGATTACATTTCCCACCCGGAAAGTCCTTGTCTGTGACTGGTTGATGTGTTATTTTAGTACGCCAATTTTGTGATTATCCCAAGGACGTTTCTGTAATGTATAAATAAATGCGATTTGTGTGCTTGAGATCATTGTGTGTTTGCTGGGTTTTTGTAGAATACACTTTCTACGCCATATGTGGACTTTTTCTTCAGTTAGTTGGTGCAACGAATCAGAGTAGCCTACTCGCGTCACTAGTTCATTGTCTCGTTCTCGTTTATCGACTAAGATGAACTCGTAATAGCATTCATGAATATCAACTGGTGATGAGCATAACAGGAATTACCAGGGTTATTATTCATAAATAGTGATGAGTATGTAAAGACGTGACTTATAGACAAATATTTCATCTGAAAAAAAACAGTTTTATTTACTCAGCTGTTTAAATTGTATTGTATTTTAATTTTCTAAACAAAAAAACAAACTTCAGATGGAATACAACAGCAGAATTTCAAACAACTCAAACACTTCCAATGATTAAAGTGAAATTGTTTAAAGAATGTTCTGGACCATTGACATTAGATGATAAAGAATTAGGAAGGGTTAGTTTATTTTGATTTTAAGTAGTATTCATAAATATACACTAATTATTATTATTATTATTATTATTATTATTATTATTATTATTATTATTATTATTATTATTATCTGAACTCGAAATCAGATTTAATTTTTCCAAAATAATTTGTTGACTTATACTAATAGTGATCACTAAAAGAAAAGTTAGGGATCATCCAATCAAGTAAGTCGGCAAGTTACAGTGAAGAACTTCGTACATACGTACATCAAGTTAAGTTACCATGTCACAGTACACAGAGACGCAATCCCATAGTGGTAGACGTAATAGAAGTATTAGCAGTAATCGAAGAGATTAGGGTTTGAAGGTAGTATTTAAGAAGTATAATCTAGTGAAATAAATTTGAGAAGAGAAAGTTAAACGTGATGAGAGATTAGAATTTGAGAGAACACAAACAATAAATGCATCTGTGCTATTGAAAATGATTTTCAGTGATGTCATTTAGGTTCTGTAACCATCAGTTACCATCATCTCGGGGACCCCAACCAGATAGTCGATACCTACTAATATGGCTCAGTTTAGTGGCCAGTTACTTCATGGATTCGTGCTTTATTTCATAAGTATATATATATATATATATATATATATATATATATATATATGTATATATATAAATTATTATTATCTGAACTCGAAATAAGATGTAATTTTTCCAAAATCATGAAAGTATTTTTAATAATGACCATTGATCATTATGAACATTCAAAGAAAAATCAATCAAGTCAGTCAGTTAGTTAGTCGAATACAACGAAGAAATTAGTACATATGTACCATTGGTTCAAGTTGGCATACCACATGTGCACACAGAGACGCAACTGTCAATTTAAATCTCATAGTAGTACGTCACTTATGGCGTAGACGAGATATCCGTTTGCTGACTTAAGGACGAGTGTACTGCGCAGTAGTTTGCTCCGTCTTACGTTATGGCTGTGAAACATGGCCGATGAGAGTAGAAGATATTCGTAGGTTAGTGGTTTTCGATCATAGGTGTCTTCGAAGCATTGCTCGTATATCCTGGGACACCCGAGTGAGCAATGCTGTTATTAGGAATCGGGTGCTAGGTAAGAATGGCAGATCAATAGATGAAGTGGTGAAACTTCATCAGTTGAGGTGGTTGGGACATGTCTTGCGTATGCCCAACCACCGACTGCCTCGTCGAGCTTTGTTATGTAGTGTAGGAATAGGTTGGATGAAAGTTAGGGGCGGCCAAACTAAAACGTGGCAGAAATCCTTGAAGTCATTGACTAGTGGACTTAGCCATGTCGGTAACTGTCGACTACCTGGTTGGGGTCCGCGAGACGATAATAATCGATGGTTAGAGACCCTGAATGACATGGCTCAAAACCGTTCGCAATGGCGCCGGTGCATTTATTATTTGTGTTCTCTCAAATCCTAATTTTCTGGATTCTTCAACACCTCTAGTTTTGACTTTCTAAACTTTTCTCATTTAATCACACTTCTTGAATAATATCTTCTCATCCTAACCTCTCCGATTACTTCTAATACCCTTACTAACTCTTCTACTATTGGATTTGAATCGACAATTACATCTCTGTGCTGATGTGGTATGGCGACATGAACTGATGTACTTACGTACGAAGTTCTACGTTGCAACTGGCTGATTACTATCATTTCGTGGATTGTAGCCAGGTAGTCTACACTTACCAACTGTTACGCCTGCGCGTAAACACGTCAACTTGATATACTTGGACTATTACGAGTTTACCTAGTCGGAAAAACGAGAGCGAGGATTGAGGATCCGGTGACACGACATGCTACTCAAATCCGATTATCTTAGCCCCCATAGTTAGTAAAAAATAAGAAGACTTGATATGAAGTAGAACCTGCATTCTACAAGCATCCAGAAAGTACGAGGTTCGAGTCCAGAAGAGAATCAGAACCCCAGACTAGAGATCCGGGACCGAGTCCTGGTCTTGGTCGTGGTCACAAAATGTTACAGATAATGCATATTTATACATTTTGGTCGAATAGGAAACAGCATTGCATTCTATGACGTAAACAGTTAAGACGACCAATAGGAAGTAACATTTGAAATGACATTGACAGTCCGGATGACCAGTAAGAGACAACATTGAAGTATTTGACTTCGACAGTTAAAACGACCATAATTTTGACCAATAGAAATCGACCAATAGGATTTGATCAATAATTCTCTTAGGATATTGGATGAATATCCTAACACCAACATAGCTCAGTGTAGTTATCATGGATTCATTCTTTATTTCACAAGTAAGGATGTTTTCACGTAACAGATTACTTTATTAAATTAAATCGATGTTATGCTCGTCAATTGATATGCTTGGAACTATTACTGGTTCACTTTACGCGGTAAACGGGACGAAGGTCAACGATACATTGACATGATAAGCTATTCTAATTCGATTGTCCCAGGTCCTGCTAACTACAGCGAGAAGTCTTGATAAGACGTAGAGAGAATGTGTTCATAGGCAACCAGGAAATAGGAGGTTGCTAAGCACAGAAATCAAGCTTATTTATACAATGACAGAAACACCCTTGGTGACAAACATAGCGTGCTAAAATGATTCGTCAACCAATGACAAACAAGGATTTTCCGAGTGGAAAATATAAGCTTCTTTTGGAGCGAAACCATAGAAATTCAAAATTTCAGTAATAAATTACAAAACTAGGACCTTTTCCAAGTGAGTTCTGGGGATCTAACGCCCCCAACAATCGACTAGGTATCGTTTCGAAATAAGGGTGCATTGAATAGTTTTTGATACTTCAAAAGAACGTACATTTAAGACCTGTGACTAATGTGTTCAAAACTAGAAGAACGAGAGATAATGTACATTTTTCTCTGATATCCCACTTGGCCAATTATCATCAATATAAAGCTTTGTACTCAAATATTTTGGGCTAAATTTTTATACTATCTTAGCAAGATGAGGTTAAATTACCAAGATCTACCACATAGTAGATTTGAATAAAATAAAGGGGTTAGGCGTTCACGTGCATGACCGAAGGTCCTGGGTTCGAACCTTGTGAGGTGTACGAGTCATGGATGCGCACTGCCACTGATGAGTACTCCTATACACCAGAACGAAACGACCGTCTTTCAGTGCTTCCATGTTTCTAATCGTTTAGGCTAACAATGATTGATTGATCTCTGAGAACGAAACACCACCACAATGCTGTCGTTAGGAAACGGGTGCTAGGTAAGGATGGCAGATCAATAGATGAAGTAATGAAACTTCATCAGTTGAAGTGGTTGGGACATGTGTTACGAATGCCTAACCACCGACTGCCTCGACGAGCTATGATTTGTGGTGCAGGAGTAGGTTGGAAGAAAGCTACTCGTGGGCCAAACCAAAACATGGCACAAATCCATGAAGTTACTGACAAGTGAATTGAGTCATGTTGGTAGATGTAGACTACGTGGTTAGGGTACACGAGACGAAAGTCACCAATGGTTAGAGACCTTGAACAACATGGCTCAAAATCGTTTGCAATGGCGCAAATGCATCCATTCGTTGTGCTCTCTCAAATCCTAATCTTCTGGATTCGTCAGCACCTCTACCTTTGTCTTTATCACTATGGGATTTGATTTGACATTTACGTCTCTGTGCTAATGTGGTATGGCAACATGAACTGATGTACTTACGTACGAAGTTCTACATTGCAAATGATTGACTGACTCCTGGGTTCGAACCTTGTGAGATGCAGGAGTCGTAGATGGACACTGCCACTGATTAGTAGTTCCATACACCAGAACGAAACGACCGCCTTTCAGATAGATTAGAAACGTAAGCTTCAAGTGATACCAGAATTTAAAAACGTTTCAAATATAAGAATCGAATACCTTATCTTTCTTTCATTGTAAACGATTCTGAGCTGTATCATTTAAAGTTTTCAACTACCGATGGGGGTTATCTCACATCTACCAATATGACCCGTTGAAATTATCGATAACTTCATGAGCTTTATGCACCCCTTCTTTCAATCTCCTGTCATGGTAAACAGCGATTAGATATACGTATTGAATATCCAGCTATCCTTCATTCAATCTAATCCGAAACATAATCACTGTCTTGTGTAATCAATCATTCTTCTAACTCTACATTACTTGTGTTATGAGAACAATGTTTCATGATTACAATTATTGTTTTAAACTTGTTTGTCAATAACTAACAATTTTTGAATTCAATTTTAATTTAACCCTAACCCAACAGGTAACAATTCAACTGACTTGGTCAAGTCCACGAACACCACTATGGTATAAATTACAAACTACTAAACATTGTCATGATCCAGTTGTGGAAATACAACTGTCCATGACAATGCAACGTCCAACTAATTGTAAATATAGTAATTTTTGTTGGATTCAAGGTCGATCAACATTTAAAAAATGGAAACGACGTTTCATGTGTATTATACAAGTAAATTATAATCGATTGATTTATTCTAACGATTGTCTTTGATTGAAATATTTTTTAAATTCACAAATGTAATTAACGGTCTTGTGCAACCTCGTACACTGTCTTCGATAGTTACTGTCTACACCTGAACAGGCCCACTAGAACTTGGAGAAGATTCCTCACAGAGCTATTCACTAGTGAGCACAGATAATATTGCATAATGGGGTTGTGTAGATTGTTATGTTACACATTTGAAATCATGAATGGAATCCTGCGAGGTTCAGGAGTCATGGATGAGTAGTTCTGTACACCAGGAGGAAACGACCGTCTTTCAGTGCTTCCAGGTTCCTAATGGTATAGTCTTACATTGATCGATATATGATTTCAGCGAGTAGTAACTTGACAATCTTCACAACCCCGTAATGAAATGAAATTAAGTCTAGTAATGAATATCGAAAAGTTAAATTAGACTACTCATAGAATAATTGCAACTTCTCATATTGACAAGTAGACTGAGTCATGTTGGTAGATGTAGGCTATCTGGTTGGGGTCCGCGAGACGAAAGTCAACAATGGTCAGAGACCTTGAATGACATGGCTTAAAATCGTTTGCAATGGCGCAAGTGCATCCATTCGTTGTGCTCTCTCAAATTCTGATCTTCTGAATTCCTCATCATCTAAACCTTTCTCTTTTTACAGTTTTATTACTGAATTATATTTCTTGAATAATATCTTCGAACCCTAGTCTTCTTCATTACCATTAATACCTCTACTATCTTTATCACTATGGGATTTGATTTGACATTTGCGTTTCTGTGCTAATGTGGTATGGCAACATGAATTGATGTACTTACGTACGAAGTTCTACGTTGCAGCTGACTGAATGACTGACAGCTTCTCATACTGTCGTCTAATCTCATGAACATAGCAAGTGGAGTGTTAGGATATTCATGAAAGATCCCAAGAGAATTATTTTTGTATGTTTAATTCTATTGGTCAGTTCCTACGGGTCAATATTATGGTCGTCCTAACTGTCAATATCACGTACTTCAATGTAGTTTCCTATCCCACCTAACTGTGTAGATATGCATTATCTGTAACGTTTTATGACCCAGACCCGGATCCTTGATCCGGTATCCAGATTCCCTTCTCCATTCGGACCTCGTACTTTCTGGATGTTTGTAGAATACAGGTTCTACTTCATATCAAGTCTTCCTATTTTATTCCATAGGGGTTTGGGATTAGAGTAGGCTGTCGTGTAGCCAGATTCTCGATCCTCGCTCTCGTTTCCCGACTAAGGTAAACTCGTAATAGTTCAAGCATATCAAACGGACATGTTTACATGCATGCGTAATAACATGGAGACGGTTAAGACAAATAGGACAAAAGTCAATATAAGCCTAAGCTCTATGATAGTAAAATGTAAGTACATAGAAAATGATTCCATGAATCAAACTGAAAGATGAAAAAAATGGAATCAAATGATAAAAGGTAAATGCTACTACATCACTGCTATTCTAGCTACATTCCTGTGTCTTTGAAAATCGGGCTATCGAATTACAAGATATAACTAAGCTGTGTAAAGTAATAGACAAAGGTAGAAAACAGTTTGATTGGTCAGTGAATATTCATTGAATTAGTTGGCTCAGACATATGTTATTTTATACTGAACCACCTCTTATCTCAGCACAGTACCATTTCATGAAGTCACTGTGGTGTATGAAGAAAACTCCGCACGAACACAGAAGATTTGACTGGCTTTTGCCAACCTTCGTCACTCATGGCATAGGCAAGATATCCGTATGCTAACCAAAGGACGAGTCGACTGCGATTCAGTTTGCTCCGTCCTACTTTATAGCTGTGAAATATGGTCAATAGGAAGGAGTAGAGGATATTCGTAGGTTATTAGTATTCGATCATAGGTGTCGTCGAAGCATTGCTCATATATCTTGGGACCATCGAGTAAGTAATGCTATTGTTAGGGAAAGAGTACTAGCTAAGGATGACAGATTTATTGATAAAGTGTTGAAACTTCATCAGTTGGGGTTGTTGGGATATTTCCTGTGTATGTCTAACCACCAACTTACTCGACAATCATTGTTTCGTGGTGTAGGAATAGGTTGGGAAAAAGCTAGGAGCGGCCAAACCAAAACATGGCGCAAATCCATGAAGTCACTGACAGCTAAGTTGAGCAGTATTGGTAAGTGTAGACTACATGGTTGTAGTCCACGAGATGATAGTAACCGGTAGTTAGACACCTTAAAATGACATGACTCAAAATCGTTTGCAATGGTGCAGGTGCATTCATTCTTTGTTTTCTGTCGAATTCTAATCTGAATACCTCATCACCTCTATCCTTCTCTTCTCAAATTTATTTTACTGGATTATACTTCTTGTATACTACCTTCGAACCGTAATCTCTCCAATTACTGCTCACACTTCTACTACTGTAGTGAAGGAGAACACTGGTGGGGCAGCCGAATTGTATTTAACGAAAATTACAGAGTTACTCAGTAAAATCGGAAAACCATATCGTAAATCGTTCATTTGCAAAATATCAGTTCATCATCATATCAAAAACTGGACTGTTCCTGTTGCAAACAACATCAATCCATTGTCACTCACTATTCATGCGTTTCATACAAATTCCATTGTGTTCCCACTCTTCTTCCTTTCTTGATCTTCCCCCATCTTCTACTGTCAGACATTAGGTTGACACTCACGTCATATACTACTTATAAGTAGCTCGCACCACACTTCTACTACTACTATGGGATTTGAATCGATAATTCAATCTCTCTGTCTGCTAATCTGATATGGCATCTTGAAGTGGTGTACGTATGTACAATGTTCTACGTTGAAACTGACTGACTGACTGAATTAGACATGAACAACTTGAAATGCTAACTTGGAGTTCGACTAACAGTTCGCATACAAGACTAAATAAGGCTCCTACATTGTCAATACTTAATCTGTAATATCGTATTGTTATTCATTAATTTTTTGGGGCACAGTTTTGGAGGTTTGCGTTTTTTTACACGCAAAATCCCTAGATCAACCAGAGTTAGACATTAACACCGTTGGCGTTCGCCTACAATGCCAAAGGTCCCGGGTTCAAATCCCGCGAGGAGCAGGAGTCGTGGATGCGCACTGCTGATGAGTCCCATACCAGGACGAAACGACCGTCCAGTGCTTCCAGGTTTCTAATGGTGGTCTAACAATGATTGATTGATGATTTCAAATGTTATTTATTAAGTTTTATATCATAATACAAATGAACTTTCGACGCATAACATTCTCTTTTCTTCTCCCGCCGCCCCCCTCCCCTCCAAAAAAATACATACACTTTCTCTTTCCAATGCTACAATACACACATACTCACATACACACACATACATACGCACACACACAAATAACTCAAAATGTAAAGATCTCCCAGTACACATCAATATTATCTTCATTTGCTGAACAAAAATCTCAACCATCGGAATTAATCATACTAGATGGATTTACTGTAGATTATTGTGAATCAAGAACAGGTAATTGAAAATGTGTATTTTTTTTAAAATTTTCATTGATCTTTTTTTTAAATAATGCATTGTACAATTGAACATTTAAAACAGGCGCGGTCACACTAAAACATGGATGGCACAAATCCATGGCTCAGAATCGTTTGCAATGGTGCAGCAGGTGCATCCACTCTTTGTGTGCTTTTTAATTCTAACTTTCTGAATTCCTCATCATCTCTATCTTTCTGTTTGTAAAGTTATCTCACTGAATTATACTTTTCGAATCATATCTTCGCTCCCTAATCTTCTCCATTACTACTAATACTTCTACTATCGCTATCACTCTTGTGCTGATGTGGTATGGCAACCTGAACTGATGTACTTATGTACGAAGTTCTGCATTGTATCTGTCTTTCTGTCTGTCTGACAAATCCATGAAGTGCCACTGACAAGTGGACTGAGCCATGTCGGTAGGTGTCGACCAGCTGGTTGTGGCCAGCGAGATGATAGTAATCGATGAATGACATGGCTAGAAACTGTTTGCAATGGCACAGGTGTATTCATTCTTTGTGTTCTCTCATATCCTAACCTTCTGAATTGCTCATCATCCCTATCTTTTTATTTTTAAGTTTATTTCACTAGATTCCTACTTCTTGAATAAAATCTTCGAACTCTAGCATTTCTGATTACTGTTAGTACTTTTACTATCCCTACTACTATGGGATTTGAATTGACAATTACATCTCTTTGCTAATGTGGTATGGCAACATGAACTGATGTACGTACGAAGTTCTACGTTGCTATCGATTGACTGACATTTTAGTCGATGTATTCTTGTTTTTGGTTACACGATATGGTCTGTTGAAGATACTGTGTAGGATTATATTGATCCCACATGGTTTCCATCCGAATTACTGTTCACACTGATGGGGACGTTAGATCCCCAGTACTCACTTGACAAAGATCGTAATTTCGAATTTTACGCTTTCGAGCATGAGCTGAGCAGTTGACCTTGAAATTAAATACCATACCCGGAAAGTCTTTGACTGTCATTGGTTGATGCATTTTTTAGTACGCTCTCAAGGGCGTTTTTATCATGTATAGGTAAACTCGATTTGTGTGCTTGAAAGACCTCGTATTTCTGGGTGCTTGTAGAATACACTTTCTTCCTCTACTTAGTGGGGCCTTGGGACTCTTGGATTAGAGTAGCCTATCGTGTCACTGGATCATTTGTCTTCGCTCTGGTTTACCGAGTAAGGTGATCTCGTAATAGCATTCAAGCATATCAACTGACGAGCATATCACACACGTCTTTCGATCTCATCAATTAACCTTCGTTGCGTTTACTCGAATGTGTATAAGTACACTGCTTGCTTCAACTGTTACATGTCTGGCTGATTTTTGTCTGACTATGAATAATTTGTCATGAAGTATCATCGCATGGAGTTGGTTCACTAGTGTCTTCTCTACTTGGCTTGTATGCTTATCATTCTCATGTTTGCCTGCGTGAACTCATCCTATTGAATCTGTAATTGACTTCTTAATACCGCCATCTTACAAACGGAGTTTGCCTGATCATATTATACAGGAATTGAAGGGAACATTTATTTCATAGAATGCCTGATTCGTTCGTAGACCGCTAACTACTTTAGCGATAGAATTTGATGAAATCTGTTATAAAACAATTGACGTTTTATAGATGGTTCTTATTTCCTCAGGATATCAGTCTCTCAGTGTTACTCACAGTAGAACTTGCTTGGCGTGTACGACCGTTCAAGTTGTCATGTACTATTAGCCAAATCCAACCGTGGTAAATGTAGTGACAGTGTCAGTAAGAGATCGAAGATACCATTCAGAACAATGTCAATCAGAGGAATCGAATTTGAGGGATGCACTTGCATCATTGCAAACGACTTTCAGCCATATCTTGCAAAGTCTGTAAATACTGCTTCCGATTATCACACGGACTCCAATTACGTAGTTTACACTAACGTAGCTTAGTGTCCAGTCGTAAGTGAATCACTTGTGTGGCTACTGAGTAAGTAATGACTGGGTTAGGAATAGAGTACTAGTTAAGGATGGCAGGTTAATTTATGAAGTAGTTAATTTCGATCATTTGAGATGGTTATTCTGTGTGTTACCGAGCCATGTTAGTAGGTTTAGACTACGTAATTTGAGTCCACTTGATAATCGCAACCAGTAGTTGGTGACTTTGAATTACATGGCTCAAAATCGTTTACAATGGCACAGGTGCATTCATTCTTTGTCTTTTCTCAAATTCTAGTCCCTCATCATCTTTATCTCTCTCAATTTAAGTTTAGTTCATTAGATTATACTTCTTGAATAATTATTTTCTGGAAACCCCAAATCTCTCCGGTTACTGCTCATACATCTACTACCTCTGCCACTATGGAATTTGAAATGACCACTACGTCTCTGTGCTAATGTGATATGGTAACTTGACCTGATGTACATACATACGAAGATTTACGTTTTAGTTGACTGACTTTACTACCCTACAATTGCACGAGGTGATCAGATATCTGTAAAAAAACATTAACCTAGTTTGTTTAAGATATGAATTTTGACAAGGCATGCGTTTACATAGGCTTGTTTGATATGCTAAGTTTCTAGTTACCTCTACTTACCCACTGAATCAATTCATCGATCTTTAGCATCCTTGTCTATTTCTTGTTTATAATTTATTGTATACAGATTTGATAAATATGGCTGCATTCAGTAGAAATGGTAAACCAGAACATCATGGATCGACTACATCTTTGACCTCTTTATCACGATTAAAACTTAGTACATTAGGTCGAATAACAAGTCAACGACATGTAGGTAGTTATCCTGTCGGTGGATTAGAATGTGATTATACACCGAGATATTTTTTCAAACTTGTTCGTGAAGGTGAAACAATCATTGTTGCATCATCCACTGAAGTTGATCGTCAGAATTGGATACAAGCATTATACCGAGCAACTGGTCAAACACATAAACCTACATTACCAGGCGCATCAAATGTTACGAGTATTATTAGTGATCAAAAGAAAAGTAAGTTAGTTGATTTTGTAACATATTTGCAACATATTTGTATTTGATTTAAAGACTTTCATTGAAATCATCAACCAACCATTGTTAGGCTACATCATTAGAAACCTGGAAGCACTGAAACACAGAAGTGTCGTCCTGGTAAAGAAGTTGTTGATACTCACTGCTGATGAGTGATCCCATACCAGGACGAAACGACCGTCTTTTGGTTCTTCCAGGTTTCTAATGATGTAGTCTAACATTGATTGACTAATGATTTTTTGAATTTATTAAAAAGTTACCAGACTTGATCAGCTCAAAGAGATGTTGTGCACGAAAACTCAGGTGAGGACATCAACATTTAGTGTTGCTGTATGTATCGATTACTTTTCATTAGTTGGCACTGCTGGCAAGTCAATACATATTGCGCCACATTGTCCCTCATTCCTGGCCAATACGCACTTTGTCTTACTAGATCAGTCGTTCATGTGATACCTGTATGATCTACCTGGTGACACTCTTGTATCATCTTATGCCGCATGTTCTTTGGGATAACTGCCACCCAGTTTTCATCATAGTCTCGTCAGATCAGGGCTCCACATGTGCTGATTCTCAGTTTCTCCTTTTGTCAAAGCAGCATGAATACCTCGTTGTTCATCTGCTGTTCGTCAATATCTGCCCCTTCTTTTATCACTCTGATCAGCTCTCGAAGGTTAGGGTCAGCCTTTTTCTGCCGGACAAGTTCTAGTGGGTCTCCGTCGAGGCTATTTACTGCGTAAGCTGTTATTGGCAGCTCAGCATCCATCTCCGGTTTAACTGTCGATTATTCACGTTGTTGTGAGTAACATCAGTCGTGTCTACTTACTTCCATAGTATTTCTAAATGAACAGAACTCAAGTAAGTTGACAATGCTTTTAAAAACACATCAACCTAGGTCCAAAATATATATTAATTCATACAGAAGAGCTCTATCAATCAATCAGTCAATCACTCAGTCACGAGAACGAGTAAAAAACGAATGACCTACGTCGACTAACACGGCTGCCATAACCATTTGATATGACTGAAAAGTAGGCTTTGATTAGGTTGCTATGAATGACCATTAAAAGCTCTACAATCACGACTTCCAGTTCACAGAACAATACACCACCGAAAACTGATTATTATGATACTGTATTGCTGACTATTTCAAGTATATTCAACGAAATTTATTATAAATATGAGTATGTTAACACGATCCACAGCGTCTTATTACTGATCAGTAACTGTTGTTACCTTTGTGGTGTAGTTTTGTTCGCTGAACTAGATGTTTTGGTTGGGGAGATTTCATTGTTCGTCTACCGAACAAAGCATCAGATAGAAGAGGTGAAGTTTTCGAATTTTTTCACGGCTGACCTGTAGCTTGTTCTGTTAACCTCGATCTTGATTGGTTGCTGTTGACCTTTAAAACCTGAGGTTATTTGCAGCTTTATTTTGATTGCACCCCCCCCCTTTTGATCTGTTTCTGGATTCTATGTTTGCCTACGATTTTTCTTACTGGTCTATAATTTGGATCAATGTCGGCGTATTTGTTGATTGCTGATTGATCTGAGTGCTATGATTCTTACGATTCTTTAGTGTTCTTTGTGCCTCCTCCTATCCAGTATTTCCACATTGTCCCAATAGTTGTCCGTATGTATTGATATAAGGCAAGAAATATAGTTGTGGCGGTATTTCGTTCTCTGAGCTGGTTGTTTTGGTTGTGGAGCTTTCATTGTTCTTCTGAACAACATCATCAGCAGCACAAACTTCAGATAGAAGTGAAGCATTCGAATTTATCCTCACTTGACCTGTAGCTTGTTCTGCTAACCTCGATCTTGATATCATCTACAAAATAAATTGTTCAAACTGTGAAAAACACTAGATAGGATAAAGAGGACAACCTCTTCAGCTCCGTTTACGTGAACATCAATTAGCAGTCAAACGCCACGACAACTCTTCGCTTATATCAATACATACCGACAATTATGGACACACATTTGATTGGAACAATGTGGAAATACTGGGTAGGGGGAGGACAAAGAACACTATAGAATTTTTAGAAGCTTGGCACTCAGGTCAATTAGCAATCAACAAACATATCAACATTGACCTAATTTATCAATCAATCAGAAAAATAATAGGCGGACATAGGATCAAGAAACATATCAAAAGGGGGATGCAATCAAAACAAAGTTGCAAACAACGACAAGTCAAAGGTCAACAGCAACCAATCAAGATAGAGGTTAGCAGAACAAGCTACAGGTCACTTCTATCTGAAGTTTGTGCTGATGATGTTGTTTAGAAGAACACTGAAAGCTGCACAACCAAAACACCCAGTTCAGAGCACTAAACTCCACCACAATCATCCACCTAAGCTACAAATTTTCTCCACCATCTCAATGTCATCTTTGTTTAATTCTCAATAACTACCACTTTAAATGACTAGAGCTCAAATATGCAGTGCTTTGATAACAGATGGTTAGATTGTATGAGGGAAACACTTCAGATCTGGATTCGGTGAAAGTTGGCGCTCTTTGGGAAAGTGGATTTTCAATCTGAATGTAGTTGAGAAACGGAATCGAATTTACACTTTACACAAAAATCTAAGTGGACTGCATTTTTAAGTCGTTCAGATTATTGGGCATTCGGTTACGTAATCTATAGATTTCATTCACTTGTGTAAATCCAATATCCAATATCTTTTTCACGAGCTAGTCTAAACCAACTGATTTCTTTGCGCTCGATTCTTGTTCGTTCGATTCGGTTCTAGGTGTTTAGTGGTGTTCAATGAATGGGGGTCTAGCCACTTGACTGTCTAATCCTAGTCAGTTGGTTGTAAGTTTGTATGTCCGGTGATTTGAATGAAAACGCTTGTTTAAGGGCTGGATACCGGTAGCTGTCACATTACCAGATCGGAAATCAGTTAGTTGCAATGTGGAGAATAATAAGGAGAAAATTCTAACGCTAATAAGATTTCAGAACAAAGTAAATCAATCGATAATTTAGTTTATTAATTGGTAGTGAAGATTGTGAGAGAGGACCGAAGTGTAAGCAAGGAAGAGGAAACAGAAATAATAGGCCAGATAGATCAATTGAGTGATCTGAGGAGATGGCAATGATAACAACTAGCAGGTCTCAAGATATGCATCATGAACAGCTTGTCCAAGATGGAGATGATAGTCCGTATGTGAGTACGTGATTATCATGTCTTTTCCTAAAGCTGTCCATTGAGGGGGCTATTGTCACCTCGGCTGGGAGAGCATTCCAAGTTGCAGCGACTCTTAACGAGAAAAAATGTGCAAGTGTTCTCTCTCTTTCTTTGATGCTCAATTTTTCGAGGATTGCCTTGAGGGGAGTGATGGTGATGCATAGGCAAGATGCTCACGTTGGGATGGTTTGGCGTGCTTAATATGTTGTACGCCATAATCAAATCACCTCTGATTCTCCTTTAGCTCAGTGGAAATAATCCCAAGAGCTGGAGTCTGTCGTCGTTAGGTCTCTTTTTCAACCCTATCACCCATTTGGTTGCTCGTCTCTGCAATCGACCCAAAAGATTTATGTCTCTTTTAAGCAGAGGGGGTGCGATGACGTTGTGAACCTCCAGATGTGGGCGCGCATACGTCTTAAATAGTGTCAAAAATAATTGTGGAGTGATAGCACCAAGTTATCTTCGCATAAAGTGAAGAGTCGCATTTGCCTTGACTGCGTCCCTTACATATTTCGAACTCGTGTAAAGGCTTTCTGTGGTTTTCAAATCGAGATCGCGCTCTGAGGAGACATTAGGGAGTGGACTTCCATTGAGGGTAAAAATCGTTTGCATCGTGTGAGGCAGAATATGCATGACGTGGCACTTCGGTTGGTTGAGTTTTAAACCGTTTTTCGCCGCCCATCCCTCAATAGATGTAAGGTTCTTTTGAAGCTCAGCCGAAACCTCTTTGCTTCTAATGGGCCGCCCGATCTTCACATCGTCTGCTTAGATCAATGCCGGTGAGCTAACTAAGCCTAACAGGTCGTTAATAAATATCGGGAAGAGAAGAGGGCCTAAGAAGGTCCCGTGTGAAACTGCCGATGTGTATACTCGCCAGCTCGCGTGCACGAGTGGGTCAGTGAAGCCCATTTCTGCAACCTTTGCGATTAGGCGTGCGTGGAGCTCTATGTCGAAGGCTTTTGCAAATATTATGTGCACCGGTATTTCACGGTTCAAACAGGATGTCCAACTATCCCATGCAATGAGAAGATTAGATGCACACGACATGCTTTTCCGAAACCTGTGGTGAGCTTCATGGATCATTTAATTCTTATCCATGTACTCCTTCATTCGGTCGTCCACTAGCACTTTCATTACCTTAGATAGTATTGGTAGTAATGCGACTGGTCTGTAAACAGGCTGGATCCTTTCTATCTCCTCCTCTTTTGAAGATTGGAGAGAGAGTAGGTTGTTTCCACTCCGCGCTATGAGGAGATATTAGGGAGCGGACTTCAATGAAAAAACATTTGATTATGGTGGTGTTTCGTTCTCTGAGCTGGTTGTTTCGGTTTTGGAGCTTTCATTGTTCTTCTGAACAGCATCATCAGCACAAACTTCAGATAGCAGAAGTGAAGCATTCGAATTTCTCCACGTTTGACCTGTAGCTTGTTCTGCTAACATCGATCTTGATTGGTTGCAGTTGACTTTTGACCTGTCGTTGTTTGCAACTTTGTTTTGATTGCACCCCCCTTTTGATCTGTTTCTTGATCCTGTGTCACCTATGATTTTTCTGATTAGTTGATAAATTGGGTCAATGTCGATATGTTTGTTGATTGCTGATTGACTTGAGTGCCAAGCTTCTAAAAATACTCTACTGTTCTTTGTCCTACCCCTACCCAGTATTTCCACACTGTTCCAATCAAATGTGTGTCCATAATTGTCGGTATGTATTGATATAAGCGAAGCGTTGTCGTGGCGTTTGACTTCTAATTGATGTTCACGTAAACGGAGCTGAAGAGGTCGTCCACTTTGTCCTATGTAGTGTTTTTCACAGTTTGAGCAATTAATTTTGTAGATGATATTTGGTTTTTCTTGCTTTGTGATTTTGTCCTTTGGTCTACATACAGGATTGATTGAAGTGATTCTGTTGGTTTGTGTGCCACACCTATTCCAAATGGTTTCAGTAGTCGTGTTGTATGCTCCGATATGTCTTTTATGTATGGTAGGATGATGCGTTTATTTGTTTCTGTGCTTGATTTCGCTTCTGATGATGGTTTCGGTTGATGTTTTGTGACGAAGTTGCATGGATAGCCGTTCTTTTGGAAGATAGTCATCAGGTGTTTTTCCTCGTTTTTTTAATGCTTCGTATGTGCTGCAGTGTGTCTTCGCTCTCTAGAACAAAGTTTGTATGCAGTTGATCTTTTGGGTTCTTGGGTTGTTGCTGTCGTAGTTGAGAATTACGTCGGTGTGGGTTGGCTTCCGAAATACTTGAGTTTCTAGTTTTCCTGTGTTAGTTCTGGTGATTAGTATATCCAGGAATGATAGGCTGTTGTTTGATTCCTTTTCCATCGTGAATTTGATGTCATCAAAGACGTTGTTGATCTGATTGTAGATGTTCTCCAGCTCATTCCTTTTAATAACTTCTCGACCATAGACGCGGCCGACATCCAACGGTGTTAATGTCTAACTCTGATCAATCTAGGGATTTTACGCTACAGTGTGTCTTCTCTCTCTTGAACAGATACATGCATATATATATTCCAATTACCATTTGGTTTTATACATATATATACATTGTCATTTCTTGTCTCAATATTTTTCATTTTTTGCATTAAAAAAAGATCCTGTTGATGCAGAAACTGGTCAAAAATTGAAAACAATTGATCAATTCGCATCGATTCCTGTACATACACTGGATCATTTAGAATATTTCATTATTTTGCAATCATTAAGTTTGGATTATCGATTAAGTGTAAGTTTTGGTTTTGTTTTATTGTTCATGAGTTTTTTTTTATTGAATCGTGATCATGGATTGTTTAATTTATAATTCACAATTATATAAATTTATCCTGTATTGTTTAGGGCAATTTTACATTGATTTTCAGGAGAACCATAGAGACTGGACACGTTTTACCATTACTACATGAACAGTTCGGCTCAATCCTGTAGTGCAACCACCAAACAGGTACCTAATACCCTGGTGGACCATTTTTACACCATTTCATATACACACAATGGTATATATATATTTCTGATCAATGATCGCGTCAATCAATATGCACAGCATGAACAGGCCATTTCGACCCATCCCGCTTACATGAGTGTCAAACTCATTATTATTAGCAATGGTGATATGTCATACAGTACCCCGATGACAATGGCCCTCAGGAATGTTGCAAAACAACCACCTATATATCAATGAAATCGGTCACCCTGCTAACCAATTTTGTATATGGACTGTTAACAATGCTTACCAAAGCAAGGCCAAGCCATCCACAATGTTCATCACAGCGAACCTCTAGTCTCATAGGAGACCTTCAGCTCTATATAGCAGCAGTATAGCATATGGTGTATACATAAATGGCGCAGGATAGTAGAAGAGGCAGCCCAGCTTGATGCAAATAGGCTCAAACACTTCTATTACCCTTTGTCTCACATGTCGGGCAATGATTTTTTCGCGTTTCCGAAATTTTCATTTTTCGACCGTATAAGACCTGAGTTAGGGGTAGTATCCCTATGGATTGTTTAAAAATCAATATATTATCTATGTAATGGCTTCAATTGGTTGATGTTTCGAATTGCGGTTGATCAGTCCACTTTCGCGTGTGTGCATCCTGTGTGGATTGTTACGATATTGTCTATAGGTTGACAAGAATTGTTCATAATGGTGGATAGTGGCCAGCAGTGGGTTTGAGTCATTGGAGTGAACATCAATACTGAGATGTAAGTATATATTCTGTGTGACGAGTCCTGAATAGGATGAAACTGGCGTTATTGGTCATAAATATAAGTATTGTCCGCAAAAAGAAATAATGATGTTTTCCTTTGATGATTGTGATATCTTACTTTATTGTTTAAATGTCTTTTAGGAGGTTTTTTCCTCAAATTCGCCCTCACATGTGTTCTCCTTCACTACAGTAGGAGTAGGTTGGAAGAAAGCTACGAGCAGCCAAACTGAAACATGGAACAAATCCATGAAGTCACTAACTACTGGACTAAGACATGTTAATAGGTGTAGACTACCTAGTTGAGGTTCACAAGATGATAGTAACCGATGGTTAGATAATACTGTATGCGCAGACTGTTGACACCTCAAGGTATATCAAGCTGCCAAAAGTTCATGTATACACTTGTTTACTCACTGTTCCAGTGAATGCAAAATGTAGATTTAGCGTTTGCTAGCGACTGACTGCAACATCTTGTTAACATTCACGAACTCCGCTACTCGCAGGAATCGAACCTAGGAGCCTCGTTCTCGTGAGCGAACTCTCCAACTCTATACCACTGAGTCGTAATCCAACAGTATAATTATGTAACTTCAATCAATCGATGCTGTTGTTATGGGTATATGGTCGATCACTGCTGTGATGAGTTCCATACTAGAATGAATCGAACATCCAGTGTTTCCAGATTTCTGTTTCGTAGTCTAAAATTGATTGATTCATAACTTCGATGAAACTCAACAATCTCCACAACCCTTTAACGTAAATAAACAATTGAACGAAACTAAAATATAAGTACCATAAGGAAACAGATAACTATTTAATATTTTTCCTAATAGTAATTTATGATGTATAACTGTGAACGATTCACTAAACAACTTAAAACAGCTAGCCCACAAATGTGTACTACTTCTGAAACTTAGTTCAATAGTTCAGAAGCCTACATTGTTATTTTAAACAACGTTTGTATTGTGAGTAATTTAAAAACATTACAGATCATTACAGAGAAGCGCAAAATCATATTTTTCCTGCTAATGCACTATATGTAATTAGTTATTCAGACGGGTTTTGTTGGTTTCATATTTCAAGGAAGTTTATTATTGAATTTAACAGTTTACATCATAAACAACCATTGAAAAAAAGCCATAATGATGATTGTTGAATATAGTGAACTGATTGGGGTTAGCTGTGTAAATCGTTAGTCTTACGCATGCACGTAAACATGTCAATTTGATATGCTTGAACTATTACCAGTTTATTTTAGTCAGTAAACGAGAGTGAGGATCGAGGATCCGGCGACATGACAGGCTACTCTAATCCAAGCGTCCCATATCCCCATTGACTAAAAGAAGCAGACTTGATATGAAGTAGAACATGTATTCTACAAACATCCAGAAAGTATGAGGTCCGAATCCAGAAGAGAATCAGCATCCAGAACTAGGGATCCGAGTATGCGTCCGGATACGGGTCATTAAACGTTACAGATAATGCATACTTATACAGTTAGGTCGAATAGGAAACAACACTTGAAGTCTATGACATTGACAGTCAGGACAACCAATAGGAAACAACATTTGAACTCTGTGACACTGACAGTTAGGACAACCAATAGGAAACAACATTTGAAGTATGTGACACTGACAGTTAGGAGAACCAATGGGAAACAACATTTGAAGTATGTGACATTGACAGTTAGGACAACCATAATATTGACCAATAGTAATCGACCAATAGAATTAGACTTGCAGAATAATTCTCTCAGGATATTTGTTGAATATCCTTACAGTTAGATCCCGACTAAATAATTCAGATGTTAAATGCTCGTTGAATTATGTCAAATCGTCAGTCGGCTAGTGAATGTGTCCTGTTGACAAGCTTCATAATTCTTGTTTAACTTTGTCGTAGACATCCTCTTAGAGTTAACATTAAGCTCGTCAGATTTTTCAGGGGTTGACCTTCTACCAGGAAAGTCGCTTACTGATCTAGAATATGCCGATGACATAGTTCTATTCGGTGAAGACGCTGACAAAATGCAGAGTCTTCTGACTACCCTAAGCAACAATGCAAGCATGTTCGGGATGCGGTTTTCCCCCTCGAAATGCAAAATGTTGCTTCAAGATTGGGTTGCATTGGCACCTGAACTAGTGATAGGGAGTGAAGTAGTCGAGCGTGTTGATCGCTTCACTTATCTGGGGAGTCTCATCAGTGCTGATGGCCTAGTGACTGACGAAATCTCAGCTCGGATACAGAAGGCTCGATTGGCTTTTGCCAACCTGCGTCACTTATGGCGTGGGCGAGATATCCGTTCGCTAACCAAAGGACGAGTGTACTGTGCAGCAGTTCGCTCCATCCTACTGTACGGTTGCGAGACTTGGCCGTTAAGAGTAGAAGATGTTCGTAGGTTACTAGTATTCGATCATAGATGTCTCCGAAGCATTGCTCGTATATCGTGGGACAACCGAGTAAGCAATGCTGTCGTTAGGAAACGAGTACTAGGTAAGGATGGCAGATCAATAGATGAAGTGGTGAAACTTCATCAGTTGAGGTGGTTGGGACGTGTGTTACGTATGCCTAACCACAGACTGCCCCGAAGAGCTATGTTTTGTGGTGTTGGAGTAGGTTGGAAGAAATCTAGGGGCGGCCAGACCAAAACATGGCACAAATCCATGAAGTCACTGACAAGTGGACTGAGTCATGTTGGTAGATGTAGACTACCTGGTTGAGGTCCGCGAGACGAAAGTCATCAATGGTTAGAGACCTTGAATGAAATGGCTCAAAATCTTTTGCTATGGCGCAGGTGCATCCACTCTTTGAGCTCTCTCAAATCCTAATCTTCTGGATTAGCCAGCACCTCTACCTTTGTCTTCTAAGCTTATCTCACTGAATTATACTTCTTGAATAATATCTTCATTACGATTAATACCTCTACTATCTTTATCACTATGAGATTTGATTTGACATTTGCGTCTCTGTGCTAATGTGGTATGGCAACATGAACTGATGTACTTACGTACGAAGTTCTACGTTGCAACTAACTGCTTAATAAGGGAGAAAAGAGTACTGTTTGATTGTCAAGTTCAACCAATGAGCTAATCTACAAAAGGCTTTATACTTTTAATCATCTATTTACATGATAATATACTTACAAATACCAATAATAATAATAATAATAATAATAATCCATTTCTTCATTATAATTTTGTTTTAATTAACAACAACAATAGGATCAATTTGTTTCACTTGGTTGTTTAAGTCCAATTCAACGATATTTATTAGATGAATATTGTACACGTTATGGTATACGGGAATGTCAACGACATCTTGCAATGTTAATGAATTTATTAAATAAACTTGAAAATGGTATTAGTATTGATCCGGATTTAATTCATATCAGTTATTCACTGTGTGCTAATCATGTTAGTGGAAAAGCGTAAGTATAATGTGATTTAATGTGATTTGTTGTCGTTTTTACTGATGCGATTATAGTGAACTGATAAGGTGACGTAAAGATTTGAACTACCGATCATTTTAATCGAATTTCCAATGATCTTTGGTGAATCTTTATTGGTTGAGGTGGTTAGGACATGTGTTATGTAATCGCGACCATCGACTGCCTCGACGAGCTATGTTTTGTGGTGTAGGAGTAGGTTGGAAGCAAGCTAAAGGATGGCTAAATTAAAACGTGGCACAAATCTAAGAAGTCACTGACAAGTGGAGAGAGTCATATTGGTAAGTGTAGACTAGTAGGTTGAGGTCCGCGAGACGATAGTAACCGATGACGTGGGTCGAAATCGTTTGCAATGGCACATGTGCATCCATTTGTTGGCTTCTCTCAAGTCCTAATCTTCTGGATTCCTCATCAACTTTATAAACTGGATTATACTTCTTGAATAATATTTATGGACTGTGATCTGTCCGATTACAGCTTATACTTCTACAACCTCTACTATTATGAGATTTGAATTGCCGATTTGTATCTCAGTGTGGTGATATAGTATAGCAACTTGGATTGATGTACGCACCTACGAAGTTCTACAGTGTAACTGACCGACTGACTGACTAACTGATCTTTCACTGGCATTTAATATAATGATGAAAGTCTTTATCACCGTCAGTTGATTAAAATTGAAATTTTCATGTCATTTGACTAAATGTTGTGCCATTTGTACACAGTAATATCTTGAAACTTTGAGCTCAATACCAGTTAATGTCAAATGACACAACAAACTCGAGAAGTAGAAAGCTGTGTTCATAGATAACAAAACCGCACAAAATCAACAACAAGAAAGCCTTCAAAAACATCTTATAGAAACATTCAAGGACGAATTCGGAGGTTTATGGAAGCCTTGGCTATTTGTAAATTAAAACCTACCGTATGTGTAAAAAAACAGTTTTGTTATAATCTTGAATGTACCATGGTAATCTTCAAGCCATTTTACTGCCTACGGTAATGTGACAGCGTTCACGCGCATGACCAAAGGTCCTGACTCCTATTCTTGTTAGTAGCGAGAGTCGTAAAGGCGTATTGCTGCTGAGTCCCACACTAGGACTAACCGGTCGACCAGTGCTTATGGTTTTCTGATGGTGGTCTAACATTTATCGATTCATGATTTCATAGTATATATATATTGTAAAAAGCCATCTGTTTACTTACTTACTAACTTGCTTACTTACTTACTTACTTACTTACTTACGCCTGTTAACCTCAGTAGAACGTAGGCCACCAACCAGTATTCTTCAATCTACTCTGTCCTTGACCTTCCTTTCTGTCCAACTGTTGTTCATTCTTCTCATGTCTATCTCCAATTCTCAGCATTATGTGTTTTCTGGCCTTCCTCTTCTCCGTTGACCTTGTGTATTCCTGGTACGCCTGCATGTAAACACGTCAACTTGATATACTTGAACTATTGCGGGTTCACCTAGTTGGAAAACGAGAGTGAGGATCCGGCGACACGACATACTACTCGAATCCGATTATCCCAACCCCCATATTTAGTTAACATAAGAAGACATGATATGAAGTAGAACGTGTATTCTACAAGCATCCAGAAAGTACGAGGTCCGAATCCAGAAGAGAATCAGCATCCCGGACTAGGGATCCGGGACCGGATCCTGGTCGTGGTCATAAAACGTTGCAGATAATGCGTATTTATACATTTTAGTCGAATAGGAAACTGCATCGAATTCTGTGACATTGACAATTAAGACGACCAATAAGAAACAACATTGGGGTACGTGACATTGATAGTCAGGTCAGCCAATAAGAAACAACATTGGAGCACATGACACATTGCTATCTAGGACGACCATAAAATTGACCAGTAGAAATTAACCAATAGGAATTGACCAATAATTCTCTTAGGATATTGGATGAATATCCTAACAATTCCAAATAAGGGCTTGCGTTGTTACACAGTCAAGGTACTTCCGTCAATGTATATCCTATCCACCAACTCCAAACGCTTCTTCCTGATTTCTTGCTCCATTGAAATCTTGACTGTCTGATTAGCTTCATACATAAATCACACTATTCGTAGTCTGACATAAAGTACAAATGTGGTGCGTGCTACTTATAAGTAGTATATAACGTGAGTGTAAACGTAATGTCTGGCAGCAGAAGATGGGGGAGAAGATCAAGAAAGGAAGAGTTAGAACACAATTGAATTTGTTTGAAACGCATGAACAGTGAAATGTCAGACAATGGATTGATGATTGATTGAAGATTTGCAAATCAACGATTTACGATATAGTTTTCCTATTTTACTGAGTAACTCTGTAATTTTCGTTAAATACAATTCGGTTGCCCTCACCTGTGTTCTCCTTCACTACACAATGACTACAATTGTTCAGTTTGTCTAGTAATCAGTCGAGTGTAATTTTTATTGATTAACTTGAAATTCACTTGCTCATTCTTTTTTTTAACACACAGACAATATGATCAGGCGGTCCATACAGTATTAGCAGTGGAACGTGATCAATTTCAATTGATTAAAAATCGTTTAACAACATTGCTGGAAAAACAAATTACTGAATTTCGTTATTGTTTTCCATTTGGTCGACCAGAAGGTGCATTAGAGAAAACAATCAGTCTATTGGAAAGGGTAATTACAGCCAGATCAGATTGTTCCCTGTTGTGTGTTATCATGTTGATTTTTATTTGTTTGTTTGAAAAAACAAAACAATTTTCAACGTTAAAGTTATTTTTAAAAGTAAATTCTTAAGAATTGTTGTGGTGTTTCGTTCTTTGGGCTGGATATTTTGGTTGTGAAGCTGTTATGTTTGTCAGTAGGTACGCTTGAAGCTATTACGATGTTCAGCTTAGTCGATAAACGCGAACGAGACAATAAATCAGCATACAGATAGGCTACCTTGAATCCCGAGCTGAAGATAAAAGACTTTGTTAGCGTAGAAAGTATATTCTACAAACACCCAGCAATCACAGTACAATCAAGCATACAACTCTCGTTTATTTATACATCATAGAAACGTCCTTGGGACAGTTACGGAAATAGCACACTAAAATACACAGCAGCCAATCAAAGCCATGGATTTTCCTGGTGGGAAATGAAATCTCAAGGTTAGCTGATCAGGCCATGCTTGCAAACGTGAAATCGAAAATAAGGCATTTGTTAAGTGAGTTTTGGGAATCTAACATCCCCAACAGAAGCTTTCATTGTTTACTTCTAAATAACATCATCGTTAGCACAAATTTCAGGTCGATGATAAGTGACGCAATCGAATTTCTCCACGTTTGACCTGTAGCTTGTTCTGTTAACCTCGCTCTTGATTGGTTGCTGTTGACCTTAAATCTGTCGTTGTTTGCAACTTTGTTTTGATTGTACTCCCCTTTTTGATCTGTTTATTGTCACCTCTGATTTTTCTGATTAGTTGATAAATTGGGTCAATGTCGATGTGTTTGTTGATTGTCAATTGACTTCAGTGCCCAGCTTCTAAAAATTCTCTAGTGTTCTTTGTCTTCCCCCTACCCAGTATTTCCACACTGTTCCAATCAAATGTGTGTCCATAATTGTCGGTATGTATTGATATAAGAGAAGCGTTGTCGTGGCGTTTGATTGCTAATTGATGTTCACGTAAACGGAGCTCAAGAGGTCGTCTACTTTGTCCTATGTAGTGTTTTTCACAGTTTGAGCAATTTATTTTGTAGATGGTATTTGGTTTTTCTTCCTTTGTCATTTTTTCCTTTGGCCTACCATAGGATTGATTGAAGTGATTTTGTTGGTTTGTGTGCCACACCTATTCCAAATGGTTTCAGTAATCGTGCTGTATATTCCGATATCTCTTTCACGAATGGTAGGGCGATCCGTTTATTGGTTCCTCTACTCGATTTCGCTTCATTTGATGTTTTCTGATGAAGTTGCGTGGATAGCCGTTCTTTTGGAATGTAGTCATAAGATGCTTTTCCTCGGTTTTTAATGCTTCATATGTGCTGCAGTGTGTCTTCGCTCTCTTGAACAAAGTTTGTATTCAGTTGATTTTGTGGGTTCTTAGGTCAACAACAGAAACCAATCAAGATCCAGGTTAATAGAACAAGCTACAGGTCAAACGTGGAGAAATTCGAATACTTCACTTCTATTTGAATTTTGTGCTCATACTGTTGTTCAGAAGAACACACGAAAGCTCTACAACCGAAAGATCCAGTTCAGAGAACGAAACATCACAACAATCATCCACCTGAGCTACACATTTTCTACACCATCTCTTAAATTCTTAACTTTACTTGTTTTTTTACTTTTTTACTTACGCCTGTTACCCCTAATGGAACATTGACCGCCGACCAGTATTCTTCAACCTACTCTGTCCTGGGCGTCCCTTTCCAGTTCTGTCCAATTTTTTGTTCATTCTTCTCAGGTCTTCCTCCATTTCGCGGCGTAAGGTCTTACTTATTTCTTTTGACCATGAAGGTCTCAATTGAAGGCTTGTCTTTTGACGCGGTTCGGTGCTTTCTGCAGTGTGTGTCCTATCCACTTCCACCGCTTCTTCCTGATCTATTCCTCCACTGGAATCTGGTTTGTTCTCTGCCACAGTGTGTTGTTGCTGATGGTATCTGCCCAACGGCTTGAAATATTTTGCGTAGACAACTATTAACACACACTTGTATCTTGTGGACAATGGCTTTGGCAGTTTTCCAAGTTTCCGCCCCATATAGTAGAACTATTTTGACATTTGTAATAAAAATTCTGATTTCGGTATTGATTGGTGTTTGTTTGGAGTTCCAGATGTTGTTCAATTGTAGAAACGCAGCCCTTGCTTTGTCACTCCGCGCCTTCACATCTGCATCAGATCTAACTTGATTGTCGATGATACTGCCCAGATATATAAAAGCTTTTAGGTACTCCAAAGCATCACCAATAAGTGTTATTTGGTTGATGCTGGTTGTGTTGTATTGGACAATCTTGCTTTTTCCATGGTGTATGTTGAGATCTGCTGCTGCTGAGGATGACTCTTTACTGGTCGTCTTCTCTGGCATTTGTTGTTACTTGTGTGACTAAACAGCCAGATTATTTGCAAAGTCTAGTTCGTCCAGCTGCATCCTAATCGTCCACTGTATATCATGCCTCCCTCTAGATGTTGACATCTTCATAATTTAATTAACTTTACTGGCAAGTAGTTTATTCATTTGTGTCAGACGACATGTTAAAATATTATTCTGTTTCACGGTTTGCATCACCAAACGGTTGAATTAGGTTGAGCATTAAAATCAGAATAACAACGGACCATTAAGTACGTCAACCATTGGGTGTTCGCCTTATGATTAATCTGTCTCTCTCTCTAAGAGACTCGAATGTCCATGGTTCGACTGTCGGCTGGATAGTGGCTGTGCATTACTGAAGAGTCTTAGTCCAGAGAGAAACAACTTTTTCATACTTCTTGTTGTTAAGTGGTGGTTGTCTGTCTAATACCGTTCAAACATGCGAACTTTGAAATTCGACTCTCTTCTAGTAATATCAAACACATTTCATCGTACAATGTGATTTATTCGTTACCGATATACTAAATGTAAATATCTTTACTCAGCTCATATTTATTTTAATGATTAGTAGTTATACATGATATTGAAGAAGGCTCGAATTCGAAGTTTATCAGTTAAAAGCTGACTCATTTCACTGCTAAAGCATGACTTTATACACTGAATTAATCATGATGTTTGTGGTGTTGTGGTGTACGCTACTTATGTTCACATAAGTAGTATATGATATCAAATGGAAATCAAACGTCTGACAGCAAAAGATCGAGAAGGAAAGAATGAGAACAGAAGGCGATTTGTAGGTAACGTAAAGTGAACTGAAGTGAACTGAACAGTCTAAATGAAAAAAACGCTGAAATCTGAAACAAATAAGGATTAGTTTGCAAATGATGATTTCACGGGAAGGTTTTGTAAATATGCTTAACAACTCAGTAATATTCAATTAAATATGTTGCTGATGTGCTCACCTGGGTTTTCGTGCACAACAGTGTAACAGTAGATCGGAAGAAAGCTAGAGGCAGTCAGACACAAATCCGTGGGGTCACTGACAGCTGGATTGAGTGATGTTGTTTAGTGTATACTACCTGGTTGGGGTCAGTGAGATGGTTAGGAGCCTTGAACGACATGGCTCAAAACCGTTTTCAGTGGCTCGGGTGCATTCATTCTTTGTGTTCTCTCATTTCCTAACCTTTAGAGTTCTTCATCACCTTGATCTTCGTCTTTTTTAAGTTTATTTCACGGAATCATACTTCATGAATAATATCCTCGAACGCCAATACTTCTACTGCCTCTACCAGTATGAGATTTGCATCACTGTGTGCTAACATGGTAGTGTAGTGAATGAGAACACAGATGAGGGCAACCGGATTGTATTTAACAAAATTACAGAGTTACTCAGTAAAATTGGAAAACCATATCGTAAATTGTTAATTTGCAAAATATCACTTCATCATATCGAACTGGACTGTTCCTGTTGCAAACAACATCAATCCATTGTCACTATTCATGCATTTCATACAAATACCATTGTGTTCTTCTAACTCTTCCTTTCTTGATCTTCTTCTATCTTCTGCTGCCAGACATTACGTTGACACTCACTTCATATACTACTTATAAGTAGCTCGCACCACAGTAGGACAACTTGAACTGATGTACGTACGTACGTAAGAAGTTCTGCGTTGTAACTGACTGATTGAAGGACGGTTATTTAATTTAAAATTAACATTGATCACTTGTATTCATGAATCTTTTTGTTTTCTTATTTTGTTTAACAATTAATTATACAGGTTCTGACTAAAGAAACCGGTGAACCTGCATCGAGTGAATTGATTCGTCATGTGATACGTAATTGTTTAAGAAATGCCGCTGTATTAAACTATGAACGTATTTCTGAATATGTAATGATTGAAGGTAATTTAAAATATGTTATGTCATCGAATTTATAAATGACCTCAAAATTAGTTTATGTGCTATTCTTTGTTTATAATATTTTGAACAATCAAATTAGGGAAGCAGATCAGATTTAGTATACTGAATTGAGAAAAAATATTATGAAAACTCAATTTCTAGTTGTTCTCATGTGGATTTTCAGTAAAAAAACTGATCTCTTCATCATCTATCTCATCAGTTTGAAAAGAAAATCTCACAATCGAAACTTCTTTTCTTAAGCTCAGCATTTTTCTGGTGTTTTCAGTTAAATGTCATTCCTTCAGAAATAGCTTCTCCTTATCGTCTGATATTTCAGTAACTGATCTTCTACCAGACGACTTACCTACTGACTTCATGTAGTTTTGTTTGATTAAGTTTCTGGAATATTTTTTTCTCAGTTAGAGTTATGGAGATCAGTGTTTGTGCACATTGAGACAATAAATCAGTCACTATGAGACTACACCATTAGCAACCTGGAAGCACTTGACGGCCGTTTCGACCCAATAAGGAACTCATCAGCAGTGTGCATGCACGACTCCTGCTACTTGAAGGATTCAAACCCAGGGCCTATGGTCCCGGGTTCGAATGTCTAATCTCTGGACTACTGGGCCGATCAAAATTGAACGGTGTTAATGTCTAACTCTGATCGATTGCGCGAAGTTCCTGGGTTGGTCAGAGTTAGACGTTAACACCAGTGGATGCCGGCCCAGTGGTCTAGAGGTTGGGCGTTCTCGTGCAAGATCGAAGTCCCCCACAATAGCGCTGTGTAGTTGTTTATAGAATTTACGGGTTTTGAATGTATGTTGTTGAAAAATTGAGGGTATATCTGTGAATAATTATTCGACCAACAAAACCATTCGTGTGATTTTTACAATTTATTTTCTAACTACTCAAATATAAATTGAGTAGATTAAAAATTAATTAGTTGACGATTAACTTTTAAAACCATGACAAAAAATGATAATCATTATTTTTGTCACGATGATTGAAGTGGACAGTATAATTTGATGGATGTAGATATGCCACTGAGACATATGAATTTGAGTTTTGCATTTACTAATTTTGAATAAATTAGGTAAGCGACTAAACTTGGTAGAAAAAATGCATTTTCCATGAGACTATATATTCTTAATTAGTTATCAGCATTATCTGCGGCTGTGCTCTGCGGTCATGCTCTCAGGTCTGTCAGACGAACCCTAATCTGATTTCCCTTTCAGATTCCTCAAGAAGTACCCTTCCACGGTGTGGGCAGCAGGGAAGTGACATCCTCCCTCATACTCTTAACAGCACACGAGATCAAATAGGTCACCGTCAAATCCTTCCTACACATATTATTAACTTTCCTATCTCCACGACTAGCCCTTCTATCATTCCGTTGTCAGTTCGCACCTCTGATGCAAACGTTCTGCGTTCAATGAAACGTTATTCGTGGTCTCCTGAAACCCGGCTGTAAACTACATGTTTGCAGCTTTTAATGTCCGAACTTTGTGCAAAAGGTAGGACAACAGGCTTGAGACTTTGAATGATATGGCTCAAATTCTAATTGTCTGAATTTCTCATCACCTTTATCTTTCTCTTTTTAAATTTTTTTACTGGATTATACTTCTTGAATAACTTCTTCGAATCCTAATCTTCTCCATTGGTGCTAATACTTCTACTACATCTACTACTATGAGACTAGAATTTTCAGTTTGATCTCTGTTTGCCAATATAGTATAGCAACTTCAAATGATGTAGGCACTTGTGAAATTCTACGTTGTAACTGACTGACTGTAAGAAGAAAGTCAATAATTCATTTATTTTGCAAATATAACTGTAAAGTGTACACATTTCGACTAGTAAACTGTGTATCCACCACTTATTCCATCTGATATAGCTGTTCTTCGTTCACATTATATTCATCCTAAGATTCACTCAGAAGAATGGTGAAGGGTCAAGCGGCAAATTTTACACTCCACCACAAATTAATCGTGGCTATTTTATATAGTTTTATGCTTAGATAATGATGAGAAAATTTAGATTTGATTTTTTTTCATGGAACACAATCGAAAGGGAGTGAAGTAGTTGAGTGTGTAGACCGATTCACTTATCTGGGGAGTCTGATCAGCGCTGATAGCCTGGTGACTGACGAAATCTGAGCACGGATACAGAAGGCTCGCTTGGCTTTTGTTAACTTGCGTCATTTATGGTGTAGGCGATATGTCCGTTTGCAAACAAAAGGTCGGGTTTACTGTGGAGCAGTTCGCTCCGTTCTCCTATATGGATGTGAAACATGGCCGTTAAGAGTAGAAGATGTTCATAGGTTACTAGTGTTCGATTATAGATGTCTTAGAAGCATTGCTCGTATATCCTGGGACAACCGAGTAAGCAATGCTGTCGTCAGGAAATGAGTACTAGTTAAGAATGGCAGATCAATAGATGAAGTAATGAAACTTCGTCAGTTGAGGTGTTTGGGACATGTGCTACGTATGCCTAGCCACCGACTGCCTCGACGAGCTTTGTTTTGTAATGTAGGAGTATGTTGGAAGAAAGTTAGGGGCGGCCAGACCAAAACATGTCAGAAATCCATAAAGTCACTGACGATAAGTGGACTGAGTCATGTTGGTAGATGTAGGCCATCTGGTTGGGGTCAGCGAGACGAAAGTCACCGATGGTTAGAGACCTTGAACGACATGGCTCAGAATTGTTTGCAGTGGCGCAGGCGCATCCATTGTTTGTGTTCTCTCAAATTGTAACCTTCTGAATTCCTTATAATCTCTATCTTTCTCCTTCTAAATTTATCTCACTGAATTATACTTCTTGAATAATATCTTCGAACCCTAATCCTGTCTATTACTAGTATTACTCCTACTATCTCTGCCACTATGGGATTTTAATTGGCAATTGCGTCTCTGTGCTAACATGGTATAGCAACCTCAACTGATGTACTTGCGTACGAAGTTCTATGTTGTAACCGATCGACACTTACATCTGTGAAAGACCGTTCGTTTAGGTCCCTAAATGCGTAATCTTTTTGGAACTTTTACTGCAATATAAGCACGTTAGTGTTAATCTGCTTTTTTCGTTTAGTTCAATAACTGAGAAGTGTTGTTGTTAATTTATTTTCCACAGCTGTTTCTGGACCACGTGTTAAAAGTAAGCAATCATTTTAATTTTGAGTGAAAATAAAACAAACTACTCATTAGTAGTAGTCAAATTTAATTAAAAGATTTTTAATTGACTAGTGAAGTAAAGCGCCCATTTATTTTTTAACTAAAGTTGGCAAAATGGTTTCCCGCGGATTGATTGATGATATAATACAATACATTATTCAACATGATTTAAAAATCAGAAGAAAATCAGTCATATTCTTAAACTAGCTGTTTGTAGCGATCTTAATGGTCAAAGATTGTAGAGTCTGTTGATCTGATTTATTTGATTCGTAGACATTTAGTAGCATAGACCAGTGAATTCAGTTGGATGAGATGAGATGAGACATTCAAACCACTTGAAACTAACCATCTAGCTTGAAAACGATTGATTTTACTCACTAGTACGAAAATATTTTTCATATCAGAAGAACGTTTTTTGAATTCATGGTCAAATACACTTTATGCTGCATATCTCAACTGTGGCAATATACAAATGTAAACTTGTTACGCCTGCACGTAACACGTCTACTTGATATACTTGAACTATTACGAGTTTACCTAGTCGGAAAATGAGAGCGAGGATCGAGGATCCGACGACATGACATACTTCTCAAATCCGATTATCCCAAAATAAGAAGACTTGAATGTGAAGTAGGACCTTTATTCTACAAACATCCAGAAAGTACTAGGTCCGAATCCAGGAGGGAATCAGAATCCCAGACTAGGTATCCGGGACCGGGTCCTGGTCATAAGACGTTACAGATAATTCGTATTTCTACATTTTGGTCGAATAGGAACAGCATTGAATTGTGTGACATTGACAGTTAAGACGACCAATAAGAAGCAACATTTGAAGTGACATTGATAGTCAGGACAACCAATAAGAAACAAGATTGGAGCGTGTGACATTGATATCTAGGACGACCATAAAATTGACTAGTAGGAATTAACCAATAATTCTCTTAGGATATTGGATGAATATCCTAAAACCTCCCTCTGAAGAAATTGAAGCGACGCACGACGGTTTATTTGGATCTGGACTGTTGTTTGCTGATGTCGGGGAGGATATTTTCGGAACGGAGATGAGGCCCAGTCTTAGGTACTTCTGAGCGGGTTGGCTTCTTCTTAATTGCTTAATGAGACACTGCTAATGTTAGCTGTTTGAACCAATCTAACTGATTGATTTTAGATCGGCTATCGGATTGAGCTGACGTGAGGTGTACTGGATGTAGCAGGGGGAACAGCTACTCTGGTTAGTTGACAGATACAATACACAACGTCAGATTGACAAGATCCACCATAGTCGTGTCACGATGCAGCTGGGTATCCGTCAACATCTTCATTAGTCCCGCTTCTGCTCGGGTAATAATTCAAGTCTCAAAGGATCAAAGTGATCCTATCCCCATCGCCAAAAAAACTGTTACAATATTATTAGAAAATGTTAACAATATTGTTGAATCGTTTTATTAATTAATTTCCTCTCTCTCTCTCTATTCATTATTTTAGATACTAAAAAAGAAACTAGAAAAATTCATGAAATGTTTCATTTAGCTGAACTTTGTATTGAAGTTTTGAAACAAAATGAACAACATCATGCTGAAGTAAGTGATCAATGAACATCGATATATATATATATATATATATATATATATATAGTGGTGCGAGCTACTTATAAGTAGTATATGACGTGAGTGTCAGTCAACGTAATGTCTGGCAGCAGAAGATGGAGGAAGATCAAGAGAAAGGAAGAGTCGGGAACACAATGGAATTTGTATGAAACGCATGAATAGTGAGTGACAATGGATTGATGTTGTTTGCAACAGGAACAGTCCAGTTCGATATGATGAACTGTTATTTTGCAAATGAACGATTTACGATATGGTTTTCCGATTTTACTGAGTAACTCTGTAATTTCCGTTAAATACAATTCGGTTGCCCCACCTGTGTTCCCGTTCACTACAATATAATCAAAGGAGTAAACTTGACGATTTTATTACTGTAACTTCTCATAAAAATCGATCGATGTTAGACTACTATTAGAAACCTGAAAGAGCTGGACAACCATTTCATCCTTATACAGGACTTATTAACAGTGCCTATCCACGACTTTGCACAGGACCTTCGGCCTCACGCGCGTACGTCTTACTTTTAGAAAACCCGTTTCTGTGAAGATCATGGATGCGTACTGTCACTGATGAGTCCAATACTAGGACGGAATGGCGGTCCAATGCTTCTAGATTTCTAACGATACTGTTATACTCCTCTCTTTATTACAACCCAGCTATTCCTAATGTTTAATATTCTCGGATATCAATTCACTCGAGACGTTCTCTTAAAAATCAGAACATGGTTGAACTGTAAAAAGAGATTATATTCCAATAACAACGTTAGATGGAAGACAAGAATGTCCCAAAAGAAAAAGACGTTAGTATATTTATAGTTTTTTTTACATGAGGAAATTCTAGAATATTCCCACAGTATCGGCTAGCGCTGACTGGGGGCGAAAGAACCAATCAACATGCGACAACGCATTCATGCTTTAATCCAATATATATCCCACTAACAGGTATTCTAACATTGATCAATTCATGATTTCAATGAAACACAACAATCTCTACAACTCTATAATGATTGATCATTGAGTTCAATGTGTATAAATATTCATTGTCTTTAGCGTTTTATGATCCCTATCCTTAGTCTGGCTTCCTTATTCTCGTCTGGACTCGGACCTCAAATTTTCTGGATGTTTGTCGAATACATGTTCTACTTCATATCAAGTCTTCTTCTTCTACTCATTAGGGGTTTGGGACGCTCAGATTAGAATAGCCTGTCATGTCGCCGGCTCATCGATCCTTGCTCTCGTTTACCGACTAAGGTGAACTCATAAATAGTTGAAGCATATCTATCACTACACGTATCTTGAAGAACATACCCCTATAATAAAAATTTTCAAAACAAAGCACAGTTTCATAGTATACCTGTAGTGAATGAGAACTCAGGTGGGGCAACCGAATTGTATTTAACAAAAATTACAGAGTTACTTAGTAAAATCAGAAAACCATATCGTAAATCGTTAATTTGCAAAATAACAGTTCATCATATCGAACTGGACTGTTCCTGTTGCAAACAACATCAATCCATTGTCACTATTCATGCGTTTCATACAAATTCCATTGTGTTCCCACTCTTCTTCCTTTCTTGATCTTCCCCCATCTTCTGCTGCCAGACATTACGTTGACACTCACGTCATATACTACTTATAAGTAGCTCGCACCACATACCTAATAGTATTGATAACATTGATCATTGAACATGTTTCTTTTTTCTTTCATTTTAAAAATGATTAAATTTAATTTCTTGTTCGTTTTGTTTTGTTTTAAAAACTTATTTCAGTCATTCACATGGTTTAAAGATTTATTCATTGAACATATCGAGAATTTTTGGTATTTATTTCAAATGGATTTATTCGATTTATTGGATAGATTACCAGAAGATTGTTGGGAAGTATTTGATTTATTTGAATTATTAAATAATTATCTATTGAATGATTGTAAGTTTGATTAAATTGTTAAAAAAAAATTGAAAATTGATCATGATATATATCCGATAAAAACATATACTACTGGCTACCTTTTTAAATAGTAGTTTATCAATAGATTCACTAGTTGATGAAATAAGCTCTACTGAGTGCAGATGCTGACAAAATAAATGCACAGCTATTAGTGGGACGGACATAGATGGAATTAAAGCGTGGCTACGCGCAGCTGCTCGCTGATTGGCTAATTTCCTAATCCAATCAGCGCCTGATCGATTCTTAGAGAACAGGGTAGAAAATCCTCGTATTGTTAGTTGCATGCTGATTGGCTAAATCTAATCCAATCGATCACGTGAATCACAATCCAGAAGCTTCTCATGAAAATACTATGAAGATAATGACGTTGTATCTATTTTGCCTTCACCTTCGGCTCCTTATTTCCATTTAACCTTGCTATTTGGAATATAATCTTTTTCCTGTTCCACCGTGTTTTGGATTCTTTGGAACTTGTCCAGTGTATTGAGTGGTCAGAGAAAATACTAAGCAATAGGAATTAGCTGGGAATTATATAAGCAAGTGTTACAACAACAGTCTTTTGACCAAGTTAAGCATCAATGCAACTAAATGCAAGATGTGGCTTAGGGGTTGTGGTTTGATTCGGTGCTTGAACTCTAGTGATAGGAAGTGAAGTTAGTTGAGTGTCAGTTTCATTAGTACTGATGGCTCCTTGTATGACAAAATCTAGACATGGATGGATACAGAAGGCATGTTTGTATTTGTCAAATGAATGACTAGTTTACTGAGTGGTAGTTAACTCTGCTCTGTTTTATGGAGATGAAATATCGCTATTAAGAAAAGAGGATATTCGCAGTTTGTTAGTGTCCAGTCACAAATGAATCGCTTGTTCGGCTACTGAGAAAGCAATGAATGGGTTAGGAATAGAGCAATAGGTAAGGATGACTGGTTGATTGACCAGGTAGATAGTCTTCATTATTTAAGATAGTTGGGATATTTATTACCGAACCATGTTAGCAGGTGTGGACTACGTAATTGGAGTTTGTGTGATAATCGGAACCAATGGTTTGAGACTTTGAATGACGTGGCTGTAAGTCAATTGCAATGGCTTAAGTGCATCTATAATTTGTGTCCCCTCAAATTCTACTCCTACGAGCTATGTTTTGTGGTGTAGGAGTAGGTTGGAAAAAAGTTAGGGGCGGTCAGACCAAAACATGGCAGAAATCCATGAACTCACTGACGACAAGTGAACTGAGTCATGTTGGTAGATGTAGGCTATCTGGTTGGGGTCGGCGAGACGATAGTCACCGATGGTTAGAGACCTTGAATGACATGGCTCAAAATCGTTTGCAATGGTGCAGGTGCATCCACTCTTTGTGTTCTATGAAATCCTAACCTTCTGAATTCCTCATAATCTCTATCTTTCTCCTTCTAAATTTATGTCCCTGAATTATACTTTTCGAATCATATCTTCGCTCTCTAATCTTCTTCATTGCTGCTAATAATTCTACTATCGCGCTATCACTCTTGGATTTGAACTGACAGTTGCGTCTCTGTGGTAATGTGGTATTGCAACCTGAACTGATGTACTTATGTACGAAGTTCTGTGTTGTATCTGTCTGTCTGTCTGTCTGTCTGTCTCTGTCAAATTCTGAGCTTCTCAACTCTTCATAATTGATTCCTTTGAGTGATATTATTCTGAATTGTATCTTTGATCTCTCACTGATACTGTCAGTACATTTACCACGATTGGATTTGGCCTATTGATGTGATCTGTTTGTGCTGACGGTGTATGACAATTTGAACTGCTGCACATGTGACGCAAGTTCTGTTATGAGTAACACCGAAAGACTGATATCTGAAGGAAAAATGAATCATCTATGTTTCATAAAAGATTGTATCAAGCTCTATCGTTAAAGTATTTAGTAGCTTGCGATCTGACTCTAATTTAAATGAACTATCGGGAATTCAATGAAATAAGTGTTCCCTTCAATTTCCATATTTTATGCTTCGGTGAAACTCGTTTGTGCAACAGCGGTAATTAGAAGTCAAATATGGATTCGGTTGGACTAGTTTATATCAGGCAATCGTTCGCGCAGACAGACATGAAAACGACAAGCGCAATAATTCATGACTAAGTATTTTCGATCAGACAAAAATTAGCTAGTCATATGACTTGCGATACATCCATGCACTCAAGTCAGGGCAACTAAGATATAAGCGAATAAGTGTCAAGGTCAAAAGATGTGGGAACAGTGACTCGATCAGTAAGGGTTAATTAGTTTGTCCGAAAGCTATGTCAACTTGAATACATATACATACATACCGATTGCTACGATGTGATTACTGACTGACTGACTGACCTTAAAAATAAACTCGAAGAGTAATAACTTACATAACAAACTGACTGAAATAGGAAACTGTTGATCATACTAAGTTCTTAAACTTTATGCATTAAAAATATCATAGTCTCTGCAAAAGCTAAAAGTACCACATTTGATCACGAATAGATTTACCAGCGTACATTGTTCAAAAAGTCTCAAATTCTGTTTTTCAATCAAACAAAAACACAAAGTGATTTGTTCATACTTCCTAACTGATTTGTTCACTAATTGATAAATTGCACTGTATTTTACAAAATGTTTAACCTGTTTTCTTTTAACACAGCCAACTTATCGAATGGTCGATTTCATGAAGAATTAGCTAATCGTTTCACACCACTAGTGGATCGATATATCGGTTTAATGGCTGATTCCATTGAACAGGCATTAATTGAAGGTTGTAAAAATGAACGATGGATACCAGCTGGGAAATTAGACAGAAATGAAGGTAAACTCTTGGCATTACTATCAGTAGTATAGTTGATTAGTTTGTTTTTAAAAATATATTTCTCATTATTAGAACTATGACATTAATTTTTAAGTAAGATCACGAAAAGCTGATCAATTTTATTTAAGCGAGTTCACGGACATTTAGTGTAACGCCCTTTGTTACGAGTTCAAACCAGCAAGTTCATTTTCTTATAGTAGTGAAAATATATATCAATCAATCTGTCAGTTTGTTATGCTCGTCACTAAGTATGCTTGAGGCTATTACGAGTTTACCTTAGTCGAAAAACGCGAACGAGACAATTGCCAGCGTCCAGATAGGCTACCTTGAATCCCAAGCTGAAGAAAAAAGCCTTTGTAAGCGTAGGAAGTACATTCTACAAATACCCAGCAATCATAATACAATCAAGCATACAACTCTCGTTTATTTATACATCAAAGAAACGTCCTTGGGACAGTTAAGAAAATAGCACACTAAAATACACAGCAGCCAATCACAGCCAAGGATTTTCCTGGTGGGAATTGAAATCTCAAGGTCGACTGATCAGCCCATGCTCGCAAACGTAAAAACCAAAATAGGGCATTTATCAAGCGAATTTTGGGGATCTAACATCCCTAACACAGTTACAATGTGGAACTTCGTACATACGTACATCAGTTCAAGTTGTCATATCACATTAGCACAGAGATGTAATTGTCAATTCGAATCCCATAGTAGTAGAGGTAGTAGAAGTATTAACGGTAATGGAGAAGATTATGGTTCGAATATATTATTCAAGAAGTAGAATTTAGTGAAATAAATTTGAGTAGCGAAACTTAAACGTGATGAGGGATTAGAATTTGAGAGAATACAAAATATGGATACACCTGCGCCATTGCAAAAGATTTTGAGTCATGTCACTCAAGGTCTCTAACTATTGGTTCTATTGTTTAGCGGATTCCAATCAGGTAGTCTACACTTACCAACATGACTCATTCCAGCTCTCAGTGGCTTCATGTATTTGTGCCATGTTTTGGTTTGGCCGCCACTAGCTTTCTTCCAGCTTTTAGCGGCTCACAAATAGACTCCAGTGTGAACAAATGATCGAGTGCGCAATCAAATAAATCTTCCCTTCCGTCTTCGTATATCGTACTTAGGCGAACCTCGTTCGTGCTACATTGGTAGTAAGAAGACAAATATGGTTTTGTGGATGAGTTTATTTCATGTATTGATTTAAGCAGACAGATATGAGAATGAAAAGCATTCAAGCAAAGTGAAGCAAATCGGTGAAGGCGAGTGAGCCAACGCTCCAGGGTTGAAGAAGCGACTAAGTATTTGTAGTCAGGCAATCATAAGATGCTACAAGCCTACCTACCCCCATACCAAAAGACATCGCTCGTCTAGGTAGTCAGTGGTCGGGCATTCGTAACACATGTCCCAACCACTTCAATTGATGAAGTTTCACTACTTCATCTGTCGATCTGCCATCTTTATCTAGTTCCTAATTACTAACCGTAGAATTGCCTACTCGGTGGTCGCAGGATATAAGAGCAAGGCTTTGGAGACACCTATGATAGAAAACCAATAACCTAGGAATGTCCTCTACTCTTACCGTCCATGTTTTACACCCATGAATTTAGACGGAACGAACTGTTGCTCAGTAGACTCGTCCTTTGGTTGATAGACGGATATCTCACGTACGCTATAAATGACGCAAGTTGGCAAAAGCCAGTTGATTCTTCTGTATACGTACTGACATTTTGTTAGAAACCAAGCCATTAGCACTAGGGAGACTTCCCGCGATAAGTGAACCGGTCAACACGCTCAACTGCTTCATTTCCTATTACTAACAGTCTCAAGGTCACTACTCCTTCAATGTACTTCAATGTATTATATATACTGAATACAAAAAGAAACCTTGACTCTTTTATATTTCTGTTTCTATTTTTCCTTCAACTAGGAACAAATGAATTTCCTACTAAAAATACTACTAATAATACTCATAATAACATTTCACAACTTAAAATTGAATCGAAACTAAGTGTTGGTCGATCATTGACATCATTTACAAAAATACAAGATATGATTGGTAAACCTAGTGAGACATCATCAATGAATCTGTCGATTGGTCATACAAATCATCTTGATTGGAGTCCATCGATTAGTTCAACAAAACTGACCTTGGATGCACCAATCAAAACTACCGAAACAAATGTGCATCATTTATCATCATTGGCTAATAATGTTAATATGATCGGTAATCAAACATGTCAAACAGTAATTGAATTATTATGGAGATTATATAAGCTGAAACGATTTATACATGAATTAAATTGGCCACAAACTATTTTAGCTGAAACATTTGATGATCGAGTGTGTATATTATGTGCACAAATGCTTAGGGAAGCTGTGAAACGGTAAGTGACATTTGTAATGTACTTGGGATAGTTTTTGTTTGAAGATATTAGTTTTATTGAAGATTAGTTTGTAGATTATGAACACGTCTATAAACCAGTTGAGTTCGGGTGCCAAGTGGTATTCCGAATCTTTTATTGAAAGAGAGAAGACAGGATAGACTAGATGAAATAGGTGTATTTGCTGATGAGTTCGTGGTATTGAAGATATACCGAAACATTGCCAGAGAATTGAGAGAAGGTACAAGAGCAGTAAAAGCAAGATGGCGACTATAAAGAAGAGAGATGCGCGTGACTTTGAGTTTAATGTCAGTGTATACATATTGTTACGCCTGCACGCATACACGTCAACTTGATATACTTGAACTATTACGAGTTTACCTAGTCGGAAAAACGAGAGCGAGGATCGAGCATCCGGTGACACGATATACTACTCAGATCCGATTATCCCAGCCCCAATAGTTAGTAAAAAATAAGAAGACTTGATATGAAGTAGAACATATATTCTACAAGCATCCAGAAAGTACGAGGTCCGAATCCGGAAGAGAATCAGGATCCAGGACTAGGGATCCGGGACCGAGTCCTGGTCCTGATCGTGGTCATAAAATATTACAGATAATGCGTATTTATACATTTTGGTCGAATAGGAAACAGCATCAAGGTCTGTGACATTGACAGTAAAGACGACCAATATGAAGCAACATTTGAAGTGAGATTGATAGTCAGGACAACCAATGAGAAACAACATTGAAGTATTTGACTTTGACAGTTACACATTTTTTGAAACCATGAACCGATCAATGTTAGACCACCATTAGAAACCTGGAAGCACTGGACGGCCGTTTCGTCCTGGTATGGGACTCATCTGCAGTGCGCATCCACGACTCCTGCACCCCGCAGGATTCGAACCCAGGACCTTCGGTATTGTGCACGAACGCCCTAACCGACAGACCACTGAGCCGGCATCTGGCGGTGTTAATGTCTAACTTGATCAAATTCACGGAGTTGACAGTTATAACGACCATAATTTTGACCAATAGAACTCGACCAATAGGATTTGACCAATAATTCTCTTAGGATATTGGCTGAATATCCTAACACATATGCAAAAAATACAAAGGTCAGTGAGCAAAACAAAAGTACAAATAATGAGTTCACTGGTACAATTGGTCATAATAACGAATGTTGATACATTTCACCAATCGTGAAAGTGAAATCACTGCAGGTTCACGTAGGATTTGTAGGATTTATTCGTGACAGTTTGGTCTTTTTAGATGCCTAATGTCTGACTTCGTTATGATTGATTAGTAAATGATGTAGCCGAAATATAAACTCTACTACGCTTATGTTCTTTTGAACTCAACAATAGTACATCAACGTTCGAATTCGAGTGTTTCAGTCTTTTATATTCCATACATCTGTTTCGGTAGACAGACAAAAATGTGAACAGTAGATAAAGCAGTTGTGTCTACTGAAAATATTACTCATTAGAAGTGTTAATAGAACTCGAAATAGTACTAGAAATGAGACAGGTGTAAGATAGGATTATGTACTGTACCGACACAAACAGACAGCAATATAAGAGGTATTTAAAAGCTTCTTGTGCAGAGAATAAAGTTATTAGGAGGGTACTTATGTCTTAAAAGTCATGTGGTGTCTTAGTTAAATAAAGTCTGTTCAGAATTTAGATAAATCATGTAAGAGTGTAAGAACATGGAAGCTGTTACAATCCCTGTCGAAGTTACATTGACAATCAGGGAGAATTTAACAGCTTTCAAGTTCTAGTATGCAACTTATCGATAATGAACACTCAAACGCACTAGAGATAGAATGCAAAACATTCAGGTTTTGTTGGGGATGTTCAACTATTAGAGCCATGGGGTCAGGGTCCAGCAATACATTCCCGTATTTCATCAATTCTCATCGTAAGTCGTTGATCACTTAATAACGTTAGTGATAGTTGTTTTACTTAAGATATCTTTGAACTTCACAAGTCATGCCCTCTCACTTCTTACATTAGGATGAAACGAATGTCTAGTATCCTGTTACTTTTCAGTGGTACTACAACTGAGAAAGAAATGTGATTAATATAAACCATGCTTTGTATGTTGTGAAATAACGCTCTAATTTCTCATTTACCCTAATTACTTGCTAATGATACGTATCGCAGCTGACTAAAATCACCACATTCTCGTCAATGAATATAGTATCTCCGTGAATCAAGGACAGAGAAAAAAAGTTAATCCATACAAGGGAATATATTTTCTGGCAATTTCGTGACATCAAAGGAATACTGAAATCGTGCCAGAAAGCAAGGGTGAAGTTATAGTGAGCAGTATAACTATAAAATGGCAGCTACACAGACAGGAAGTCTGCACGTACAAAGTAAAAAAATAAACGAAAGGTTCAATAAAGCAATTGCTGTTACATTTGATTATAATATTGAATGTTTCTATGAAACCAAACGCGTTCTCTTAACAAAAGTGAAGTCACTACACTTACTTACGCCTGTTATCCCAAAGAAGCATGGTCCAGCTGTAGTGAACGAGAACACAGGTGGGGCAACTGAATTGTATCTAACGAAAATTACAGAGTTACTCAGTAAAATAGGAAAACCATATCGTAAATCGTTAATTTGCAAAATAACAGTTCATCATATCGAACTGGACTGTTCCTGTTGCAAACAACATCAATCCATTGTCACTCACTATTCATGCGTTTCATACAAATTCCATTGTTTTCTAACTCTTCCTTTCTTGATCTTCCCCCATGTTCTGCTGCCAGACACTACGTTTTTACTCACGTCATATACTACTTATAAGTAGCTCGCAGCACACAGCGACCAGCATTTTCTAACCCTACTCTGTCCAATTGTTGTTCATTCTTCTCATGTCTGTCTCCATTCTCGGCATGTTGAGTTCTTGGTCTTCCTCCTTTCTTTTTGCCTTGAGGATCCTAAGTAAGGGCTTGTCCTGCGACTCATCTGGGTACTCTAATGAGACACTAATTTGCTTAGTGCAAACACTAAACGATCTATCTGCTTCTACAGTCCATCCGTTCTATACTAGATACCCAGTCAGAAGTATTTTACAAGGTTTCAACACAACTCAGATCAAGAAAACGTGATCTATCTGACTAGAATGTGTATTCGTTAACAGTCAACAACTGACAGTTAATTTTAATAGAAGGAATAGAGATAGATATAAGCAAAAAACCAAAGGTCTATCAGGTCCATAGCCAATCACTATTATTTGTCACCGACACAACAGTTCCCTGTCGGTCTCATCTAATCCCTCTGTCAGACTCGATATTCAACACATGGGCTGTTAAATTATTGAATTTGATTTTATATAGGTTGGTAATATTAATCGCTCGTAGTTGAAACATCTTCCAACCATCGTTTACGTTTACATTTTCATAGAGTAATAAGTTAGATCTAAAAGTTCATTGGAACTATGATTGGTACAGATAAAAAAACTCCATTCAAACAGTCAGCAGAGAAAAATGAATGAATGAATGAGGATATGTCTATTTGTAAAACTGAAGTGATACAAAACATTTTACTAAAGCTATATATGTTTTCACAATAGGATTATGGAGATTGTTGAGTTACTTATTGAAATCATGAATCGATCAATATTAGACCACACCATTAGAAACCCGAATGCATTGGACGTTGGTTTCATCCTAATATGGGACACATGCACACGGGAATCGAACCCATGACCTTCGGCGTTGAGCGCAAACGCTTAACCTATAGACCAGTGGGTCGGAATCCAACGGTGCTAATGTCTAATTCCGATCAATCCATAGTCTTGCACAACCCCATCCATTGTCTTCGATGGACTCTGCTTCACACCCGACAGGACTGAACTCCACTAGTCTATAAGCTGATTGTAAATTAGCAAAAATATAGTGAAGAATTAAAGATTTGAAAGTGAATATCATGTGATAGTTGAAGATCTTTATCTGTACGATCCATTTTTTGAAAGCTTTCTTTGTGAACATCCCCTTCATGTTGTATAGATTTGTAATTTGTCCTTATTGATTCCTTCAGTTGTGCATTTTGTTAATCTGTTCAATTCCATTTTTGAGATGATAATATTTGTATTTTATTATAGTTTCTATTTCTTTTTTGCCTTCACTGAGTTTCTATGTTTCTTTCTGAACTGCTTTGATGTTGTTTAAACTGATACTTAGTCATGGCGACAGCCATATTGATTTGTTCCTCTTTGGATTAGATTGCGTGTTTTGACTGAACATTGTGCATTTTGATTGTGAATTAGAAACACTCTGTTTTATAAAGCGACCAAATATTATCTGTCGAACGGATCTGATCTATCCAAGAGGGATAGAATATCAGTTATTTGACGCTGTTGATTAGATTAATTGAACAATTGTTAGTGGAATCGCCGAGTGGTAATATTTGTTTAGGTAATGATGTATATATTAATATTGATGATGAATATTACAACCGTCATTTTCCCCAAATCACTTGTTCCGATCTCAACTCGGCAATAGCGCGTATCGCAACTACCTAGACAATTTTTATTCCTCATTGCAAACCTCATTTTTAGAATCCTACATTTATCTAAATTACAATCTTTCTATAATTTTTTTCCATTTTTCAGTACTCTCATTGAATTAGAAGCATTAATTAGAAAATGCGCTAAAACTGTGGATTTAATACTTCCATTAGAATGTTACACAATGTTAAATACAATCAGTGAATTAAGAGCACATTTATTTTCATTATGTCAACCAATGAATCAAGTCAATGTGATTAACAGTAATACAAGTAATAATAATAATAACAGTAATAATAATAATATGTCACGATTACATCGTCAACCAACAAGGAATGCTGTAAGAGTTATTTTTTTTAAAAAATTTCAAAATTAGTTAACTGATTTTAAAATGTAGATCATATCGATAAGTGTTGTAACGTTTGCTTGTATAATTCCTAGCTAATTCCTATTGCTTAGTATGATTCTCTGACCACTCCATATACACTGGACAAGTGTTCCAAAGAATCGAAAAACACGGTGGAACAGGAAAAGATTATACTCCAAATAGCAAGGTTAAATGAAATACCAGCAGCTGGTCGACACTTACCGACATGGCTCAACCCACTTTGTCAGTGACACTTCATGGATTTGTCAGACAGACAGACAGACAGACAGACAGACAGATACAACGCAGAACTTCGTACATAAGTACATCAGTTTAGGTTGCTATACCACATCAGCACAGAGACGCAACTGTCAGTTCAAATCCAACAGTGATAGCGATAGCAGAATTATTAGCAGTAATGAAGAAGGGAGCGAAGATATGATTCGAGAAGTATAATTCAGTAAGATAAATTTAGAAGGAGAAAGATAGAGATTATGAGGAATTCAGAAGCTTAGAATTTCATAGAACACGAAGAATGAATGCACCTGCGCCATGCAAAACGGTTTGGAACCATGTCATTCAGTTTCTCTAACCATCGATGACTATCGTCTCGTGGACCCCAACCAAGTAGCCTACATCTACCAACATGACTCAGTCCACTTGTCAGTGCCATGTTTTGGTTTGGCCGCCCCTAGCTTTCTTCCAATCTACTCCTACACTGCGAAACATAACTCGTCGCGGCAGTCGGTGGTTAGTCATATGTAACTCATGTCTCAACCACCTCAACTGATGAAGTTTCATTACTTCATCTATTGATTTGCCATCCTTACCTAAAACTAGTTTCCTAACGACAGCATTGCTTATACGGTTGTCCCATGATACACGAGCAATGTAGATCATATCGATAAGTTATGGGTATTTAATTATAGATCCCTTCGAAATTGTTGAGACATATGTTACGAATACTCAACCACTGACTGCCTAGAAGAGTGATAATGCCTGATGTAGGTGTAAGTGTAGGCGGGGAGAAAGTTAGAGGTGGTCAAACTAAAACATGGAACAAAAATCTATGAAGTCACTGGTAACTGGAGGGAACTATGTCAGTAGGTGCAGACTACCTGGTTGAGGTCCGCGAGACGATAGTAACTGATGGTTACAGACTTTGAATGAAATGTCTTAAAATCGTTTGAACTAGCACAGATGCATGCATTCTTTGTGTTCTTCGAAATTCTAATCGTCTGAATTCTTTATGAGCTTAATCTTTCTCTTCTCAAATATATTTTACTAGATCATACTTCTTGAATAATATCTTCAAACCCTAATCTCTCCGATTACTGCTAATACTTCTACTACCTTTACTACTATTGGATTTGAATTGACACTTGCATCTGTGTGTGTGCTAATGTGGTACGGCAACTTGAACTGATGTACGTGCGTACGTACGAAGTTCCACATTGTAGCTGACTGTCTGACTGACTGACCTTCGAAATATTACCCATGAATTTAAGACAGTACACAGGTGTACCAAATCTATTGATCAGTTGGTAAATGCTCATTGGAGCATGTATCGTGTATACCCAATCACTACCTAGCTGAACGTACAACCATAGTTGACGTAATAATAGTTTGGAAGAAATCTAAGGCCAGTCAGTAGATAAAGTTGATGACTGTTGAATCGAGTTGTGTACATAGGCACTGACTATCTAGTTTTGGTGTATACGATTGTTGGAATTAATCATAAAGTACTTTAGGCTATATACATCTGAGTCATTCAAACGAACACAAGTGAATTCATTCATTTTATACCTTTACATTCTTGATGTTTAAATTGTCTTGTGTTTGAAATTAGTTTTGTCGATTTCATTGCATTGTGTTGATGTGGTGTGATTTCTTGAATGAATGTAAATATGTTTTGAGATGGTGAAGAGAACTTGTAGCTCAGGTGGATGATTGTGGTGGTGTTTTGTTCTCTGAGCTGGTTGTTTTGATTGTGAAGCTTTCATTGTTCTTCTTCGTGAACAACATCATCAGCACAAACTTCAGATAGAAGTGAAGAGTATTCGAATTAGTCCACTTTTGACCTGTAACTTGTTCTGCTAACCTCGATCTTGATTGTTTGCTGTTGACTTTTGACCTATCGTTGTTTGCAACTTTGTTTTGATTGCACCACCGACAACTATGGACACACATTTGATTGGAACAATGTGGAAATACTGGGTAGGGGGAGGACAAAATACACTAGAGAATTTTTAGAAGCTTGGCACACAGGTCAATCAGCAATCGACAAACACATCGACATTGACTCAATCTATCAACCAATCAGAAAAATCATAGGATCAAGGAACAGATCAAAAGGGGGGGCAATCAAAACAAAGTTGTAAACAACGACAGGTCAAAGATCAACAGCAACCAATCAAGATCGAGGTTAGCAGAACAAACTACTGGTCAAAAGTGGAGAAATTCGAATGCTCCACTTCTATCTGAAGTTTGTGCTGATGATGTTGTTCACGAAGAACAATGAAAGCTCCACACTCAAAACAACCAGCTCAGAGAACAAAACACCACCACACCCATTTCTAACGTTTTGTATGACTGACTGGTTTACTCACTTACTTACTCCTCTCCTGTTACCCCTAATGGTGGAGCATAGATGACCGAGCAGCGAATTATTTTTTTTCTAATTGGTGTTTTACTCCAGCGACTTGGATTTCTACAGAGTGGGATGGTTAATCCCTTCTCCTTTACACGGGCTTGGGACTGGTAGTATCCTTTGAAGGGCTCCATGTGGAGTTACTGACCGATTTACTGATGACTACTGTATCTAGTAGTGGTAGTCGAAAGTTGTCCAATTAGACTGATGTGTATTGCGATCAAATTGATGAGCAACATTACTGATATATTTTATTCATTACGAAAATCTCATTTGATGATAACATCACATAGAATATCTTAGCTTACTTCAGTGGCACACCTTAGATAGACAACCAGTAAGCAGCCAGGATGCATAAGAGCGCTTTTTAACACTAGTACAGAGTTACTCTCTAGAGCGAATCCACAACCTGACCATGAATTAAACGCATACAGAATCATATGGAATACTTGGTCGATTCTAGAGAAACTCCATGCTTTTCCGAAGTCATGTCACATGGATAACTACGATTGCTCCTCATCAATATGTGAACTGATGTTCATACTTGATAAAATCTGGGACTTTCAAGAAACACAATGTTCTAAATCACTGAGCTGGCCGATATCCAACAGTGTCAATGTTCAATTCTGATCAATCTAGGGATTTTGTGCAACCTCGCCCATTTGTCTTTCATTGTTACTACCTACACCTGACAGGGTTGAACTTCACTGGTCACGACTTCTCACTGGAACTCCTAGGATTTCTAGTTTTTTCACACCTTAGATACAGCTAAATTATCGTTCAATGTCCAGTAAATAGGTAATTCTCCCGTGCCTTAATATTTGTATATAAAAGCTGTAACTCCTTATTCAAACACTGGTAATTACATCTTAAATTTGGTCAATAAGAGAGAGAACAGCGCTTTTATTCACAGCAATAAATTTCTATCTTTTAATTTTCAATGATTGTTCAGTTCAACTTAAACAGTTATGAAAATTCAACGGAAGTCATAAATTTCTTCAAAGTTAAATAGCTTTTGTACTTTGAAACCATGAATCAATCATTGTTAGACCACCAATAGAAATGTTGAAGCACTTGGACGGCTATTTCATTCTAAAATGTGATCATTACTGACTAGCTTCATGAGGAAATTCTCGGAGTTCCAGTGAGAAGCCTTGACCAGTGAAGTTCAACCCTGTAGGGTGTAACTACCGAAGATAAATGAATGAGCTTGTGCAAAACTTTAGACTGATCAAAAGTTGAATGTGGTCGGCTCAGTGGTCTAGAAGTTAAGCGTTCGCGCGCAAAGGTCATTGGTTCGATTTCCGCTTGGGGATTTCTCGAATGCGCACTGCTAAAGAGTCTCATATTAAAATGAAACGACCGTCCAGTGCTTGCAGGTGTTTAATGGTGGTCGAACAGTGATTGATTCACGATTTCAATGATCTTGTTTCAGATATTAGATGACTGAAAGTAGCCACTACTTAGAATTATCGACCAGCAGTTAAGGAAATTTGAAAAATCCCCATGTTGTGTAATGCTTTCGAATTCTATATTTGCTGAAAAAGTGTTAGAGTAATTAAATTCTTTTCTGAATTTCGGTACATGTAATTGCAACAAAACATTATCTGTGGGGAGGTTTTTCTAGTTCATAGGTTACATCTTCGACTGATTCTGAGATGATAGAGAAAATTTGCAGTTCACGTGGATGATTGTGGTGGTGTTTCGTTCTCTGAGCTGAATGTTTTGGTTGTGGAGATGTCGTTGCTCTTCTGATGAACAACACCATCAGCACAAACTTCAAATAAAAGTGAAGTAGTCGAATTGCTCTACATTTGACCTGTGGCTTGTCCTGTTGACCTGGATCTTGATCCGTTGCTGTTGACCTTAAACCTGTCGTCGTTTGCACCTTTGTTTTGATTGTATCCCCCTTTTTGATCTGTTTCTTGATCGTATGTCACCTATGATTTTCCTGATTGGTTGATTAACTGGGTCAATGTCGATGTGTTTGTTGATTGCTGATTGGCCTGAGTGCCAAGCTTCTAAAAATTCTCTAGTGTTCTTTGTCCTCCCCCTATCCAGTATTTCCACATTGTTCCAATCATATGTGTGTCCATACTTGTCCGTATCTATTGATATCAAGTAAGTGCTGTTATGACATTTGACTGCTAATTGATGTTCACGTAGACGGAGTTGAAAAGGCCATCCACTTTGTCCTATGTAGTGTTTTTCACACTCTGTGCAATTTATTTTGTAGATAATGACTGATCCTGTTTAAATAACCATTAAAAACCGAAATGTTGGTATCAATCATTATTATTATTAATATTATTATTGTAACCATTTTGAATGAATTCATCCTCTCTCTCTCTACAGACTCAATTACACATGGAAACTCAAGAGTTCTTTGAAAGTATACAAAAAAATATGATGATTATCATTGTTGATCATTGTATGATTATTTTAAATGGTGTCTTAAAGAAATTGACAAGATTTGATGAAAATAAACTATTCTCATCGATTCTTGTATTGACTGTAAGTGAATTTTAATTATTATTGAATTGAGTTTTTAGCCTATTTTGTTATTTATTGACTTACTGACTTGCTTACTAACTGACACCTGTCAACCTGAATGGAGTATGGGTCGCCGACTATTCTGGTTAGCATTTATTTTAGTGAGTTGGATTTCTACTAGATCATACTAACCCCATGCCCAACCATCCAGCCTTATCCAGGCTTGAGACTGGCAGTAATCCTAGAAGGGTTCCAGGTGGAGTTGACTATTTATTTACGAAATAGCAAAACTAATTACAATCGATCATTTTTAGAGATTTCTCAGTACATTTTTAATTTAACTTATATGACTGTTAGGATGTTCATCCAATATCCTAAGAGAATTATTGGTCTATTCCTATTGGTTAATTTCTACTGTTCAATTTTATGATCATCCTAGATATCAATGTCACGTGCTCCGATGTTGTTTCTTATTGGTTGTCCTGACTATCAATGTCACTTCAAATGTTGCTTCCTATTGGTCGCCTTAACTGTCAATGTCACAGAATTCGATGCTGTTTCCTATTCGACCAAAATGTATATATACGCATTATCTGTAACATTTTAGGACCACAACCAGGACCAGGGCTCGGTCCCAGGTCCCTAGTCCGGGATGCTGATTCTCTTCTGGATTCAGACCTCGTACTTACTGGATGTTTGTAGAATACAAGTTCTACTTCACATCACGTCTTCTTAATTTTACTAAATATGGCGGTTGGGATAATTGGATTTGAGTAGCATGTCGTGTCGCCAGATCATCGATCCTCGCTCTAGTTTTCTGACTAGGTAAACCCGCAATAGTTCAAGTATATCAAGTTGACGTGTTTACATGCAAGCGTAACAATGATATTACTTCAGATAATCAGAGAGGTCTAGAGAATCAATTGTGAAATTCTTAAAAATTATAACTATTATACTAGTCGACTTGATTTCGGATGAGAAATACGTGATGAGTTGATGATGTTTAATATGTTTTCGTTGGTAAACAGCCTAAGTTATGACAGGACGAAGTTTTAGTCAATCAGATTGAGATGATAGTGTTTAAAATGTAAAAATGTGCAGATAAGTAAGATTTTATATACCGGCTAATTAGTGTACCCTCAGTTTTGACACTGATTGATTGCTGTCAAGTAATCAAAACTATTAGTATCTGAAGTCATGAATTGATATGAGCTAGACCACCACAGCCGTTTCATCCTAGTGTGGAGTTCATCAGCAGTGAGCATCCATAACCCCCTACAAGCGCGAACTCTTAACCTTTAGACCATGAGGTTGGCATAAATTAGTTTTAGTGTCTAACTTCGATCAATTCATAATGTTTCTCAACCTTCATTCACTTTCATTAGTTGTTTTAATAACCTTGCGTTTTAACACAACTGAAATCGACAAGTGCATTCTGTGTGGATTGTCTAGATATAGCCCCTTGAGGTCACAAACCGGCAGTGGAATCCAGAACGCGCGTCTTGTCTTATTTAGGATTCATCAGCTGGGTGTATTTGTATCCCAGAATTGATGTTCAGTCTACGACTGGGACCCTGTAACGATCAGTTTAAATGTCATCGCGTTATTCACTTAGTTACGGATTACAGATAGCCACTGCTTTGGATAGTGAGGTACGAGTCTCGGAGTGAACAGCAACTCTGGGAAGCAGATGCACTCAGCTGATGAGTTTCAAGTAGGACGAAACATGCATTGTGGATTCCACTGCTAGCCATTATCCATTTTTACTTTTAATAAGTTGGATTAAAAGATTCGATAATGTTTTTAATCAGTCATCTAGAGATGCAAATGAACAGTTTTATTTTTTAATTGTACTCAATAATTACACGAAATTCAATGAATATTCGTTATTCTCATTCCTCTCATAAATAGAAACCAAACGATGAAGAAGGTCAAGCTTATGGAGCATTTTTACATATAAATTTACAAAATTTTAGTGAAAATCTAGTTGATGAAGTTTCCATGCTTTCTATGTTAGAAGTGAGTTGTTTGATGTTTTGGGTTTTATTTGTTTATTTCTTATTTCACGTTAACTGTCACACTGTCAAGTGTTGATGCAAATTTGGGGAAAAAAAAGTGAGTTGGGTAGTTTCCTGAGGAAGTATTCTGTATTGTTGTGTGTTGCGTATGCCTAACCACCGACTGCATCGTCGAGCTATGTTTCGCGATGTAGGAATAAGTTGGAAGAAAGCTAAGGGAGGCCAAACCAAAACATGGTACAAAGCGATGAAGTCACTCACAAGTGGACTGAGTCATGTTAGTAGATATAGGCTACCTGGTTGGCGTCCGCGAGCCGATAGTAACCGATGTTTAGAGACCTTGAATCATCCATTCTTTGTGTTCTCTTAAATTCTAATCTACTGGATTCGTCAACACCTCTACTTTTGTCTTTCTAAAGTTATCTCACTGAATTATACTTCTTTAAATCCTAATCCTCTATATTGCCAGTAGTACTCCTAATATCTTAAAATGGTTTGGAATGGAGCAGGTGCATCCACTCCTTGTGTTCTCTCAAATCCTAACCTTCTGAATTCCTCATCACCTTTATCTTATTCTTTAAAGTTTCTTTCAGTAGATTCTATTTCTTGAATAATATCGTGGAACCCTAATCTCTTCAATTACTGCTAACACTTCTACTACCTCTACCATGGTGGGATTTGAAGTGACACTTTCATCTCTGTGCTAATGTGGTATGGCAACTTGGACTAATGTATTTACGTACAAAGTTCTATGTTGTTGTTGACTGACTGACTGAAGGACTCATAATAGCTGAAGAATAGTGTTACGTCTGGAGATATTATTAAACAACTGTTCTGCCTGACTTCTAGATTGTAAATCATTCCATGCTTCTACTATTGAACATTTTGCTCTGGAAACAAACATGTTACCATTGATTTGACTTTTAATGGCTCATATTTTCAACCGTAATTATTTTGATTAGATGCATGCCTTGAAGCTCTTCGAAATACTGTTCCACGTCATCGGGGTACTTATTAAATCGTTGTCACACCTGAATGGCAGATCAATAGATGAAGTAATGAAACTTCATCAGTTGAGGTGGTTGGGACATGTGTTGCGCATGCCTAACCACCGACTACCTCGACGAGCTATGTTTTGTAGTGTAGGATTAGGTTGGAAGAAAGCTAGGGGCGGCCAAACCAAAACATGGCAGCAATCTATGAAGTCACTGACAAGTGGACTTAGCCATGTCGGTAATTGTCGACTAACTGGTTGGGGCCCGGGAGATGACAGTAATCGATGGTTAGAGACCTTGAATGACGTGGCTCAAAACCGTTTGCAATGGCGCCAGTGCATTTATTCTTTGTGTTTTCTCAAATCTTAATCTTATGGATTCTTCAACACCTCTAGTTTTGTTTTTCTAAACTTATCTGACTGAATCATACGTATTGAATAATATCTTCTCATCCTAACCTCTCCGATTACTTCTAATACCTTTACTACCTCTTCTACTATTGGATTTGAATTGACAATTATATCTTTGTGCTGATATGGTATGGCCACATGAACTGATGTACTTACGTACGAAGTTCTACGTTGCATCTGACTGACGTCACACCTGAATGGAAAGTTTTTCCTTCTTTAACTAGAAGTCGAATGTACTAGGTCGTGAAGACGAATCTATTGCGAGGTAGGAGAAGCCTGTTGGGCTAAAATGGTCGAGACAATTTATATATCACTTGCTTCGTCGACTAGCTTATAAGAGTGATCGAACTAACACACAAAATATCATTCCATAAAGTCAACAGAAAATAAACATGATCGTAATTTTTATGATTGGAAGGGAGTCAGCCTTGAGAGATATTCACACAACACGCTTTAAATATTCTTACAAATCGGAAGCTCAGTTATTAGTCACATGTTTCAATCTTTGACTTCATTAGCTCGTTCTAAACCATGTATATGGTTTCAACCAATCGCATACTAGTGATTAATTTTGACAATACACGCTTAGTTCTTCTTGACAAGTTGAAATCATGCATTCCTACGAATATTATACTTCGTTCGCTACAGTATTTATTATTTGTACACTATCTAGTAAAAAATTGAATATCATTTAATATTTGTCATCAAATAATTTGATGACTTGTATAATGTGTATGCCAAAAATGTTGAGCCCATATGGGGCTACATACTATTCTCACATCTTTTTTGAGCTTGTCAATTATTTGCTTAAACCGTTAGTTATTGTGACTTCAGTGGAGTGTATGTGCATCGCTCACGTTACTAAGTCACATGTCTAGAGCTCTTATTTGTTGTCTGATTGAAAATTCTAGTTAGCCCACTAGCCTTCTCCAACTTCATTTCACTTTGTTTGTAAGCTTTATATTCTCATATCGGTCTGCGTGTGAACGATTGCAGGCAATAAGCTCAATCCAAATGGAATTTGTATTTGGCTTCTAATTATCGCTATTGCACAAAAACGGGGATTGCCTTAAACATGATATACGGAAATGGAAGGGAACATTTATTTCATAGCGTATTCAGTTATTCACTATGAGAAAGCATTCGATAGAGTGGATAGGAAAACACTGTGGAGGCTTCTTCGACACTACGGTGTGCCTGAGAAAATAGTTAACATCATACGGAATTCTTATGATGGATTTAACTGAAAATTCGTGCGCGGAGGACAGCCAACAGACTCTTTCGAGGTGAAGACTGGTGTCAGGCAAGGTTGCTTACTCTCACCCTTTCTCTTTCTCCTGGTCATCGACTGGATTATGAAGACGTCGACGTCTGGAGGGGAGCACGGTATCAACTGGACAGTTAGGACGCAGCTGGACGATCTGGACTTCGAAGATGATCTGGGTCTTCTATCGCACACTCAACAACAAATGCAAGAGAAGACGACCAGTGTAGCAGCAGCCTCTGCAGCAGCAGCAGCAGTAGGTCTCAACATACATAAAGGAAAAAGTAAAATTCTCCGATGCAACACAACATGCACCAACCAAATCGCTCTTGATGGAGATGCCTTGGAGGACGTTAACACCTTTACATATCTGGGCAGCATCATCGACGAGAAAGGTGGATCCGATGCAGATGTGAGGGCACGGATTGGCAAAGCAAGCGCTGCATTTCTACAGTTGAAAAATATCTGGAACTCCAAACAAATATCAATCAACACCAAAATCAGGATTTTCAATACAAATGTCAAGACAGTTCTACTGTATGGAACGAAAACTTGGGGAATTACGAAAGGCATCATCCACAAGATACAAGTGTTTATTAACAGTTGTCTACGCAAAATACTTCGTATTCGTTGGCCAGACACAATCAGCAACAACCTACTGTAGGAGAGAACAAACCAGATTCCAGTGGAAGAGGAAATCAGTAAGAAGCGGTGTAAGTGGATAGGACACACACTACGAAAAGCACCTAACTGCGTCACAAGACAAGCCCTTAGATGGAACCCTCAAGGTGCAAGGAAAAGAGGAAGGCCAAGGAACACATTACGCCGAGAAATAGAGAAAGATATGAGAGGAATGAACAAACATTGGACAGAACTGGAGAGGGAAGCCCAGGACAGAGTTGGTTGGAGAAAACTGGTGGGCGGCCTATGCTACATTGGGGGTAACAGGAGTAAGTAAGTAAGTAAGTATTCAGTTATTCGTATAAATCGGAGTCAGATAGTGGGACATTGAAGACTATTGAGATTGTACAGTGGAGGAATTAGATACTAGTCTAGGAGATCTCTATTTTTTAAACCTAGTTATTACGCTTTGGTGTTTACGATAACATCATAGTAATGATTTTTAGGGCATTGAGAAAATTACACAATCTGGTGTGTAATATAGAAACTTGTAAGTTCGATAATTTTTCTGAACCAAGGTATTAACTCTATGAGAGAGAACATGCTTATTGCATAGATATTTTGGGGCAGAGTTTTGGAAGTTTGTGTTTTTACACATTTGAAATCATCAATCAATCATTGCTAGACCACCATTAGAAACCTGGAAGCACTGGAAGGCGGTTTCGTTCTGTTATGGGACTCATCAGCAGTGCGCATCCACGACCCCTGCTCCTCGCATAGAGCAAAAGTGAATGATAAGTTCAACCAACACCTGAGTCCCCTTGCTGATAAAATTAAAAGTATTTATTACTTATTTGGACAAGAAATCTATTTATAGGTGTATAGTACATAAACCAACAGAATCACTTCAATCAATTCGATGTAGACTAAACGGAAAAATGACAAAGGCAGAAAAATCAATTATCATCTACAAAATAAATTGCTCAGAGTGTGAAAAACACTACATGGGACAAAGTGGACGTCCTTTTCAGCTTCGTCTACGTGAACGTCAATTAGCAGTCAAACGCCACGACAACGCTTCGCTTATATCAATACATACCGACAACTATGGACTACGTCCGATTGGAGCAATGTGGAAATACTGGATAGAGGGAGAACAAAGAAAACTAGAGAATTTTTTTCTATAAGCTTGGCACTCAGGTCAATCAGCAATCAGCAAACTCATCGACATTGACCCAATTTATCAATTGATCAGACAAACCATCGATCATGAAACAGATCAAAAGGGGGATACATCAACAACAGTTTAAAGGTCAATAACAACCAATCAAGATTCAGGTCAACAGGACAAGCTACGAGTTATACGCATGGAGAAATTCGAATACTTCACTTATCATCGACCTGAAATTTGTACTATCGGTGATGTTGTTCAGACGAACAGTGGAAGCCCCATATTGTAACGCTTGCTTAGATAATTCCCGGCTAAATCCTATTGCTTAGTATTCTCTGACCACAAAACACTGAACAAGTTCCAAAGAATGAAAAACACGGTTGAACAGGAAAAGATTTATATTCCAAAATAGCAAGGAATAAGAAGCCGGAGGTGATGGCGAAGGCCAAGGCAAAGAAGGCAAGAAGGCAAAAATAAATACAAAGCTAGTCTATTTATAGCATTTACATGAGAAAGCTTCTGGAAGAAATTCACGTGATCGACTGGATTAGATTTAACCAATCAGCATGCAGCTAACAATACGAGAATTTTATACCCTGTTCTCCAAGCTTCGATCAGGCGCTGATTGGATAGGAAGTTAGCCAATCAGCGCGCACCAACGTAGTCCTGCTTTAATTCCATCTATTTCCCACTAACTCCCCACAATCAAAACATTCAGCTCAGCGAACCTAAACTCCACCACAATTATCCACTTGAGCTGCAAATTTTCTCCACCTTATCTCAAAATGAAGATCTCTGTGTGTATACTGTCTAGCAGTTGAGAAGAAAATTCACTGATACATGTTAATCGATATTTGTTGAGGACATTCGATCCCTAGAACTCACTTGGTAAAGGTCCTAATTTCGTAATTTATTTCTGAAGTTTTGAATTGTATGTTTTCGCGCCAAAGATACTTATTTTGACCTTCAGTATGCATTTCTAATGTCGGGAAATCGTTGACTGTCATTTGTTGGTGGATAATTTTAGTATGCTATTTTTGTGGCTCTCACCCAAGTGTGTTCCTATCATTGTATAAATAAGCTCGATTTGTGTGCTTGTCGACCTCGTATTTTCTGAGTACTTGTAGAATACTTTCTCTACGCTTTATCAAGACTTCTTGATCTAGTTAGCACGGCCTGGAACAAATGGATCAGTAAAGGCCAATCATATCCCTGAGTCATCATTGCTCTTCGCTCTCGTTTACCAAGTAAGGTGAACTCGTCATAGTATTCAAGCATATCAACAATATTGAACAGTGTTGTTTTTTGTTCAATGTACAATTTGTACACAGTAAAACTCTAAACCCAATTTAATTTTTTATACATCGTATCAATTTTCTCCTGTTTTATTCTTTTTAACATTACAGATATGGTATACACGTCAAATGAAAGCAATCTATGATTGGTTAATTCAACGTAAAAGTATCCTACTTCATCCACATCAAATTCGTTGTCTTTCAATGATTGTTAAAGTAATGCGAATGATTTTAACAATATTCTGTGTATTTTCGGGTGGAGTTTTGGAGGTTTTTGTGTTTTTACACATTTGAAATCATCAATCAGTCATTGTTAGACCATACCATTAGAAACCTGGATGCCGGCCCAGTGGTCCGATGGTTGGGCGTTCGCGCACAATACCGAAGCTCCTGGGTTCGAATCCTGCGAGGTGCAGGAGTCGTGGATGCGCACTGATGATGAGTCCCATACCAGGAAGAAATGGCCCTCCAGTGCTTCCAGGTTTTTAATGTTAGTGGTCTCACAATGATTGATTGATGATTTCTCGTGATGATTTCACGAGAATAATATTCACTAGTTCCCAATGTATAGATCATTTGATTCAGTCGGCTACCGTGGGTAGGTGTCGTAGGTGCGTATAGCTGATGAATCCCATATTAGGATGGAACCACCATCCAGTGCTTTTAAAGCTGTTCTAACACTCATCAATTCATGAGTTTAAATAAAATATTGTTAATAATTTAAGTGAATCAACATCGTGATCTATTGCGTATACCATTTTTGACGTGGTGTTTGGACTTCCCCATCGTGATGACCCAACCGAGCCATACTGGCTGGAACATATGTTCCTGTAGGTTCTACCACGCCAGGCAGGTCGATTGAAGAACGATGAGACCAGAAGTGGCCACTCAGTTTCTGAGGGCGAAGTCGTACTGTTGACTATAGATGGGTGTGACAGCAGTAAGGTGACTCCTTTGGACAATCGGCATCTGCAGTGATGCTACCTTCTTATAATGGCAGGAACGGGTTAGAAAAAGTTGACCCTAAAAATGTCAAACCTCACCTTACCCCAAGAATTTCCGTCTCCGACGGTAGGCCTTTTGTAGAGCGGAGCTAACTCTTTCCAAACTTCCCATACACAGACCATGCTCAATCGGCTTCAAGCAATTTTTCCTTTGGCTCTGTGGTAACTCTCCCAAGTCGCTAAGACCTCAAGAAGTACCCTTCCTTGGTATGGGCAGCCGGTAACTGACATTCACCCTCATACCCGTTGCAGTGAACGAAATCAACTTGATAAAAACACGAAATGAATACATTTAAAGTTAAATGAAAAGTAATAAGACTGAACTATTGTTAAATTGCATTGAATTTGTGAACTTTTGGTTTCACTCAACAGCTTGCCAATTAAAGGTTGATATATCCAACTTCGAGTCACAATTTTCATACTTAGGCTATTGATACTATGCATTTACGAGTACCGGATTCGATGTGAGCAGGTTATGAATCTACAAGCCATTGAGCGAGAACCAAGTCGTTTAACCAATAGTTGATCACACCACTTTTAGCCAGTGAATCTCTAAACTGAACTTCGCATATCTTGTCTATTCACACTATTAATATTCAGAACTCTACTTAATCGGTCTCTTTTGAAATGGACACTTTCAATGGGATCCTTCGATATTATATCGTTTCATCTTAAGTTTTTTAATCAAGTTCTATAATGACTTGAGAAGAATTCAAGATACGCATTTCACCTTACTTGGTTGTTATCAGTCAGTCAGTTAGTTAGTCAGTAGTGTTGGAGGATGTTAGATCCCCAGAACTCACTTGATAAAGGTCCTAATTTTGGATTTTATTCATAGGCTCATCAGTTGACCATGAGATTACATTCCTCACCAGGAAAATCCTTGACTGTCATTGGTTGATGTAGTATTTTATTACGCTATTTTTGTGGCTCTCCGGAAGGACGTTTCTATCAGTGTATAAATAAACTCAGTTTGCGTGCTTGAATAAACCTCACTTACACTTACTACGTCATATCAAGACTTTTTCTTCAGTTAGCTCGGATAGTGGATGAGAGAGAAGCCAATCGTGTCACTACTGGTTCATTGTCTTGTTATCGTTTATCGACTAAGGTGAACTCGTAATAGTTTCAAGCATATCAACTGGTGACGAGCATAACAAGTTGTAACGGCTTGTTTAGTGTTGATGTTTATAGGGTTCGTCACTAGGTACGCTTGAATCTATTACAATGTTCACCTTAGTCGATAAACGCGAACGAGACAATTACCAGCGTCAAGATAGGAAGGATACCTTGAATCCCAAGCTGAAGATAAAAGACTTTGTAAACGTAGAAAGTATATTCTACGAACACCCAGTAATCACACGATACAATCAAGCACACACAAATCTCGTTTATTTATATATACATCATAGAAACGTCCTTGGGACAGTTATGAAAATAGCACACTAATAAAGTACACAGCAGCCAATCACAGCCATGGATTTTCGTGGGGTGAGAAATGAAATTTCAAGGTCAACCAACCGATCAGCCCATGCTGGCAAACGTCAGAATCCAAAATAAGGCATTTATTTATCAAGCGAGTTCTGGGGGATCTAACATCCCGAACAAGGGTTTTTTGCACTAAGACTCAAACCCAACTAACATCGTTTAGATAAGTAATGATCTATGGAAATTAATTTAACATTATTCGTCAACTAACCATATCCCCTTTTATGTTCTGTTTCCTTTGTATTTCTGTTAGAAAATTTTCACTGCTTTTGAATTACAAGGTTTACCTAAAAATGTATTAAACACTATTGTCTATCAAACTATTACTCAACGACTACAAGTAAGTATGGTCATCAGAATATTTTTATTATTTAATATATGATGAAAAGAAACTTATATTTGAATCAGAAATATATATTATATCATAATGTTGACAGTTGTTTGAAAGTAAGTATTCTACAGGAAGGAAAAACTAGTCGTCCTAAGCTCTAGAGTTTCAAGTGAAGCGGATATTACTTAGTATAATCTTAGATGCTATCTTCAGTTAGAATTTTCGAGATGTGTTTTTACACATTTGAAATCATCAATCAATCATTGTTAGAACACACCATTAGAAACCTGGAAGCACCGAAAGACGGTCGTTTCGTCCTGGTATGGGACTACTCATCAGTGGCAGTGCGTATCCATGACTCCTGCACCTCGCAGGATTCGAACCCAGGACCTTTGGTCTTGCGCATGAACGTATAAACACTGGACCACTGGGCTGGCATCCAACGGCGTTGATGTCTAACTCTAGGGATCTAGGGATTTTGCGCGACCTCACCCATTTGTCTTTGGTAGTTACTGCCTACACACGACAGAGTTGAACTCCACTGGTCACGCCTTCTCACTGGAACTCCGAGAATTTCCTCACGAAGCTAGTAGTCACTAGTGAGCACTGGAGTTCAACACTGTCGCGTGTAGGCAGCAACTACCAAATAAAAATGGGTGAGGTCGCGCAAAGTCCCTAGATCAATCAGAGTTAGACACTAACACCGTTGGATGCCGGCCCAGTGGTCCGATAGTTAGGTGTTCGCGCACAATATCGAAGGTCCCGGGTTCGAATCCTGCGGGGTGCAGGAGTGGTGGATGCGCACTCCTAATGAATCCCATACCAGGACGAGACGGCCGTCTTTTAGTGCTTCCAGGCACCCCAATGGTGGTCTAACAGTGATTGATTCATGACTAGATGTTATCAATTAATTATTGTATGAATGAGTGTGTGGTGCGAGCTTCTTATAAGTAGTATATGACGTGAGTGTCAACGTAATGTCTGGCAGCATAATATGCGGGAAGATCAAGAAAGGAAGAGTGGGAAAACACAATCGAATTTGTATGAAACGCATGAATAGTGACAATGGATTGATGTTGTTTGCAACAGGAACAGTCCAGTTCGATATGATGAACTGATATTTTGCAAATGAACAATTTACGATATGGTTTTCCAATTTTACTGAGTAACTCTGTAATTTTCGTTAAATACAATTCGGTTGCCCCACCTGTGTTCTCGTTCACTACAAGTGTTCACTGATCACAGTAGGATTGAGATTAATTACAAGTGATTGATTACTGATTAGTGACTCACTGTACATTTGGAAAATGGTTGTACATGAAACTGGCAGAAAATCGAATAGTGGCAGTTGTGGATGAGCATTTCTGATGAGTCTCATATCAGGACGAAATGGCCGTTCAGTGCTTTCAGGTTTTTTGAAAGTGGTCCAACGACGATTGATTCATGATATCAGTAATAAACAACAATCTCTTCAACTCTATTGTTATCAAGTTTCATGGTTATTTTAGTTCACTTTACTTTATGCGGAACAACTGGACCCAACAGGAACTTTGTGTTGGGGATGTTAGTTAGATCCCCGGAACTCGCTTGATAAATGTCTTTATTTTGGATTTTATTCATGAGCTGATCAGTTGACCTTGACGTCACATTTCTCGCCAAGAAAAACTTTGGCTATGATTGGTTGATGTGTTGTTTTAGTGTGCTATTTTTGTGACTCTGCCAAGGACGTTTCAATGATATATAAATAAACGCGATTTGTGTGCTTGTTGGGTGTTTGTAAAATACGCTGCCTACGCTTTATCAAGACTTTATCGTTAGTTCCTTTGGGGCAACCGATCAGAGTAGCACAACGTGTCACTGGTTCATTGCCTCGTTCTCGTTTATCGACTAAGGTGATCCCGTAATAATTTCAAGCATATCAGGTGACGAGCATAACACTTTGTATTGAATACAAATATTCGTAGTGAAGAACTTAACTGTTTACAATTATGTTGTTTTCAATTAACCTTTCAAGCCCAAACTGATATAAACTGTAAAACTCTCGAAAACTGTGTAGCACTCAGTGGATTACTGATTTGCTACAATTTTTATACTCATCTACAGTGGTGCCTCATATAATCGCATTGGATATAAAATCATAGATATCCATGGGGAGTAAGAAATCTTTAGAGCTTGTCAGATCTGACTCAGTAGATTGGTTATTTAACATATAAATCTACTGACGAACATAGGAACTGAGAATTTAGAGAGGTAATAAGAAATTGTTACGAATACACGTAAACACGTCATTTGATATGCTTGAACTATTACAAGTTTATCTTAGTCGTAAAACGAGAGCGAGGATCCGGCGACACGACAGGCTACTCTTATCCGATTGTCCCAAACCCCAGTTGAGTAAAAGAAGAAGACTTGATATGAAGTAGAACATACACTCTACAAGCATCCAGAAAGTACGAGGTCCGAATCCAGAAGAGAATCTTGATCCCGGACTAGGGATCCGTTTCTGCGTCTGGGTTTGGGTCATAAAACGTTACAGATAATCCGTATTTATACAGTTAGGTCGAATAGGAAACAACACTTGAAGTCTGTGACATTGACAGTTAGGATGGCCAATAGGAAACGACATTTGAAATGACGTTGATATTTAGGACGACAATAGGAATTGACCAATAGAATTAGACTTACAAATAATCTTCCTAGGATATTTGGTGAATATCCTAACAGAAGTGAAATACTATTCGCATCAACAGTAATTATAAGACACCGAAAAATCGATTAAATTGGAATGGACATTCATCAGCACTGTAAGTAAGATGTGCTACTTCGGTTCTCGACTCTGCTTGGAGCCCCTCTGGGGTTACTGCTGGTTCGAAGCCCGGATAAAGGAATAAGGTCGGTCATCCTCGTCCCGTAGAAAACCAACCTGCTAAAAATTCGCGAAGTCTAAGAATCACGTTATAGCTAGTTCAAGCCAATTATTAGTGAATCAATCTACTGATATCATGTGTTGGTATGGTAAAAGTGCCCTTCCTGTAATTACATTACAAAGTACAAGTATAAAGCCTGACTAGTTTAAGGGTTATTGATACTAACTGGCTATTTATTATATAAATGTAGGCAGAACAAGGTTATCATCTGTAATGACCAAATGATTGATAGCTGAATACTTTAAACCAGTAAACCATTGTCAGGCTTAAAGTTTCTTTAATCTGCTCATACATCATGTCATTGTAAGTCATTGTAGACAGTCCTTATGATATCTGTTACACACATATATACCCTTAGCCATTTCAATCAATTAAGAACGAGTATTACCGGAGATGTACTCAAAACGTGAAAGCTATCATCATTAAACAATAAGCCTGTTAGGATATTCATCCAATAACCTAAGAGAATTATTGGTCAATTCCTATTGGTTAATTCCTACTGGTCAATTTTATGGTCGTCCTAGATATCAATGTGTCACGTGCTCCAATGTTGTTTCTTATTGGTTGTCCTGACTATCAATGTTACTTCAAATGTTGCTTCCTATTGGTCGTCTTAAATGTCAATGTCGCAGACTTCGATGCTGTTTCCTATTCGGCCAAAATGTATAAATACGCATTATCTGTAACGTCTTATGACCAGGATCCGTTCCCGGATCCCTAGTCCTGGATCCTGATTCTCTTCTGGATTCGGACCTCATACTTTCTGGATGCTTGTAGAATACAGGTTCTATTTCATATCAAGTCATTTTATTTTTACTCAATCTGGGAGTTGGGATAATCGAATTTGAGTAGCATGTCGTGTCGCCGGATCCTCGCTCTCGTTTTCCGACTACGGTAAACTCGTAATAGTTCAAGCATATCGAAATAGCGTCGTGTATAGCCACATCATTGAAATGCTTTAAACGGTATCATTATTCACTAACTAAATTCATTTCTTTTACGACCACTTGTTTTTTTTCTTCTACTCATCAGGTTGAAGAAACAACTCAATCTGTTAAGAAAGAATCACGAGCCAGTGGAAGTTCATCATCATCATCATCATCTACAAATCGTAATAAATTATTCAGTAATCTTGGTGAAGGTTTAACATCATTCACTGGAAGTCCCCTGTTTCATCGATCCTAGTGTATATATATATATATATATATATATATATATATATATCGTACAACATGAACACAACACACACACACAGAGAAAGAGAGACAGACAGAGACAACCCGAATACGAAACCTGTATCTGCCTGTCTATCTATCTATCGTCTGCCTGTCTGTGTGTATGCTTAAAATATTTCTTTTGTACAGTGTGTGTGTGTATGTGTTCACTGGATGGAATACAATCAACACTTACACCATGTCTTTCATAAAACTACTCAATGAATCCTCCAATCAGAAATTAATTAATTAATTAATTATTTTTTTACAAAAAAAGATAAAAATAAATAACTCATCATCATCAGAGAAAAAAATTATTATGTTGTATGTAATTATGATTTATTATTGTTTAGTTTTATTTTGTATTTTCGAGAACAATAAACAACTTTTATTTTGAATGAAACCAGAGGAATAATGAATGAATGAATGATAAAAATGTGATTAAAAAGTTGTATGTATAATATTTTTTCTGGTCGAACAGTATATACATATGCTAAATGAATAAATATATGTATGTAAGTATGTATTTCAAGGGGTTTTTTGTCTCATGATTGAGAATAGTAAGTTATTTGCAGGATAACATCTCTAGCTGATTGAGATTTCATTGTTAAACTTGGATCTAGTACAGACTAGATCCTGGTAGACAGTCACTTATGCCTTGTGGGACTGGAGCATATGTTTAGGTTCATATCGTTCTCTATCTAGTACTGTGGTGCGAGCTACTTATAAGTAGTATATGACGTGAGTGTCAACGTAATGTCTGGCAACAGAAGATGAGGGGGGGGGAAGATCAAGAAAGGAAGAGTGGAAACACAATGGAATTTGTATGAAATGCATGAATAAGTGAAATGTCAGACAATGGATTGATGATGGATTGAAGATGTGCAAATTAACGAACGGTTACGATATGGTTTTCCTATTTTACTGAGTAACTCTGTAACTTTCGTTAAATACAATTCGGTTGCCCTCACATGTGTTCTCCTTCATTACAGTACGAGTGCATTTTTGTCTGAGTTTTATTGAAATTAAGAAAGACACAGTAAGCAAACCCATCAGAGTTTTACTGAATGATAGATAGCAAAGATAAGCCTATAGCTCGAGACCAATTGAAGAACAGTTAGATATCAATGTAAGTGATGCTTATCCCGAGGCAGCTTGGGATGATTTATATCCAAAAATGCTGTGAAAATAGCAGTAATATCTGCCAGTAAGGTAAACCAAAAGGTTAGGGAGAAACAGTGGATTTCAATAGCAACTACCGAACTGTTTCTGAACATAATGAGGTGCGTAGTGAGCTTTAGTGCACGCTGATAAGAAGTCTATTCAATCATCGCGAAAAGTGGTGAGCAGTGAAAGCAAGAGACATGGAAAAGGCAGCGACTATAAGTAACAGTAGAATACTATTCAAATCTATCGAGAGGCTTGGTATTAGGGATCCGACTGTTAGCAAGACTTCCTAGCAGAAAGGTGGGACTATTATTTGCTCTTAAACTAGAAGATTGGATTGATGAGAAAAACACTTCAAAGTTCAGTTCAACTAGCTTTCATTCACACTTCAATTACCAACCATCTGCAGTCAAGCTAAATGGCAAGTTCATGTCGGTCCTCCAACTATTAATAAAGTTGAGAAGGCTATAGGCAATATAAGGAGAGAGATAGATTAACTCCTAAAATGTTTAAGGTTAGTGGTGCAGGTAAATTTAAGAGCTGGACGTAATCTCATCTGATTGGTATGAAGCTCTGATTGTCCCAGTCTATAGGAAAAGAAAAAAGTCCTCTCGTGACGATCATAGAGGAATCAGTTTAAGTTGTATGGTGCCTAAAATATTAGCTTCAGTAATATTTCGCCCAACTAGAGCTTGTGAAGAGCATACCCGAAAAAACAAGGCTGTATTCAGATCTGAAAGTCGATATATAGACCTAATATTCACACCTCGTCAGGTCCCACAGAACGTAGACACACATTCAGACCTTCAACAATCGTTGTATTCCTTGACCTTAAGGCGGCGTTTCAGTGTCGATCGTCAGGTTATCTGGTAGTAACTGTCACTGAAAGGTGTACCAAAGAGGTACATTAAGCTTATGCAGGCTCTCTACTCAAACAGCTCAGGCCGAGTCAGAGCTTATGGCGAACTGTCATTGGAATTGATGTTAGCTAGGGTTAACCACTTTCTTCGTTCTAGTGCAACTTTGTCATCGATATGTTTTTAGAGACGACACATTCCTACCTAGTCTGACTTCTCAAGAGCTGAACAATTATCAGAATTTTCACCTGTTGACTTAGAATATGCCGATCACATAATTCTATTTGGTGAAGACGTGAAGTAGTTGAGCATGTGGATCGAGAGGCTCTTCAATTCTGACGGTTTAATGTGTGACGAAATCTCGGTACGCATACAGAAGGCTCGATAATCTCTTGCCAACTTGAGTCATTCATGGTGTAGACGAGATATACCTCCACTAACCAAAGGACAAGTCTACTGAGCAGCAATTCACTCCGTCCTTCCTTGAGGCTGTGAAACATGGCTAGCAAGAGAAGAGGATATTTGTAGGCTATGCGTTTTCGATCATAGGTATCTCTGAAGCATTGCTCACTAATCTTGGAACAATCGAGTAAGCAATACTGTTGTTAGGAAATGGGTACTAGGTAAGGATGGAAGATCAGTAAATGAAGTACTGAGAATTCATCAGTTGAGGTGATTGAGACATGCGTTACGATTGCTCAACCACCAACTGCCTTGTCGAGCGATATTTTGTGGCGTAGGAGTAGATCGGAAGAAAGCCAGGAGCAGGCAAACCAAAAGATGGTACAAATCCATTCAGTCACTGAAAACTAGACTGAGCCGTGTTTATAAGTGTAGACTACATGGTTGGGGCCCGGAAGATAATAGTAACCGATGGTTAGAAACCTTGAATAACATGGCTCATAATCGTTTGCGATAGCTCAGGTGCATCCATTCTTCTGTCTTCTCTCAAATTCTAATCTTCTGAAATTCCTCATCACCTCTATCTTTTTCTTATAAGTTTATTTCACTGAATTATACTTCTTGAATAATATGTTCGAACCCTAAACTTCCCTATTTATCGCTCATACTGCTACAACCTTCTACTACTACTATAGGATTTGAACTAACGATTCGGCCTCCCTGTAACAACTTGAACTGATGTACCAAGTTCTAGGTTGTTGCTTGCTGACTAACTGAAATAACTATATTCTTACTTATGTATATTCATAATTTTGTCATAAACTCTTGATTACTACTAATTCACTAATCGTTTGCCAGTTTTTTTTTCGCATTCACAAACTACCAACCTACATAATTCACATCTACTTTTGTCACATTCATGATGTATGCATAATAAATTGTATTTTCTCAACATTTTATGTTGTCATTTTGTAATCTGATATGTGATTTTGCTTTAAAAAATAGAACGGAATAATAATTTCTTGAGATTCCCATTCGACCAATCGACACACAGAATAAGAGTAAGACAGTCAAGGCAAATACAAACTATCCAACAATTGTAAACCAATCAGAATTATTATTTACAGCCAGTTGAGCTACTCATCATACTGACACAGAAAAAAAAGCATCATTCTGATTGGTGAGTTGAGAGTTGGTCACGTGAAATCGATCAAAGATGAGCGCGAGCGCGAGCGCGCGCGCGCGGACAATACAATAAAACACGAAACAATAAATAGCCTTCAAAATCCCGTTAAAATCATGTTTTTTAGTTTTAAAAAAAGATGAATATGACAATAAAAGTTACACATTATTAGTTTTTAGTTTTTTTAAATTACTACAATTGTCAATATGTACGGCACCGTCCTGGGGTTTTTTTTAGGTTCCACCAATTGAGACAATCGATTTGTTTACGAGAAAAAAAAGAAGGTAAAATTGCGATTTATTTTTGATATTCACTCAGCAATGAAGCGACAAATGAAACGTGGCTGTTACGTAACAATGATGACAATAATAATAGTAGTGATGAATTCGTGTCAATCTCTTCATGTATTATAGATAGACTGATAGATGATGTAATTGGGGGAAAAAATCAATAAATAATCGTTTTATATTACAATGTGTGTGTGTGTTCATATTAAAAATGTGTTGAGCTTACTTGAGTTGAGTTTTTTTTTAAAATGTCTACAATAAATAATAAAAAATAAATTATCATTGACTGACTATTGTTGATTTGGATCTCTTATTCCTCCTTATGTTGAATCCATTTAAAAATTGATCATGTATGTATATTTGTGTGTAAAACAGGATATAAGAAAGATAAAAAGAACCGATTTATAAATTTATTTACATTAGTAGTAGTAGTTGAAGTGGCAGTAAAAAATGTGTTAAAACTTATTCAAACACACAAACAAACTAATCAACGTCGTTTTCGATTTGGTTGACGTGAATTCAATTGTCGTAGATTACGTTGTTCAGTTTTTCTCAACTCGATTTCAACACTTTCTAATGCTTCATCAAGTTGATCTTGAAAAAATGAATCCGGTAATAATAATTGAGTAGATTCAGTTAATGGTGGAAGACGTCGATGCTGAGGAGGAGGAGGACCAGTGACAGTGGTCGTAGTGGTAGTGGAACGTGTTTGTCTTGTTCGTCGTGTCGTAGTCGATGTTTTTTCACGTGTATTAGTGGCTTTTTTACGACGTACAGCTTGACGATTCTTGGTGGTTGTTTGTGGTTCAGATCTACAACTGCGTACATCATCATCATCGTCATCTTCATCATCATTATCCTCGTCGCTGTCACTCTCGCCTGATGTTTCATCATCACCGGTGGTATGATTGATATTTTCTTTCGCTGCCTCGTCTTCCTCTTCTTCTACATCATGTAAAGTAACCGCACTTAGTTCTAATTCACTATCCGATAAACAAACAGAAGAAGTAGGTAAAGGTGATGGTAATTGTGGGATTTTCGGTGGTGGACCAAATCTTTGTGTTAAACGTCCACCAGTTTGTTTAAGTCGTAAACGAGAAGCATTTCGTAGATTTCGTTTAATTGAATGATTATTAGTAAGATTCTCTGATGATGTGTGAGTGTTTGTTTCAATGGACTTTCCACCTTGATGTTGAATAATAGTAGCAACAGTAGTAGTAGCATTATTATTCATGGAAGATTCTGAGGTATCAATTTCATTTGGTTTTTCTGTTTGTATCCCAATAGAAACACCAAAACTCATTGGATTAACCTGAATATTAAAAAAAATACAACACATTTGAAATTAACGATAAGAAACATGAAATATGTTAAGGATATTCATCAAATATCTTAAGAAAATTATTTTTCTAAGTCTAATTCTATTGGTCAATTTCCTACTGGTCAATATGTAGTGAACGAGAACACAGGTGGGGCAACCGAATTGTATTTAACGAAAATTACAGAGTTACTCAGTAAAATTGGAAAACCATATCGTAACCGTTCGTTAATTTGCAAAATCTCAGTTCATCATATCGAACTGGACTGTTCCTGTTACAAAACATCAATCCATTGTCACTATTCATGCGTTTCATACAAATTCCATTGTGTTCTAACTCTTCCTTTCTTGATCTTCCCCCATCTTCTGCTGCCAGACATTACGTTTACACTCACGTCATATACTACTTATAAGTAGTTCACACCACAAATATTATGGTCGTCCTAGATATCAATGTCACAGACTTTAATGTTGGTTCCTATTCGATCTAACTGTATAAATACGTATTATCTGTAACGTCTTATGACACGAACCCGGATCCCTAGTACGGGACCCTGATTCTCTTCTGGACTTGGACCTCGTACTTTCTGAATGCTTGTAGAATACATGTTCTACTTCATATTAAGTCCTTTTCTTTTACTCAATATGGGAGTTGGGACAGTCGGATTAGAGTAGCTTGTCGTGTCGCCGGGTCCTCTCTCTCATTTGCCGATTAAAAGTAAACTCGTAATTGTTCAAGTACATCAAATGACGTGTTTACATACATGCATAACAAAATACAACTACCGATTGAATATTACTAGCGACTACTGATGGTACCTACTATGAGCTAATTTTTCAAGTCAAATAATCAAACTGAAATGATCTCAACTCTTCACAGCTTGATAGCCAACCAACAAAGATCAATTTGTGAAGATATATGTGCATACATCAATCCAATTTACTATAAAACATTAGCATAGAGAGAGATGGAGTTGAACATTCAAATCCCATAGCGGTAGACGTAGTCAAAGTAGTTAACAGTTATGGAGAAGATTACGGTTTGAAGATATATCATTCGTGAAGTATAACTCAGTGCGATAGAATTTAGAAACAGAAAGATAGGGGTGATGGGGAATTGAGATTAGAATTTAAGAGAACACAAAGAATGGATGCACCTGCGTCATCGCGAACGATTTTGAGTGATGTCACTTGAGGTCTCTAACTATCGGGGTAACTATCATCTTGTGGACCACAACCAGGTAGCCTGGTTCTACTAACATGACTTAGTTGACTTGTCAGTGACTTCATGAATTTGTGCCACGTCTTGGTTTGGCTGCATCTAGATATCTTTGAGCCTATCCATACCACAGAGAGCATCGCTCATCGAGGCAGTCAGTGGTCAGGCAAACCTAACACGTCTCCAAACCATCTCAACTGAAGTTTCACCATTTCATCAACTGATTCGCAATCCTTACCTAGTACCATTTTCATAACCCCAGAATTGCTTACGCAATTGTCCCAGAATATATGAGAAATGCTTCGAAGACATCCATAATCGAATACTAATGACGTAAGAATATCCTCAACTCTTACCGGCCATGTTTCACAGCCATACAGTAGGACGGATCGAACTTCTGCGCAGTACACTCGTCTTTTGCTTGGTAGACAGACGGATATCTCGTCTACGCCATAAATGACGCAAGTTGGCAGAAACCGTGCTGAGATTTCGTCACACACCATATTATCAGCAGTGATGAGACTCCGAAAGTAAGTGAAGCGGTCTACACGTTCATCTACGTCACTCTTTATCACTAGTTCAGATGCCGACGCATATATATATATATATATATATATATATATATATATATATATATATATATATATATATATAACACAACATGCACCAATCAAATCACACTTGACGGTGAGACTTTGGAAGATGTAAAACCCTTTACATATCTGCGCAGCATCATTGATGAACCACGTGGATATGATGCAAATGTGAAGAAGCGGATCGGCAAAGCAAGAACAACATTTCAACAATTGAACAATATCTGGAACTCAATATAACTACTAACTGTCAACTAACACCAAAGTTACAATTTTCAATACAAATGTCAAGACAGCTCTACTATATGCGGCAGAAACTTAGAGAACACAAACAATGAATGCACTTGCGTCATTCCAAACGATTTTGATCCATGTACTTCATAATCTCTAACTTTCGGTTACTATCATCTCGCGTGCCCCAATTAAGCAGTTTACACCTACTAACATGACTCAGTCCACCTGTCAGTCAGTCAGTCAGATGCAACGCAGAACTTTGTACATAAGTACATCAGTTCATGTTGCCATACCACATCAGCACAGAGATGTAATTGTCAATTCAAATCCAATAGTAGTAGAGGTAGTAAAGGTATTAGAAGTAATCGGAAAGGTTAGGATTAGAAGATATTATTATTCAAGAAGTATGATTCAGTGAAAAAAGTTTAGAAAGTCAAAAGTAGAGGTGTTGAAGAATCCAGAAAATTAGGATTTGAGAGAACACAGAGAATAAATGCACCTGGGCCATTGAGAACGATTTTGAGCCATGTCATTCAAGGTCTCTAACTATCGATTATTATCATCTCGCCGACCCCAACCAGGTAGTCGACAATTACCGACATGGCTCAGTCCACTAGACAATGACTTCATGGATTTCTGCCATGTTTTGGTTTGGCCGCCCCTAACTTTCTTCCAACCTACTCCTACACTACAAAACAAAGCTGGTCGAGGCAGTCGGTGGTTCGGCATACGCAACACATGTCCCAACCACCTCAACTGATGAAGTTTCACCACTTCATGTATTGCTCTCCCATCCTTACCTAGTACTCGTTTCCTAACGACAGCATTGCTCACTCGGTTGTCCCACGATATACGAGCAATGCTTCGAAGACACCTATGATCGAAAACCAGTAACCTACGAATATCTTCTACTCTCACTGGCCATGTTTCACAGCCATATAGGAGAACGGAGCGAACTGTTGCACAGTACACTCGTCCTTTGATTAGAGAACGGATATCACGCCTACGCCATAAGTGACGTAGGTTGGCTGTCCACCTGTCAATGACTTCAAGGATTTGCGCCATGTTTTGGTTTGCCGCCCCCCCACCACCCAAGTGCAATTAGCAAAAAACACAAAAAACACAATACACCACCTACTTGTATAGACATTTCATTCATTTGACATAATAAAGTTTGCATTGAAATCGACTCGGTTGTTGGGAGATTTGTCGATTCAACAAGCATTGATGTTTGAATTTGCATATCATGGTTTGGCACACGAGCAATCAATGCATTATTTTGTTCTAATACAATGTTGTATTCTGTTTGTAACTGATCGATACGTTTTTGGGCATCATTATGACAAGCCAACAATTCATCATGATGTGCTTGTTTTAATTTAGTTATGTTTAAATTACACTGATGTAATTCATTGGTTTGTGAAATCTAATAAGCAATAATAAATGAAAACAACATATGTATGAATAGTAGTTTTAAATACGATGGTGTAAGTTATCATTTTTGTAACATTCTGTTAGTGGGACATAGATGGAATCAAAAGCATGACTAAGTTGCTACGCGCTGATTGGCTAATTTCCTATCCAATCAGCGCCCGATCGACCCTTGGAGAATAGGGTAGAAAATTCTCGTATTGTTAGCTACGCGCTGATTGGTTACATCTAATCCATTCGATCACGTGAATTACTACTATCCAGAAGCTTCTCATGTAAATGCTATAAATAAACTAACGTTGTATCTATTTTTGCCTTCGCCTTCGGCTCTTATTCCATTTAACCTTTTCTATTTGGAATATAATCTTTCCATGTTCAACCGTGTTTTGATTCTTGGGAACTTGTCCAGTGTATTGTGGTCAGAGAATACTAAGCAATAGGATTTAGCCGAGAATTATCTAAGCAAGCGTTACAACACATTCTGAAATTTTTACACATTTGAAATCATCAATGAATCATTGTTAGACCACTAACATTAGAAACTTGGAAGCACTGAAAGACGGCCGTTTCGTCCTGGTGTATGGGACTACTCATCAGAAGCAGTGCGCGTCCACGACTCCTACACCTCGCAGGATTCGAACCCGGGACCTTTGGGATTGTAGGCGAACGCCTTACCATCGGACCACTGGGCCCGACCTTCGGTGTTGGGTGCGAATGCCTAACCTCTGGATCACGGCGATGACCGGCATCCGACGGTGTTAATGTCTAACTCTGATTTATCTAGGGATTTTGCGCGACCTCATCCAGTTGTCTTTGGTAGTTACTGCCTACACACGACAGGGTTGAACTCCATTGGTCAAGTCTTCTCAATGGGACTCCGAGAATTTCCTCACGAAGCTAGTCACTATAACTGAAAATATGTGCTCACTAGTGACTACCTTCGTGATGAAATTCTCGGAGTTCTTCTAGTGAGAAAATGAGACCATTGGAGTTCAACCCTGTCGAGTGTAGGTAAGAACTATTAAAGACAAATGGGTGAGGTCGCGCAAAATGTCTAAATTGATCAGAGTTAGACATTAACACCGTTAGATGCCGGTCATCCCAGTAGTCCAATGGTTAGGCATTCGCTCACAACACCCAAGGTCCCGGGTTCGAGTCCTGCCGGGTGCACACTGCTGGTGAGCCCCATACCAGGACGAAACAGCCGTCCAGTGCTTCCAGGTTTCTAATGTTTGTGGTCTAACAATGATTCATTGATGATTTCAAATGTGTAAAAACATAAGTCTCCAAAACTCTAACTGAAAAAAAGTCTGAAGAAATGTTTATTCACACGTTCAGTTGGGTTAGGGTAGTTAATTTCACATTGCTTTTCAAGAGCATCAAGGAGACTGTCCACATGTTAACACTACAACATGAACAGTACAGCTCAATGCTGAGGGGGGCAATCACAAAGCAGGTACCTGACACTCTAGTGGACCACCAATACATATTATTTCCGATCCATGACTGTGTCAATCAATATGCACAGAATGAACAAGTCAATTTTTGATCTATCCCGCTTACATGACTGTCAAGCTCATTATAATTAGCATGGGTGGCATGCAATATACAGCCGGCCAATGGACAATGGCCCTCTGGAATGTTGCTAGACAACCACCACCGGTATCAATGAAATCGATCACCTTGAAAAGCATATATGCCAAAGTAATGCCAAACCATCCCCACAATGTTCATCACAACGAACCTCTGGTCTCATAGGAAACCTCCAGCACTATATAGCAATATACCTTATGGTATAAACATTGTGTGGCATAGGATAGCAAAAGATGCCGGCCAGTTTGACGCAAATGTGCTCAAACACTCTTATTCACCTTTTGTCTCATATCCGGTAATGTGACTGTTTCGCAATAGCGAAAACTTCATCTTTCGACCATATGAGATGTGGCATTAAGAGTAGGTATCCCTATTCTGAAATTTGAATATATATATATATATATATATATATATATATTAGGCATGTGATTAACCAGTAAAACAAGGACGCAGGTTTCAAGCCATTCACGACTTGTTAGTTGAATGCATCCACTACATTTCAGCGTTTATATCCATTCATCCCACTAAAACTGAAATCTAATATTTTAGATAGAGTACACCAGGCTGTGCAACTGTTATGACAAATAGTAACTTCAGTTTTTTATTAGGTACTTATAGTTAATGATACTACCACTATCTAGTTGCCTAAATCGAATTAAGCAAAGTAAGGACTGAACCTACGACAACTTATGCCACCGACTCACCGATTGACATATAAGAAGAGTATTATTAAAACGTTTAAAATCCAACCCCCTACCCCGATTGTTGATAATGATAATTACCATTGATCAGTCTATGTTGAAATATGAGCATCTTGACATAAGTATTAGTCAGTCAGTCAGTCAGTTGCAACGTAGAACTTCGTACGTATGTACATCAGTTCATGTTGCCATACCACATTAGCTCACAGACGCAAATATCAAATCAAATCCCATAGTGATACAGACAGTAAAGGTATTAATGGTAATCAAGAAGACTAGCAGCAATAAGGTAGGAATCAGTAAATAATAAACTCATTTGCGATGTGGGCGTTAGCGAACCCTCTATCCCATAGAAATCAAACTCGCCAGAAAAAATTTACTGGTCAGCGGCCTATGCTCCACATTAGGGGTAACAGAACAGGTATACGTAACTAAGTGAGTTAATAACTTGCATTCATTAACAACATACCAATCTTTGAGAAATCTCATCATATTTTAATTTAAGCTCTTGTAAATCAGTTTCCGATTTCACTAATGCATCATGTTTCATAGTGAATTTCTTCTCGATATCATAAATTTGACGACGTAATTGATCAATTAATTCTTGATGTTGTATACTTGTTTCATGCTCCAAAAATGATAATAAACCTTCACTAATCTATATGAAAATATGAAATCAATAAAAGAAAAAAAATACTAGTCAAATTCAAATGTTGAAAAAATTGATCAATTTTTTTTTCAAATCAGTCAGTCAGATGCAACGTAGAACTTCGTATGTACGTACGTACGTACGTACATCAGTTCATGTTGCCATATCACATCAGCACACAGAGATATAATTGTCAATTCAAATCCAATAGTAGTAGTAGAGGTAGTAAAGGTATTAGAAGTAATCGGAGAGGTGGTGGTCGGGCTTGCCTATCGTGATGACCCAACCGAGTTATACTGGCTGGAACATATGTTCCTGAAGGTTCTACCATACCAGGCAGGCAGGTCGATTGGAGAACGATGAGACTAAAAGTAGCTACTCAAGGTCTGAGGACGAAGACGTACTGCTGACTGCAGAGAGGTGTGACAGCAGTAAGGTGTTTCCTTCGGACAACCGGCATCTGCAGAGATGCCACTGCCTTCTCACAAGGAAGGAAGAAGTTAGAAAAAGTCAACCATAAAAATGTCACACCTCACCCTACCTCAAGGATTTCCATCTCCGTCGGTAAGGGTGCCCATTAACGGCTTTTAAAAGCGGAGCTAATACTCAAAAAACCCTTCATAAAAAGGCCATGCGTGACCGGCTCCAAGCAGTTGTCCCCTGGGCTTTGCGGTCACGCAACTAGGTCTCTAAGACCAACACTAATCTTCCTTCCTTTTCAGGTCCCTCAAGAAACAACCTTCCACGGTGTGGGCATCCGAGAAGTGACAACCGCCCTCATACCCGTATAACAGCACGAGACCGAATTGGTCGAAATCAAATTTTTTTCAAATAAATTCATAAAAAATATCTTAACTTCATCTTTATCAGCTGAGATAGTTAGAACCTGCTTCAATGAGCTATATTTTGCGGTATAGGAGTAAAGGCGGCGCAAATCTATGAAATCATTGACAAGTGGACTGAGACATGTTGGTAGATGTAGGCTATCTGGTTGCGGTGCTCGAGACGAAAGTCACCGATGGTTAGAGACCTTGAACGACATGTCTCGAAATCGTTTGCAATGCCGCAAGTGTATCCACTTTTTTTGTTCTCTGAAATTTTGATCTTTTGGATTCCTCATTACATCTAACCTCCTCTTTCTAAAGTTATCTCAACGAATTATACGTCTTGAATAATATCTTCGATCCCCAATCTTCTTCATTACCGCCAATACTTCTAATAGTTCTACCACTATGGGATTTGAACTGAAAATTGCATCTCAGTGCTCATGTGGTATGGCAACTTGAATTGATGTATGCATGTACGTACGTAAGTTCTACATTGTAGCTGACTGACTGACTAACTGCAATGTTGTGGATGTATTGTGTTCCCTTAGATTATACGCCTTTTATTTCACGAATAATAATTTTTAATTAAAATCATACCGAAATCTTTCCTAACTATCATTGATGTTATTATACTTTGATTTTCACCTGGATAGTTTCCATCCTCCATGTTAAAATGTAGTTTTTGGTAAGTTGGACTAATACACATATGTTTTTTTCAGTTTCTACATTGTTTTTCACTGATTAATTGAGAGTAACGCGGAGAATAAAACAAATAACGATCGAATCTTAATTTTGGTATTTATTCTGTAAAACTATGAACAAATTTACCAACAATGTAGTGGATACTACTCACAATATATTGTTATAAATAGTATGCGATGCTGTATCACCTACAGGTTACTGTTTAAATGAAGAGTATCGGATTCAGCTAAATAGTGTAATCAAACTATTCTGAACACTAGAAGGCATGTGATAGAATAGAGATGATTGTCCACTTGTCTTAGAAATGAAAGTGTTCAAGATAAGGTGTACACATATTTTGCTGGTAAACTGTGTCCTCCTCCTCTACATCTGATTTTAAGGTTTCTTCGTTCATCACACCAATAATCCTTCATCGGTTAATTTTAAAATAGCAATAAAAATTTCAATCATTTGGAGTCAGTCAGTCAGTCAGTTACAACATAGAACTATACACTTAAGTACATCACTTCAAGTTGCCATACCACATAAGCACACAGAGACGCGATTTTCAGTTCAAATCTCACAGTGGTAGAGATACTGTGGTGCGCGCTACTTATAAGTAGTATATGACACGAGTGTAAACGTAATGTCTGGCAGCAGAAGATTGGGGAAGATCAAGAAAGGAAGAGTGGGAACACAATGGAATTTGTATGAAACGCATGGATATTGAAATGTCAGACAATGGATTGATGATGGATTGAAGATTTGCAAATTAACGGTTACGATATGGTTTTCCTATTTTACTGAGTAACTCTGTAATTTTCGTTAAATACAATTCGGTTGCCCTCACCTGTGTTCTCCTTCACTACAATAGTAGAATTATTAACATTGATGGAGAAGATTAGGGTTCGAAGATATTATTCAAGAAGTATAATTCAGTGAGATAACTTTGAAAAGAGAAAGATAGAGGTAATGAGGAATTCAGAAGATTAGAATTTCATCGAGCACAAAGAGTGGATGCATCTGCGTCATTGTAAATGATTTTGAGCCGTGTCATTCAAGATCTCTAACCATCGATTACTATCATCCCGCGGACCCTAACCAAGTAGTCTACACCTACTGACATGACTCAGTCCAGTTGTCAGTAACCTCATGGATTTCTGCCATGTTTTGTTCTGTCCGTCCCTAACTTTCTTCCAATCTACTCCTACACCCCGAAATATAGCTAAACGAGGTAGTCGATGGTTAGGCATATGCAACACATGTCTGAATCACTTCAACTGATGAAGACTCAATACTTCATCTATTGATCTGTTGATCCTTACCTAGTACTCGTTTCTTAAGAACAGCATTGTTTACTCGATGGTTCCAAGTCAAACCATTGAAATCACAATTAATTACTGAATAAATATATCAATAATAATAATGATAATAATAATAATAATAACAATCATTATTATTATTATTACTTACTCTACTTTCTCTAACAACATCATTATTCACTGCGTATTTATTATTTTTCACATGAATTGATTTTATTTCATTATTGGATATTTGATTTTTATTCACCGAAACAATTGAATTCTGCTGATGTTCTGGTAATAACAATTTATTGGATTCTTTAATAAGTGTAGATGGTGTATTACCACTTGTACATCCTGTAGATTCCTGTACAATAATAATAATAATAATAATAATAATAATGAAATATGAATAAGTCATAATGTGGCGCGAGCTACTTATAAGTAGTATATGACGCGAATGTAAACGTAATGTCTGGCAGCAGAAGATGGAGGAAGATCAAGAAGGGAAGAATGGGAACACAATGGAATTTGCATGAAACGCATGAATAGTGAGTGACAATGGATTGATGTTGTTTGCAACAGGAACAGTCCAGTTCGATATGATGAACTGATATTTTGCAAATTAACGATTTACGATATGGTTTTCTGATTTTACTGAGTAACTCTGTAATTTTCGTTCTCATTCACTACAATAATACCATATCAAAATTGAGGAATAACGCTAGACACACATGTTTGTATTTACGTAGGGGTAAACAACAGTTGTTTACTCAGTGTACAGACAGACAGATACAACACAGAACTTCGTACATAAGTACATCAGTTCAGGTTGCAATAACACGTCAGCACGGAGACGTAACTGTCAGTTCAAATCCAAGAGTGATAGCGCGATAGTAGGAAGTATGAACATTAATGGAGAAGATTAGGGAGCGAAGATATGATTCGAGAAGTATAATTCAGTAAGATAAATTTAGAAAGAGAAAGGTAGAGATTATGAGGAATGCAGAAGCTTAGAATTTCATAGAACACAAAGTGTGGATGCGCCTGCGCCATTGCAAACGATTTTGAGCGGTGAGCAATCCTATCCCGTAGAAAATCAACACACTACAAAAGTGATAACCATGTCAGTGGCATATAGCTCCATTAGGATTAACAGGCGTAAGTCAATCAATCAATATCAACGTAGAACTTTCTACGTACGTAGATACACCAGTTCAAGTTGTCAGAGCACATTAGCACAGAGATACGACTGTCAATTCAAATCCCATAGTAGTAGAGGTAGTAGAGGAATTAGCAGTAAGGTTTCGAAAATATTATTCAAAAAGTAGAATCTAGTAAAATGAACTTAAAAAGAAGAGAAAGTGATGAGGAATTCAGAAGATTAGGACTTGAGAAAACACAAGGAGTCAGTGCACCTGCACCACTGCAAACGAATTTGAGCCATGTCATTCAAGGTCTCTAACCATAGGTACTATCATCTCGCGTACCTAAACCAGATGGTCTACACCTACTAAAATGGCTCAGTCCACTGGTCAGTGACTTCATGGATATTTTCCATGTTTTGCTTTGGCCGCCCCCTAGCTTTCTACCAACCTACTCCTACACCACAAAACATCGCTCATCGTGGCGGTCAATGGTTAGCCATACGTAACACATGTCCCGAACACCTCAACTGATGATATTTCAATACTTCATCAATTGATATGCCATCCTTACCTAGTGCCTGTATCCTAACAACAGCACTGTTCAAATGGTAGTCCCAGGATACACGAGCAATACTTCAAAGACATCTACGATCGAATACCAGCAACCTACGAATATTCTCAACTCTTACTGGCCGCGTTTCGCAACCATGAAGTAGGACGGAGTGAACTGCAGCGCAGTACACTCGTCCTTTAGTCAGCAAACAGATATCTCGTCTACACAACAAGTGACGCAAGTTGGCAAAAGCCAATCGAGCCTTCTTGTATCCGTGCTGAGATTTCGCTGGTCACCAGGCCATCAGCATTGATGAGACTTATATGCTAGAAGTTATAAAAACTAGAATAGTTCAGTAATCAATCAAACTGAGCCAATTCAAAGTGATCGAATGATGACCAATAGAAAATGTTCTAGAATACGAATACATAACATCAGTGAAGAAATAGTTTCTATTTCTAACAAGTTGGGCAAATAGACTTTTTCTACTGCTCTTGCCTCGTCACTCAAGTCACTAGCGGGATTAGCTCACATCGTGATCAGATCTTCGACACCGTATATATCATAATATAAAAAGTTGAAAAACACTGTCCACAATCAGAAAACAAACATCCAAACGTGGACACTAACTGAACAAGAATTTACCTGTGCAGTTACATTTGATGCAGGACTTTTATAACAACAGCATGATAATGATGAATTCACCAGCTTATTTGTATCGTAATCTTCACATGTGGTAGTAATTTTCTTCGGCATATTAATAATAATACACGAATCATCCAATTCAGTTGAATTCGACGAGTCATTAGATGAGGCAACATGCTGCTTGTGACATAAAAAGACAAAAAAATAGAGAAAGAAATGATCAACCGATCGATCATCATCGCATTTATCAATGTAGACGGAAAGGAGGTATGGAGGAGCAGTGGATTTTGATGATGGCGAAGGGTGAGCGGCTCTTAACGATTAAGTTGAAGGTGTCTTCGAAGCATTGCTCGTATATCCTGGGATACCCGAGTGAGCAACGCTCTTATTAGGAATCGGGTGCCAGGTAAGGATGGCAGATCAATAGATGAAGTAATGAAACTTCATCAGTTAAGGTGGTTGGGACATGTGCTGCGTATGCCTAACCACCGACTGTGTAGGAATAGGTTGGAAGAAAGTTAGGGGCGGCCAAATCAAAACATGGCAGAAATCTATGAAATCATTGACAAGTGGACTTAGCCATGTGGGTAATTGTCGACTACCTGGTTGGGGTCCGCGAGATGATAATAATCGATGGTTAGAGACCTTGAATGACATGGCTCAAAATCGTTCGCAATGGCGCCGGTGCATTTATTCTTTGTGTTCTCTCAAATCCTAATCTTCTGAATTCTTCAACACCTCTAGTTTTGACTTTCTAAACTTATCTCATTGAATCATACTTCTTGAATAATATCTTCTAATCCTCAGCTCTCCGATTACTTCTAATACCTTTTACTACCTCTTCTACTATTGGATTTGAATTGACAATCACATCTCTGTGCTGATGTGGTATGGCAACATGAACTGATGTACTTACGTACGAAGTTCTACGTTGCATCTGACTGACTGAAGGTTTTAATAACTGCCTCTTTTGATTTGACAAAAACTGTAGTGTTAGAACTAGCACATGAATGATTCCAAAATGGGGTATCAGTCCATGCAATTGTTGAGTGTCGAAATGATCTATAACTTACTTGCTTAAGCCCGCTACTCCTAATGGAGCATAGGCCACCTATCAGCATTCTCCAATCAACTCTGTTCTAGGCCTTCCTCTCTAGTTCTACCCAGCTGCTGTTCATTCTCTTCATATCTGTCTCCATTTTTCGGCGTCATGTGTTCCTTGGTCTTTCTCTTTTCTGTTGGCCTTGATGATTCCGAGTGAGGACTTGCCTTGTGATGCAGTTAGGTGCTTTCTACAATGTGTGTCTTATCCACCTCGAATGCTTTTTCTTAATTTCTTCCTCTGCTACAAACTGGTTTGCTCTCTTCCTCAATAGGTTGTTGCTGATGGTGTCTGGCCAACCAATCCAAAGTATTTTGCGTAGAAACTGTTTACAAACACTTGCATTTTCTGGATGTTGGCTTTCGTAGTTCTCCAAGTTTCCGCTCCATACAGTAGGACTGACTTGACATTTGTATTGAAAATTGTGACTTTTTTGTTGGTTGATGGTTGTTTCGAGTTGCAGATGTTCGTCAACTGTAAAATTGATGCCTTCGCTTTGCCAATCCGCGCCATCACATCTGCATCAGATCCAGCTCGCTCATCAAATAAAACAAACTATGTTGGCTATCTATCCGGTCGGGAGAATTCATGTGATAATCATAATCAATGGTTGGACAACTTGAATGAGATAACTCAGAATACGTAGATATGTTCACTAGTTATCTTCTCCAAAGTTATATGCTTCAATATTATATTAAACCCTTTTTTATTCTACTGATTCTTCTCTTTTCAAACCTTATTCCTCTAATGTTAAATATTTTACACGAGCGCATTGATAGTTATCATCGATTTTGAGTTTACTTATCATTTCACTATGGCAATTTTATCTTGTCATATGTTGATATGGTGTTATGGTGATCTAGGCTGATACATATATTTGTAATCATGAATCGATGATCAATGTTAGATCACCATTTCGTCTTTGTATGAGACTCATCAGTGGCAGTGCGCATCCACGACTCCTGCATCTCATAGGATTCAAAACCAGGACATTCGGACTATGACTGATTCTCCATAACTCTATAGTGAAAAATCGTACAACATGCTCACTAGTGACTAGCTTCGTGAGGAAATCCTCTGAGTTCTAGTGAGGACATGTGACCGGTGGAGTTCAACCCTGTCGAGTGTAGGTAGTAAATACCGAAAAGAAATGCGTAAGATCGCGCGAAATCCCCAGATTGATCAGAGTTAGACATTAACACTGTTGGCTCAATGGTATAGAGGTTAAATGTTCGCGTGCAAGACTGAAGGTCCTGGATTCAATTCCTGTGGGTAGCAGGATTCGTGAATGCGCCCTGCTGATGAGTCCTACTATACCAGGACGAAACAGCCATCCAGTGCTTCCAGATTTCTAATGATGGTATCTAACAATGATTATTTCATGATTTCAACAATTACCAATGTCGTTTGCAACTGATGTCTTATAAGACAATGGTATTTGAAATAAGTTTATCCATGAATAGTAATTGTCATGTTTATTGATGACTTATACACTGATTGGATTATATTGATCAAGTTGTATTATTGTGATTAGTTTAATTCACAGTATATTTCGGATGCAAAGTGGTGTGAGGTTATTGTAGTTCACAAAAGAACACTGACTGACAAAATGATGACCAGTTATCAAGTCAAACATACAGTAATTCATCAGTGAGTGACAATTCATTAATTAATCGTTGTTAGACCACCATTAGAAACCTTCAAGCACTGGACACCCGTTTCGTCTTGGTATGAGACTACTCATCAGCAATGTGCATTCACGACTCCCGCAACTCACAGGATTCGAGCCCAGGACCTTCCGCGTTGCACAAGAGCATCTAACCTCTGAACCACTGAGCCGGTAGCAATCCACGGTCTTGTGCAACCTCATCCACCAGTATGTTCAGTGAGCACTGCTTCACACCCGAACAGGATCGGACTCCATTGGTCACGACTTCTCACTAGAACTCAGAGAAACTTCCATGTTTCTAATAATGATCTAACATTGATCGATGCAAGATTGCAATAAAGTAGTCACTCAACAATCTCCACAACCCTATCATACACAAATATTTGTAATCAGTTCAATGCTGATTATGACTATCTGGTTGATCTCTATTGAACATTGAAACAATTATTCTACTAAATCTCATAATTAGCCAGCAGAACCCGCGGTCTAATTAAAAGAAAAACATACATTATTGATTGCGGGGTTGTTGTGAAGATTGTTAAGTGTTATTTGTAACCATGAATCATCGATCAATGTTAGACCACCATTAGGGCGTTTGCGCACAATACCGAAGGTCCCGGGTTCGAATCCTGCGGGGTGCAGGAGTCGTGGATGCGCACTGCTGATGAGTCCCATACCAGGACGAAACGGCCGTCCAGTGTTCCAGGTTTCTAATGGTGGTCTAACATTGATCGATTCATGGTGACAAATAATACATTATTCAATAAGTAAGCAAGAGAAAACGACCAGTGTAGCAGCAGCCTCTGCAGCAGTAGGTCTCAACATACATAAAGGAAAAAGCAAGATTCTCCGATGCAACACAACATGCACCAACCAAATCACTCTTGATGGAGATGCTTTCGAGGACGTTAACAACTTTACATATCTGGGCAGTATCATCGACGAGAAAGGTGGATCCGATGCAGATGTGAGGGCGCGGATTGGCAAAGCGAGGGCTGCATTTCTACAGTTGAAAAATATCTGGAACTCCAAACAACATTCAACCAAAACCAAAATCAAGATTTTCAATACAAATGTCAAGACAGGTCTACTGTATGGAGCGGAAACATGGAGAACTACCAAAGCCATCATTCAGAAGATACAAGTGTTTATGAACAGTTGTCTACGCAAAATACTTCGTATTCTTTGGCCAGACACCATCAGCAACAACGAACTGTGGGAGAGAACAAGTCAGATTCCAGTGGAAGAGGAAATCAGGAAGAAGCGGTGGAAGTGGATAGGACACACACTACGAAAAGCACCTAACTGCGTCACAAGACAAGCCCTCACATGGAACCCTCAAGGCAAAAGGAAAAGAGGAAGGCGAAGGAACACATTACGCCGAGAAATAGAGAAAGATATGAGAGGAATGAACAAACATTGGACAGAACTGGAGAGGGAAGCCCAGGACAGAGTTGGTTTGAGAAAACTGGTGAGCGGCCTATGCTCCATTGGGGGTAACAGGCGTAAGTAAAAAGTAAAAAAAAAGTATAAAAATAAAATCTTGATAACAAAAATATCTCACCTCATCGTTGAGTTCCTTTTGAATTTCTACATCTGCTGTCAGTTTAATAGACTTTACAAATTTTCCCAGTAAAATTATAATTTAGACATGAAAAGAAAGACAGTGGAATAAGCAAAAATGATCAGATTAGATTCGATTTTACTTACAGTAGGACATTAGAAAACATTTGCATCAAACGGAAATAAATCGATCGGTGAGTTTATTTTACAGTGACGTAAATTTTCTTTTGGGTAAATGCAGTATGACAACCCTATGTACGTCACTGATAAGGAATGCGAGTTTTACAACACTTCTAGGTGAACCCTGTCTCCGATAACTTAGTCTAAGCTCTAGCGGTTCGCTTTTCGTTTTTCTCACTTTGTAAAACACAGTCCGTATGTTAACTCCGCCTGGAGCTCTTCCTCTAGGATTACTGCCGATCCCAAGCCCAGATAAAAGAGGAAGGTTGAGTATGTGGGGTTAGCGACCCACATCCCGTAGAAATCCAACTGACTAAACAGGAAAACAATACGCTAGTCGGTAGCCTATGTGTTCCGTTAGGAGTAACTGGAGTCAGTTGTAACACATTCAAAACCTAACTCTATCAACTCTTAGTTTCTTTTATCAGTTTGTCTTAATCTCATGCTGGCTTTATATCTGTCTGCTGTCTGTTTATTCGCATATTGCATGTAAGTGCATTCTATGTGCTTACTGAGTCGCCGGCTCATCTTTTTCTCTTGTTCTTTCATCTTCCAGATAATCTCATACGCTGCTCCTCACATCCCTCCTAGCACACAAGGTACCTTTGAGCTAAACGCAAACCAAACAAAGGCTGAAGTTACACAGTGAAGAAGTAAGTAAGTAAGTGGAGTACTCACTATGTTAAAGTATAAAGTAGGCTACAAACGCAAAGCCATATGAGATTTTCAGAGGTTGGGGAACGAACTTTTTCTAACCTCGACTAGTTCATGGAACTTTTATGTATCACCATCTGAAATCTCTGCTATTTTTCAAATCTACAAACATACCGACTTCATTTTGCATTCATGTATAACTATACTACTAACGCCCAATTGTTAGTAATCAAGCTGACAACGCACACATACACACACACACGAATAATAAAGAAAGATTACCTGTTGTTGTTGCTGCTGTTGAGCAATTGTAAAATCTAATCGTCTATTCTCTACACGTATACGATCTAATTCATGCATAAGATTTTCAATAATATCTTTTTGATCAGCCAAATCACCTTGTAATTCAGCAATTTGATTTTCTAATTGTTTTATAGTTTGTAAAAGTTGTGTTATTTTAGTTGTTTGTGCTAGAAATAGCAAACAGAGAGAGAGACAGACATCATAATATGAGATTAAAAATTATACATATGATTATCGGTAACGTATAGTATACACTACAAAGTTGATTGTATGGCTATTTATCATGATAACTGTTTATCTTGTTGTGGTAACTTGAATTAGTGAAAGGTTTTTGAGCCATATCGTTCAACGTCTCTTACCATTGGACACTATTGTCTCGCGGACCTTAGCCAGAGAGTCGACACCTACGAACAGTCAGATGCAACGTAGAACTTCGTACGTAAGTACATCAGTTCATGTTGCCATACCTTATCAGCACAGAGATGTAATTGTCAATTCAAATCCAATAGGAGTAGTAGAGGTAGTAAAGGTATTAGAAGTAATCGGAGAGGTTAGGATTAGAAGATATTATTCAACAAGCATGATTCAATGAGATAAGTTTAGAAAGTCAAAACTAGAGGGGTTGAAGAATCCATAAGATTAAGATTTGAGAGAACACAAAGAATAAATGCACCGGCGCCATTGCAAACGGTTTTGAGCCATGTCATTCAAGGTCTCTAACCATCGATTATTATCATCCCGCCGACCCCAACCAGGTAGTCGACAATTACCGACATGACTCAGTCCACTTGTCAATGATTTCATGGATTTCTGCCATGTTTTGGTTTGGCCGCCTCTAACTTTCTTCCAACCTATTCCTACACCACAAAACAAAGCTCGACGAGGCAATCGGTGGTTGGGCATACGCAACACATGTCCCAACCACCTCAACTGATGAAGTTTCAGCACTTCATCTATTGATCTTCCATTCTTACCTAGCACCCGTTTCCTAATAACAGCGTTGCTCACTCGATTGTCCCAGGATACACGAGCAATGCTTCGTTGACACCTATGATCGAAGACTAGTAACCTACGAATGTCCTCTAATCTTAACGGTCATGTTTCGCATCCATATAATAGGACAGAGCGAACTGCAGCACAGTACACTCGTCCTTTAGTCAGCAAACGGATACCTCGCCTACGCCATAAGTGACGCAGGTTGGCAAAAGCCAATCGAACCTTCTTGTATCCGAGTTGAGATTTCGTCAGTCACCAGCCCATAGGCACTGATGAGACTCCCCAGATAAGTGAAGTGATCTACACGCTCGACTACTTCACTCCCTATCACTAGTTCAGGTGCCAATGCAACCCAATCTTGAAACAACATTTTGCATTTCGACGGCGAGAAAACCGCATCCCGAACATGCTTACATTGTTCTTAAAATAAACAAAACATTGATCATTGTTCAATGATCAATCAATTACAAAATCTTATCGTATATATAAATGGACAAATGGACGTCATATAATTTAAAACAAAAACATGAAAAGAAACGCAATGTATATATATATATATATATATATATATATATATATGTTATTTTACCTACCTAAACAATTGTTACAAATTCCTAAAGATTGTTTTCTTTTGATATTTTCTTGTAAAGAATTATTGTTAACTTTTGAAATCTCTTCTTCATCACTACTACTACTACTATCACTACTATCATTACTACTACTACTGATATTACTAGCTTCAGAATCATCTGGACATAAACGTTTAGAATTTTGTTTTAAACGTGTTTGACGTTGATTCACTGATTCAATGATATTTTGCATACGTACATTAGATTGTTCATATAAATAATTTTCTCTAGTTTTTAATAATGCTCTATAGAGAGAGAGAGAAAGAGAAAAATATATACGCAAGTATATACATAATAAAACAATGAAATGATATAAGCTTATATACATATATAAAAATATATATCTCTATCTGGTACTTATATGTGCAGTCTTAGGATTCAAAATACTCTAATGAGCACTCTTCCGAAACAACAGTGTTGTGGGAGAAAGCGAGACCGGATTCCAGTAGAGGAGGAAATCAGGAAGAATCGCTGAAAATGGATAGGACGCATATTGATGAAAGCACCTAACTACGTCATAAGCTAAGCCCTCACACTTAGATTCCTCAAGACCAAGGAATATATTACGCCGAGAATTGAAGACAGGCATGAAAAGAATGAACAGCAGTTGCATAGAACTGGGAAGGAAAGCCCCAGACAGAGTAGGTTGAAGAATGCTGGCCGGTGGTCTAGTCTGCATTAAGGGTAGTTGTACTTGTGGTGCGAGCTACTTATAAGTAGTATATGACGTGGGTGTAAACGTAATGTCTGGCAGCAGAAGATAGGGGAAGATCAAGAAAGGAAGAGTTAGAAAACAATGGAATTTGTATGAAACGCATGAATAGTGAAATGTCAGACAATGGATTGATATTTTGGAACAGGAACAGTCCAGTTCAATATGATGAACTGATATTTTGCAAATGAACGATTTACGATATGGTTTTCCGATTTTACTGAGTAACTCTGTAGTTTTCGTTAAATACAATTCGGTTGCCCCACCTGTGTTCTCGTTCACTACATACTGAAACAGTCTTAGTGGTCAAGGTGTTTAACTTTCAACATCTAAATCATATGCCCAAGCCCTGTTTCCATTTAGTTCGGTTTGAGAAGTCAGTTAGTATTACTAGCTTATACAAAATGTGGCTTTAAAGTCAAGTACAAGAATCCGCCCTCAATAAACAAGTCACATAAATTTTCATAACTATAATAGACGGAAGCAGTCTTAAATCTTGACTTCCTAGTTTACTGACATTTACCAATGATGTTTAATGTAACCTAGAAATAAAGATGATGTTCAGGTACAGCTTCACAACATTGATAATTTTACTTAGCTATGTTTTTAAATTTATCTCACTGAATTATACTTCTTGAATAATTTCGTCGAACCCTAATCTTCTTCATTACCGCTAATACCACTATGGGATTTGAAATGACAATTGGATCTCTGTATGCTAATGTGGTATTATGACAACCTGAACTTAAGTACGTACGTACGGAGTTCTACGTTGTAAATGACTAACTGACTGACGCAGCTATGTAAAAATGGGATTCTGTGTTCACGTATAACATGTACAGAATGGATCTCTGAAGCCAAGTAATGACAATTACATCAAAAATTTTTCTCAAGAGTTAAGATAAATCGCTGAAAATGTGAAACTTTGGGAGCTATTATTTAAAATTCTGATATTCTCATCAACTGATATGCTTGAATGCTATTACGAGTTCATCTTACTCGATAAACGAGAGCGTAGACAAAATGATACAGTGACACGATAGGCTATTCTAATCCGTTTGTCCCCTGACACGGCTAACTATATCAAGAAGTTTTTTGATAAGGCATAGAAAGTATATTCTACAAGCACCCAGAAAACACGAGGTCGACAAGGACACACTAAGCTTATTTATACATGACAGAAACGCTGTTGGGAGAGTCAGAAAAATAACATACTAAAACACCACATCAACCAATGACAGTCAAGGATTTTATCGAGTGGGAAATGTAAGCTGAAGGTCAACTTATGCGCGAAAACACAAAACATCCAAAGTTAGGACCTTTTCCAAGTGATTTCTGGGGATCTAACATCCCCTACGAATTCTTATATATCTAGACTGAGTGATCAGTAAGATAAATATTTGAAAAATTCATCAACTAAACATAACTTACTCAAATTTATTTTCAAAATCAATAATTTGCTGATTCATATTATCACACATTTCTGCTCTTAAACGTGCTTCTTGTTCAACTAATTGACCTTTCGTTTCAAATAATTGTTCCGACAGATCTTTGACCATTGTAATTAGTTCCTGTTAGAGAGGGGAAAAAAATTCATAGAGAATTTTTGATGATTTAAGGAAAATGAAAAGCAGACAAGTAATTAATCATTGGATTGAATCATTTGTCCCGGTTGGGTTTCCTATGGGATGGGGTCGCTAACTCTATGCCCGACCTTGCTTATTTATCTTGACTTGGGACCGGCAGTAACCGTTAAAGGGTTCCAAGCTTCTTTGATATTATGGTGTGCCTGAGAAGGTAGTCAACATTATATAGGATTCATACGATGGACTACACTGCAAAACCGTACATGGACGGTAGCTCAAAGGCTCATTCCGAATGAAGATCGGTGTCAGACAAGGTTGCTTATTCTCATAGTTTCTATTTCTTCTGGTGGTCGACTGGATTATGAAGACGTCAACGTCCGAGTGGAGGCGCAGATTACAGTGGACAGATCGGATGCAGCTAAACGGTTTGGGCTTCACAGATAATCTAGATCTTCTTTCTTACACACAATAGGAAATGCAGATGAAGACGATCAGTGTGTCAGCAGTCCCTGTAGCAGTAGGTATCTTCATACACAAGGGAAAAAGAAAGATCCTCCTATACAACAAATAACACTTGATGGAGAAACTTTGGAAGATGTAGGAACTTTTACGTATCTAGGCAACATTATTGATAAACAAGATGAATTTGGTGCAGATGTGAAAGTAAGGATCGACAAAGCAAGGGCAGTATCCCTAAAAACGAGGAACATAGGAAACCCAAAAGAATTGTCAACACAAAAGTCAGAATTTTTAATACGAACGTCGAAACAGTTTTATTGTATGGAGTAGGAACTTGGAGAACTGCGAAGGCCATTATCCAAAAGATATAGGCGTGGTTTATATTAACAGTTGTCTACACAAGATACTGAGGATCCGTTGGCCAGACATCACCAGCAACAACCTATTGTGGAAGAGAGCTAACCGGTTTGCATGGAGGAAACAATCCGGAAAAAGCGCTAGAGGTGGATAAGACATATATTGTGAAAAACATGCTACTGCATCACAAGACAAGACCTCACTTGGAATCCTGAAGGTCAGAGGGAAAGAGGAAGACCAGAAAACACGTTACATCGATAAATGGACACAGACATGAAGATAATAAACAGCAATTGGGTAAAACTGGAAAGGAATGCTCAGAAAAGTGTTGACTAGAGAATGCTGGTCGGTGACCTAAGCTCTATTGGAGGTAACAGGCGTAAGTAAGAACTAAGCATTATGTCCACATAATACTCTACGTCTAACACTAACATTGCTCCCTGCGACTTCCCTCACGATAATACACGAATCACTTATAGTCAAAACTCGGAATTCCGCCCATAACATCTAACTTTATAGATCACGTATCACAGTTAAAGAGCAATAAAGAGTGAGCTGCCACACACAAGTGACGCAAGATAGAGAATCGAAATACGTACCGAAGTTTCGTCAGAAACTGTTACGCCTGAGCGTAAACACGTCAACTTGATATACTTGAACTATTACGAGTTTACCTAGTCGGAAAACGAGAGCGACGATCGAGGATCCAGCGACACGATATGCTACTCAAATCCGATTATCTCAACCCCCATATTGAGTAAAAATAAGAAGACTTGATATGAAAAAGAACCTGTATTCTACAAGCATCCAGAAAGTACGAGATCCGAATCCAGGAGAGAATCAGGATCCCGGGACCGAGTCCTGATCCTGGTCCTGGTCTTGGTCGTGGTCATAAAACGTTACAGATAATGCGTATATATAAACATTTTGGTCGAATGAGGAAACAGCATCGAAGTCTGTGACATTGACAATTAAGACGACCACTAGGAAGCAACATTTGGAGTGACAGTGATAGTCAGGACAACCAATAAGAAACAACATTGGAGCACGTGACATTGATATCTATGACGACCATAAAATTGACCAGTAGGAATTAACCAATAGGAATTGACCAATAATTCTCTTAGGATATTGGATAAATATCCTAACAGAAACCAACCAAACAGCGTTATGGATGAGACTTCTAAGATGATCAACGCATCTAGTACTTATTTTTCAAATCATATACGTGGACAAAATTATCATCAGCGTTTTCCATAGGAGCAGCTCAAACCATCCACCCTGCAAGTAATCATATTTCCAATATGTGAATGCTAAGTTAATTTAAATCAAATTAAAACATACCTCTTTACTGAAATGATCTAATACGAGTTCAGTTTCATTATTATTTGATGGCGTAACAGCTTGTGAAGGTGATCTATAGTCAAAATCACACGGCGACCTAACTTCACCAGACGCTTCTTCTTGTGATAGAGTTTCTTTATCAAAATCATCTTCAGACCAACCAGTTGTTGATTGAGGTTCTAAGACAGAAGAATCGGATTCTATAATCCTGAAAAAAGAAATTTTAGGACGGGAGATATATAATAGAAGAGTATTTTATTTGGTTTGTAAAGAATGTTATCTTTTAATAAAATAGAGTATAGGAGGGCGGAGGGAGTTTATCAACTTTGATTGTATATAGATTCAACGAACAAACCAATTCACAAGATGTAAGTTGGATTGTTAATAAGTATAAAACGTCGGTTAAGCATTCCAGTTACCTTGTAGATTTCCAATAACAATTACAAATAAAAATACAGCATTATGCAGTACGTCAGAGAAAATCAGTTAGTGAGAATTCCAGACTCACAAAATATAGATTATGGTAAACTTTGTACTAACAACCTTTCAATGAACTGCCAACCAATTTTTTATGGTGTAGGAGTAGGTTGGAAGAAAGCCAGGAGTGACCAAACTAAAACACGGCACAAATCCATGAAGTCACTGGAAACTGGATTGAGTCATGTTGGTAGAAGTAGGCTACCTGGTTGGGGTCCGCGAGACAATAGTGACCGATGATTTGAGACGTTGAATGACATGGATCAAAATAGTTTGCAATGGCGCAGATGTATCCACTCCTTGTGCTCTCTGAAATTCTAATCTTCTGAATTCCTCATAATCTCTATCTTTCTATTTTTAAATTTATTTCACCGGATTATACTTCTTGAATAATATCTTCGAACCCTGATCTTCTCTATTACCTCTAATACTTGTACTGTCTCTAGCACTATGAGATTTGAACTGATTATCGCGTCTCTGAGCTGATGTGGTATGGTAACCTGAACTTATGTACGTACGTACGTACGGAGTTCTACGTTGTAACTGACTGATTGACTGACTGACTGACAACTAATTAGGTCGCAAAAGTGAGTTACTAGTCAAATCACTAGTTTAAATTACTACGATGATTAAGATTGTCGGTCAAGTTTATTTACTACACCATCACACAATACATGATCCTATTAACGAAAACTATTTAAACTGACTTATTTCCACAGTCATTTAAAATCATAACATTCAGAATACACCACTGCACTACTACAATAGCTTCGTTTCGTAAAAAATCTCACTAGTCAAGTATACGCAAAGAAGAGCCTGGTAAATATGTATGTCGGTTCCAGTTACCACGTAATCAGAACAGCAAGATTCCTTAGTAGTAGAAATGACTATAGATATACATAATAAGATGACCGAATGAATTCACTGAACGAAAAAGTATAAGTATCAGGCCGATTGCAACTGATTCCAAGCCATTTCGCACCTAATGTCTCCAAACACTGATCGTAGACTTTACGTAGAACCAAACCAATAAATCAGTACCTACCGAAATGGATCATTCCAAAAGTGAATAACTCCATGGACTGATGCCATGTTTTGATTTAGTAGTAGTCCTTAGTTTTCTACTAAACCACACCTATATCAATAAACATCATGGACAGAGGTAGCTGGAGGTTAGGCATACGTAATATAGGTTCTACACACTTTAATCGACGATTTACAACTTCGTAAATTGATTTGCTATCGTTTAACCTCAGCATTAGTCACTCGAGTGTCCCAAAATATACAAGTAATACTTCGAAGGCGCCTATTATACAGTACTATTAGCTTACAAATAACCTTTATGAAATCATGAATCAATGAATGTTAGACCGCCATTAGAAACATACAAGCACTAGACGCCTGTTTCATCCTGGTATGGGACTCATCAGCAATGAGCGTCCACGACTACTGAAACGCGCTGAATTCGTACTCAAGTACTTCGATCTTGCGTGAGAACGCCTAACCTCTGAAACATCACTGTGCCGGTATCTAACGGTGTTAATGTCTAATTTCGATCAATCCACAGATTTGTGCAACCTCATCCGCTGTCTTTGGTGAGCACTGCTTCATAACCGAACAAGATTGAACTCCACTAGTCATGACTTTTCACCAGAACTCGGAGAAACTTCCGCATAGAGCTAGTCACTAGTGAGCACATGATAATTTGCATGATAGAGTTGTGATGATTGTTGAGTTGCTTTTTGAAATGAAGAATCGATCAATGTTCGACCACCATTAGAATAAAGCACTAGACGGCCGTTTCGTCCTGGGCTGGGACTCATCAGCAGTACGTATCCACGACTCCCCGTAACTAGCAGGATTCGAACCCAGGACTCAACAATCTCCCCAACTTTATAATGCAAAATATAAATAACCTACATTTTAAAAGTCAC